AAAGTACCGGTACAATCTTTTGGGAGGACACCCCGTTCGCATGCAGCACCCGAATTTATCTGTGGCACTACATACTTCCCACTCCCAGCAGTCAAACACACTAGGTGCTCAAAGGCCAGACAGGTCTCACCCTAATTCAGTTGGAATTCAAGTGCAGGGCAATAAAAGGTGCCTAGAAAGTACCGGTACGATTCGTTTATGCGAATGCCCACTATGCACTATAGATTGAACTCGGGAATAGATACAGAATCATATATGAATTAGTGATGAGAAAGAGTGTGTAGTGAATGAGATAGATTTACGTACCAATAAACCTAGTATCCGATACACGAGAGGCACCTTGCTCGCATGCAGCACCCGAATTTATCTGTGGCACTACATACTTCCCACTCCCAGCAGTCAAGCACTCTCGGTGCCCAAAGGCCAGACAGGTCTCACCCTAATTCAGTTGGAATTCAAGTGCAGGGCAATAAAAGGTGCCTAGAAAGTACCGGTACAATCTTTTGGGAGGACACCCCGTTCGCATGCAGCACCCGAATTTATCTGTGGCACTACATACTTCCCACTCCCAGCAGTCAAACACACTAGGTGCTCAAAGGCCAGACAGGTCTCACCCTAATTCAGTTGGAATTCAAGTGCAGGGCAATAAAAGGTGCCTAGAAAGTACCGGTACGATTCGTTTTTGCGAATACCCACTATGCACTATAGATTGAACTCGGGAATAGATACAGAATCATATATGAATTAGTGATGAGAAAGAGTGTGTAGTGAATGAGATAGATTTACGTACCAATAAACCTAGTATCCGATACACGAGAGGCACCTTGCTCGCATGCAGCACCCGAATTTATCTGTGGCACTACATACTTCCCACTCCCAGCAGTCAAGCACTCTCGGTGCCCAAAGGCCAGACAGGTCTCACCCTAATTCAGTTGGAATTCAAGTGCAGGGCAATAAAAGGTGCCTAGAAAGTACCGGTACAATCTTTTGGGAGGACACCCCGTTCGCATGCAGCACCCGAATTTATCTGTGGCACTACATACTTCCCACTCCCAGCAGTCAAACACACTAGGTGCCCAAAGGCCAGACAGGTCTCACCCTAATTCAGTTGGAATTCAAGTGCAGGGCAATAAAAGGTGCCTAGAAAGTACCGGTACAATCTTTTGGGAGGACACCCCGTTCGCATGCAGCACCCGAATTTATCTGTGGCACTACATACTTCCCACTCCCAGCAGTCAAGCACTCTCGGTGCCCAAAGGCCAGACAGGTCTCACCCTAATTCAGTTGGAATTCAAGTGCAGGGCAATAAAAGGTGCCTAGAAAGTACCGGTACAATCTTTTGGGAGGACACCCCGTTCGCATGCAGCACCCGAATTTATCTGTGGCACTACATACTTCCCACTCCCAGCAGTCAGGCACTCTTGGTGCCCAAAGGCCAGACAGGTCTCACCCTAATTCAGTTGGAATTCAAGTGCAGGGCAATAAAAGGTGCCTAGAAAGTACCGGTACGATTCGTTTTTGCGAATACCCACTATGCACTATAGATTGAACTCGGGAATAGATACAGAATCATATATGAATTAGTGATGAGAAAGAGTGTGTAGTGAATGAGATAGATTTACGTACCAATAAACCTAGTATCCGATACACGAGAGGCACCTTGCTCGCATGCAGCACCCGAATTTATCTGTGGCACTACATACTTCCCACTCCCAGCAGTCAAGCACTCTCGGTGCCCAAAGGCCAGACAGGTCTCACCCTAATTCAGTTGGAATTCAAGTGCAGGGCAATAAAAGGTGCCTAGAAAGTACCGGTACAATCTTTTGGGAGGACACCCCGTTCGCATGCAGCACCCGAATTTATCTGTGGCACTACATACTTCCCACTCCCAGCAGTCAAGCACACTAGGTGCCCAAAGGCCAGACAGGTCTCACCCTAATTCAGTTGGAATTCAAGTGCAGGGCAATAAAAGGTGCCTAGAAAGTACCGGTACGATTCGCTTGAACGAATTCACACTATTCAATGGACTCGGGAATAGATACAAATTCATACATGAATTAGTAAAAAGAAAAAATTTGTAGAGAATGAGATAGAATTACGTACCAATAAATTTGGTGTCAAGTATTGCAATCATGACATTTACGTTCATCAAAAGATAGCTCCCGGGCAACCGTATGAATGTCTCAAGATGGGCATTCTTTGTGCCATCCGCCCGTTTAATCTATCACTGCTTGTTGCAGCCGACTTAGCAATCAAATGTTATGGAATTGTTTGGCTAACATAAGAAAATGTTAAAAAGAATTGACACAACGCATTTGTTGTAAAAAAACGTGACATGTTAGCAAAATGAAATAGAATAGAATACTGAAGCTTTCCAAACGATAGAGAAGGAGTAATTCTCTTGTTTAAAACATACTTTCGAAAGGTGATTGATTCGATCCAAAAGAAAAGGGAAAGTGTTTTAAAAAAAGGTGATAGATAAGCGGTCTTTCAGATTTGTTGTTGGATGAGCAGTTGCCTTAATAAAAAACCGGTCAGCAATGCTGTAGCTTTACTCTGTCACGAGTCCAATTTGCCACTAGACTTTAATGTTTTTGTAACTTTGCAAAGGCTTTGAATAATAAAGAATACAACAGTATTCTTTGTACACAGTGAGACGCAAAGCAGCGTATCTTATTCCGATCCCCAAAGAATAAAACCATGACTCTCATATGAAAAGATTACCCAATGAGTTCCTTTTTCACCCCTGCTATTCATCCTAGCCTCAGAGGCACTGCTGCTGCAGGCGATATTGGCTACCTCTACGATCCGTGGTTTCGGAATTGGATGCGCCCTGGCGCTGTGACCACGCCACCGTGGTTTTAAAGTGCTTGCATATGCCGACAGCCAGAAGAACTCCGCGTCCTCCTGAGAGTTTGCTGTTTCCCTGTGCGGAAAGCAACAGACTGCGTGGATGACAGCACTGCAACTCGCAGATATTACTGCATCATGCCTCTTGTTCAAGCCCTGTGTGATAGTTACGGGTGAAACCAAGTAACGTTAATTAATAGATACTGCTTTGGGTAATATGCATATAAGAAATAGGGGGATATACTGTTAAGGGAGGTACTACTGATTGGAGGTTCGGAGGTTGGGGGAGGGCTGCGGCTACTAGCCCCTGCTATCTATCGAGTATCTGACACGAATAAAAGAAAGGATTATGTACTCTGCACGTCCAAATTATTTTTCAACGCTCGTTATCGATACAAGGTCGAGGCTTAGCCGCCAACTCTTTGCGCTTAAACAAAGCATGGTGCCAAAAGTACCTTTTCCACATGTCAGCTTTGCGACCTCGCCCACGACAGCAAGGTGGCCTGGGCTATGCTGGACACAGTGTTGCAGCATTCTACCTTACATATTCCGCGGGCTATTACTTCTTACTTGACCGATGAACGCGGTTCTTTCACCCGCTCCTGTCTCCGTTCTTTCTCGCATTCATCATCGGCTATCTATCCGCTGCTCGTTCCAGGCAACCGCGCTTTTTCACTTATAACCTTTGGCTGCTTTTCTCTTTGTTCCGTGCCGCCGATGCACTCGAGATTATCAAAAACCTGTTTTTCGTGTATCCCAGTAACCGAAAAAGGGACCGTGCATCTCATTGCTTTATGATGGTGTATATAATAAATAATAATAGTGAGACAACAGGACACATTGAGAGTCATACATACTATGAAATATCTACTATAGATATAGAAAGTTATCAATAGGCAACTGCTATTCGTGAATGATTGTCAACTATAATAATGATAATAATAATAATGTCAATGAATATACGAACGCTCGCTTTACCCGTGTCTTCAGATCACATGTCTTCAGTTCAAGAACAGTGTGTAAAAGTAAGGTAGCCAAATCTGGTATACAAATCCGCAGCAAGCAAAGATCCGATGCTGTTTGCAAAATATATAAAATGTCTTGAGTGTTTTCCTCTACTGTATCTTTCTTGTTACCTTGGCAATCAACCTCTTCTTCTTCTACCTTGTTACCTTGCCAATCAACCTCGTCTTCTTCTACCTTGTTACCTTGCCAATCAACCTCTTCTTCTTCTATCTTGTTACCTTGGCAATCAACCTCTTCTTCTTCTATCTTGTTACCTTGGCAATCAACCTCTTCTTCTTCTACCTTGTTACCTTGGCAATCAACCTCTTCTTCTTCTACCTTGTTACCTTGCCAATAAACCTCATATTTCTCTCTATCCGTCACTTACTCACTCAGCTACTCACCCACTCACTCAGCTACTCACCCACTCACTCACTCACTCACTCGCTCGCTTTCTCACTGTACTTTGCATCATTTCTTCTTTCTCTTTCATTGTACCATGTCTTCCGAACCGAGATCAAGCTCCTCATTGTACCTAGGCAACAGCGAAAAAAAATGTAGGTATTAGTTACGAGGTGTTTATGACATTTGATTGCTCAACAACCGTACTTTTTTTTTGCCCTCAATAGCTGTCTCTTATTGGAATAAAGATCTCAGTCAATGGGATTTAACCGATTTTGACATGGAATATGTGAAACACCATCCAAGTGCCACTAAGGCGGAAGCCCATGACTCCCTTGCCAAAGAAATCAAGTACATGAAAAAAAGCAATGCCACTAATAAATTTGTTCTTGACAAATTAGGCTCTTTAAAAAGGAAATTAGCTGTAAGTAATAGCATCACTGTGCATAATGATAAACTGGTGTCCATAGTCTTAATATGAACATGCTTATCTATATATTTGTATACCACCAGAAATCAAAAAGTGACAAAGCGAACAAGTACTTCTGGAAGAATTGCAAAGAGGCTGTTTGTACTTCTGCAGTTGACGAGAGAGTCGCAAGTTATAAAGCGGAAGTTGGGGTGAGCAGGTGTTTGGCATTAGCCATCGAAAAGCGAGCAAAGGAATTGAAGTTGGCGTAGTGAGTAACTATTATTCTAAGATTATTGTAACGTCAATAAAAGGCTTGTTACTCTATAGTAACCATTACTTTCTTATAGTCCCAAGCGTGCTCATGATGCAGTAGAAGCATACAGTGACGATGAAAATAGTGATGCAGGTAGCATGTCAAGTGGCGAATATCGCTCCCGCCGCCCAAAAAAACAACAGGGGAACCAAAAGAAAGGCGTGAAGCCCGTCACAAGAACCATAGCACTTACTGACTCTGATGCAAAGGTACAAAGTTATTTTCTGTATGCCTCCTTCGGTGAACCTTTAATTAAAACTATTTTACGTTTGAATTGTCTAGTGGAAAATTGAGGGAGTCAATTGGTCTGAACAATTACTTAAAGTCCGTGTTGAATCAGAAAAAAAGGCTAAGAAGGGCTTGAACTTGCCTGATTTTCGTGAATTGTAAGTCTCTTTGAATTTGTATATGTGTATAATTTGTTGATCTAGCTAACGTTTTACTTGCAGGTCGTTGAACTATGTTTTCCTTTTTTCGAAAATCATGAACCAATCAGTCACACGTCGTTTCGGTTCTGAAAGTCATGAATCGGTGTGGGGTAGCTTACCCTTGATCAACAAATTGACGTTGTCTGCAAAAGCAGCATCATGGACAAAGAAGATGTTGAACATGGTCAGTATTGAGAGTCATAGATTTCCTTGGTTGTAAAGTCTAGAATAAAAACTAACAATAGCATCATATTCATCAATATGCATATAGGCTACCACTGCCACTCCCAAACCCAACTTACGAGACTTTAAGAAGGCTACTTCTAAATGGATGGTTGAAGCATGTGACGATGATGATGATGAATTACTTGTTTTTGGCGATCTTCTACATCGATCGTAAGTATTTTATCGCTAAACAGTTGAACTTGAGCTGATTAAATTTACTACTGTAATAGTGTTCCTCGCTTATTGTCTGCCACCATTTCGGAGACAGTCGAAGACACTTTTGTATATAACACTGTATCCGATATGCTAAACGTTGTATTCGGAGAAGATCAGAAGTTGTTGCATGAATGGTAAATATATTTTGTACAAATCTGTCATTGTGTTTTACTTTTAGTGGTATCCATATAATAACGTTTTTTTTTCTATCGCAAGGGTAAACAAAAAGTTGCCCGACACTGAAGCAAATATAACGATGAAGCCCGATTTCGTGGCAGCAACCAAGCCAGCAAAAAGAACAGTATACCTGTTCAGCGTCGAAATCAAACCGTCCAGGAGAACCTCAGACGATGACATCTGTGAAGATCGAGTCAAGTTGGGCAATCAAATGAAGACGATGATGCAAACATTAGAATCATTTCATATCGAAAATGCGCAAACAATTGGTTTGCTCATACAAGGTAATATAATTGGGCATATTTTGAGTACAATGTTTACACTTGATATTAATTCAAACAATAGGTTATGACTGTACATTATACTTGATGGATAATGTATATAAACCCATCTACCGAATGATTGAAATGTACTCGTTTTCATTACCAAAAACAATCGAAGAGATTAGTGTGCTAGAGCACGCAGTCGAATGCTTGCTCTCTTGCAAGGTATGAAGTGATTACACGTTCGCATGCATATGATAAAGATAAAGTATAACTAATCACCGAATATGTATTATTTAGGCGGTGGTTGAACGAAATGCCAACGAAGTGGAAAAGCATTTTACTTTTGAATAAATGAAGTATCAAAACAACATGAATTCGCGTTTCTTTTCTTTACATCAGTCCCAGTAGATATGAACGTCGCAAGCTGATAAAAACCAATGTCGCTTGGCAGCAAACTTAATCAAATGCCGCAGTTTTTGATATTGACGTCGCCTGTTTTTAGGAGCAACATTGCGAATGTTGCATTAAGCTGTCAAATGAAGACCATTTGGACATTTTTTATAAAGTTTCGATAATTGAATTATAATTGATACCTTTATACTTACGATTTTCCTCTCATTGTATGATTAATTACCCGTTGCGGTCATGAGCTTGCAGGTTCTCTTTTCTAAGACGTTTACAGTATCGATACATCCATGTAATTGATAAGGTCTTTGCTGTAAGAATCGTTGGCGTTAAATCTTGCTCTTTGCAACAGACCAATATTGTTCTATTGGGTTATATAAGCTCAGGAGAGTATAGAGGAAGATACGCACATCGATATCCACGATGATACTCAACATATTCTGCAACATCATTGGAAGAGTGTATCGGGGCGTTGTCCATAATCCAATAATGACCTTTCATATGTGGATGTTTATCGATTTCATCTAATGTTTCTTCCAAAAAGCTGATGTACAGTAGTGACCTGTAACAGTTCCAGTGCTCAGAATTCCAGATTCTTGAGCGGCCTTTCTATTTTTACTAGGACTAGGTATTCTCACACTAAATTTGAGTAAACCTGAAGCAGAGATGGCTTCTACTTTTTGCTCTTGTAGTTGGTACAGTTACAACAGCAGGAGTGCCCACTGTTGACCAAGCTCTTGTACGTTTCTTGTTTATATGAAATGATGTATCATCAAGAACTACGCAGTTAGTGAAGAAATTATCATATTATCTGCTTCATCCTATTCTTGGACACGATCATGAAGAGCATTCATTATCTGGACTATACAGTTGAGGGCTTTGATTTGAGGTATTTAACACTCATATGAATGGCAAAGACTATCGCTGGATAAAGTTCATAAGGCCGCTTTCTGTGATGTGATCATATATAATGAATTGCTTCATTCATATCCCACAACCTTTTTATTGGCCCTTTTTATTTTGCAAAAGAGACCCATACATCTATAGTCATCTATCGTTATAAAACCTTGTTCGACAGGAAGCGTTAAAAGCTTCTTATCATCGACCGTGTCTTGTTGCACAGTGATTTCTTCGGTACTTCTTTCCACTTGTTGGAGAGTGAGGTCTTTATATGTTTGATTGTGGTAGCCGAGGCTCAATATTGCTACTATGTAGGCACATACGTAGTAGGCTCTACACTATTGCATTAAAGTGGGTGAAGAATCAGCATGAAATGTCAACTTGCGCTGATTGTAAACCACAGCGCTAATACACACAGCAGAGACACCACATCTTCTTTTGTGGGTGTATTGATGTTATTGTACTACATTTTTTGGAGACTTGGAATAAAAATAAAAGGTCGTGGTTAGTAAGTAGAAGTGACATACTCGTGCGAGCAGTTCAGTTTTGAAGGCCTTAACAAAATAACGAGAGATGGTACGACTGTTAACATTGGGGATCCAAAAACCTGTATAGTGACCTTGCCTTCATCTGAGCGTATGCATATGTGATAAAAGTTAACAGCAGATAATGATTATGAGGCGTAGTCTCACTCTAACATGAGCATTCGCTCAGCATCAAGTACATTAACTACCTTGAAATAAATCATCGCAGGAAGGAAGTTGACTCAAATCAAAAAATTGCTAAGCTTAAATCATTACGGAGCAAATGCAATTATTTCTTCGTCACCACCTTAGCCGGCAATGTCTTGTTATGCCTACTTGTCGGTAAATGCTCGTACTATCAGTAAGCATATTATCAATTCGCATTGTATCTGAGCCTCAATTTACTTTGCCTGACTATTCTTTAAACCTACCTCACGAATAGGATCTTGAAGAGCGGTTTCCAGAGTCCAAAGATGCTGGTTCAGTAGACCTTGTGTTGCTATAGATATCCTAGATTTATGCATCTCACGCTATTCTCGCCTTGGCGTCCGCATCATATTCCTTTTCTTTTGGCTCCATCCATCCTTGCCGTTGTGCCACTTCTTTTTTGTTTGCGTTGCTGACATCAACATTTACGTGAGTCTGTTTCTCGTACACCGCATTGCCTGTTGACCATCGCAGAACTTTCACTTGCTTACACACTTCTAGCAGACTCGTACAGAAATGTTTTTTTTTCCAAGCGCAGTGCTTCTTTTAGACATTAAAAAAACCCAAAAAGGTTAAAACGTAAGCCTCTTGGGAAAAAGAAAATTGCGCTGTTCCAGGAATTGACAGTTCCCACACCATAGATAAGCGCTCTTATCGGACTTGGCGAGGAAAATCAGGAAAAGATACCCGAAGCGGGGAATATCCAATTATAACCCCTCCTTCCCCTTTCTCTCTCGCTTAATCTATTCCCACCCTCGAATGCTCAAGTCGTTTGCCACTGAAAGCGAGCCGGGCAAAGGAATTCTAGTATGCCAATGTCGTGATAACCGGACCCAATTCTCGCGTATCCACGCTCAATATCCGCTCAAATTCATCCCTACGAAAGCGCACGCCGAGCGTCTTGCTGCTGTGTATATGCTGAGCTATGGCGGCGGTATTGTCAGCGGCGATCTGTTCGACATTAGCCTGACCGTTGAAGAAAGAGCCATTCTGCTGCTCATGACCCAGGGCAACACCAAAGTCTTTAAAGATGGCTACAGCAAACGAGCAACAACGGCTGGTCCGTCGTCGATCCAATACATTGTCAGCCACGTCCACATCAATGCGACCTTACTCGTACTTCCTGATCCAGTCACCTCATTCAAAAACTCATCATTTTCATCTCGACAAACATTTAATCTCGCTGACGACAGCTCACGGCTAGTCCTTTTGGACTGGTTTACTAGTGGTCGACTGACACGCGGTGAAAAATGGTCGTTTAAACACTATAGCAGCAAGATTGATGTTCGTCTGGCCGACAAGTTGATTCTGCGTGATCACATGGTGCTGGATGACGACGAAAATACCGATAAAAAAAGTATCATCAATGAAAAAACGAGCTATGCAGATCGACTGTCGCCATACACATGTTTTGCGACACTGGTGGTAGTTGGTGTTGAAACTGCGATACGAACGATCGAACGAAAGGCACAAAAACGATTGATGGCGACGATGAGACCTCGTGATATGCTGTGGTCGGCAAGTCCATTTTTGAAGGGCAAAGGCATGTTGGTGCGAGTTGCAGGTGTGACGACCGAGCAAGTCCGGGACTTTGTCAAGCTTGAATGTCTTGGTGATGGATTGACGGAGTATATTGGCGACGGCATGTTTGCAAAGGTCCTCATGTAAACTGCATTCATTTTATTGTATAATTACGCACATTTCCTTCCCCCTCCTTTTTTTTTTTGCTCTTTGTACTTTATAATTGCTGGATGGGAAATATAAGTAAAAAAAGATGGAGAGAGCATTAGACATTAAACAAGTATAAACTGTCCGTCAAGTAGTTTTCATTCGCCGGAAGCACCTTCTATTCTGTTTTAAAAGCAACACTTGGCAGAAGCATAATTTATTTCTGTCCATTCCGCTTAGTCTACTATGCACTTGTTGATCTGTTACTGCCTAACAATAGAGGAGGTGAACAATGAGCACGGAACACGTATCAGGTAATGCACCTTATGACCGTTCTCGCAGGTGGTATCATAACTGTAGCACAAAAAGAGGTAACCACGCAGCATTGCCTATTAAAAGGAATGGTTATGCTTTAGATACTAATTGCTTATTTGCTTGATCTGATTGCGCATAAAACATCTCTCCGATAATAGACCTTTGTTAAAGTATTTTGCGGCTCCTTGTGCTCGCATATTACATCTCACGTATCAGTTATTAATGAGCCGCTCGAACCAAAGCCCTGCAGGTTCGACACGAAACGAAGCGGAACGACTCAATACCGGAAGTACGAAGGTGACAAAGATGCGCCGGCATGTTTATAATGATCATGTTCAGTTGTCTGCTGGGAAGATGCATATATCTACCTTTGTAAAGTCCACCAATCTGTATAATATGTTTGTCAGCTGAGATGTTAACACGCCATTGTTTCCTTTTATCAGGGATCGGCTCGACTGCAGGAAGTTGATGGATGCTCGCCTTCGTGCTTACTTATAAATATGTGGAGCTCTACTCAGCGTAGGGCTAGCCATACAACCCTCCGGAACATCACTTGGCTAGCCCAACCGCATATTTACAATCACAAGAGCAAATTTTTGAAAGGAATTGCCTGTACGTTCCGGTCATCAAAACCTGGTCACTTGTGGATACCTTTCACCTGTCAGAGAATAGGTGCGGTTTGATGGGTTGCCACTCCAGTGTTTTAAGAAACAACATGGTTGCGGGTAAGACCGGTTCAGTCCCTGACTTAAATGTCAAGGCTGCATATCGACCGTTTCGGTTTGGAAACCGATGAAAAATGGGTTTTAATAGCTCTTTCTCACCATCGAGTGAATTACGGTCCTTAGCGAAAAGGAAAGATTACAATAGAAAAGCACACAGACCACACACCCCATGACGCGTTGTCAAACTGAATCAGATACAAGTATCGACAGCAGGAAGGAAATGACATCAACTGCTAAGTGGTTTGGATAACCGTGCCAATTAGAAAATGGACCTGATATCATAAATTGTGTACAAGAATAATCTCCCAAACATGCCTAACACAACATACCGAAGCCATTTCGCATGATTATAGCTTGGATAATGGAGAAAAATCTATGATGACTAACCACTTTCTCTATTATACGTACTTTGTTTGAATGCCCGAATTGGCTGTTAATGCCATTTATTTTCACAAAATGACAAGCTTAACTTACTACAACGACCTGTTATTTTCTTTATATTGCTCTGCAATTAGTGTGAGTAAGTATATGTATGTATGTATGTATGAGAAGAGGTTATATTACTAGTACGGAAGGTACCAACTACAGCTAATCTACAAATTTTCGACGTCCTAGGTAACTAAAAGAAGATGGACAATATCTGCTTATCAGTATTACTCCTCCCCTCCGAGATTCAGATCCGAGGATTGAAATTGAGCAAACACACACACATACCTTTTTGGCTGAGGTTGACAGAGAACTCGAGACATGTTGATGAATGGATTTTCGGATACGTACGGGTTACTTGGGATATCTTTAGCCCTCATTATATGGGCACGCAACTAATGAAACGACATGGCGCAAAAAAAGGAGGTTAAACACCATTTGTACGCACCATTAGCAGTAATAACAATAACAGCAGTCAGAAGATCAAAAATCTATTTCTTACCTGTTCATGCGTGGTCACGCCGCGCATAATGAGGGAGCAATGATATAGTGTCAGGCCACCCACCATGAACAAGAGTAAAAAGCATACAATAGCAAGCACAAAGCTAACCGGAGCCTGGCTAAACATGTATCCAAACGACATATCATCCTGAATCACGACCAACATATGGACTAGGCAGAAGGCAACAATATACAGACAAAGAACGGTGGATGACGTGATGCATACGAAGAAAGATCGATAGTTTCGTTTACCGATACAGTTGTTGAGCCATATGCAATGGTGATCTTCATTCTCGACGCAGTTATCACATTGTCGACAATGGGATGCGCGTGGTGGGCGATAGATGCGACATGTGTCGCAATATTTGAGAGTCCAGCTCATACCCTTGATTGTAATCTCTTTGGGCATTAAATCCGTCGTGCTGCTATTGACATCCTCGATGACATCCAAATCTCGTGGTATGATCTGTATGTTAGCAGCATTTATGCTTAGTATATCAGAAATAAATTGCTACATGATAATTCCATCAAGACTTACCCCTGGATCAGACCACGACGTTTTTATCGTTGACACCAGCGCCAAGATAAACATGTATCCAAACACTATTGGGATTGCTGGATGTACCTCGGACCAAAGAAAGGGGCACCTGTTGTATTTTTCATGCAGAAATATAAGGCCAGTATTACCGGGTCAATATCAATCGATGGTATTACAAATGCATTATATGTGACCCACGTAAAAACAGCAAAAAGAACGCAAGGGGCGATCAATAAAACGAGTGCCACAGCAAATGCACCATACTCTCGGCTCGTTATTAATCTGCCACCACAGAAGAACTTGTTACGGCCAGGGAACATATGATAGTTGCGCTGCCGCCCACCAGACTGCCGCCGCTGTAGTTGACGCTGCCGCTGATCATGGCTCGAGTGTTCTGAGAGCACTGGTGAGGTGGTAGTCCGGCTGGTGGCGGGAGACGCAATACCGTCGGAAACGTCTGCTGGCGGTAAAGGTTCGACTTTTGTTTTTACTGATTGCTGTTGTTGAGCAATGCTGCTACTGTCAAAGTTGAAATTCTCTAGCGAATCGTGATGGGTCAACTGTCGTGCAATTCGTAACACTTGTCGATGCTGCTCTTGCTGACTTGCTTGTTGCTGTTGTTGCTGTGGGCTATAGTCAATGAATGGGTATGTCGCGACAGGCAAATCCGCAGGAACACCACTGTCATTGGACGTGTTCATTTGTTTTGGAAAAGAAAAGGAGGAGAGAGGAGAATGGAAAAGGACAAAGGAAGGTAATGGCGAACGTAGAAGGAGGAGGCGAGAGTGAAAGTGGAGCAATGAAATTCTTAAATAAGGTTGCACACAACTCGACAATAGAGTTCTGCTGTAAATGCAGCTCGACTACTGCTGCAATTAAAATCTCTCTTAGCAGTAAATCGTCTCGCCTGCGAGCCCCGTGGTGACAGAACACCGTTATGATGCAAGGAACTGTCGTGTAAAAAGTAACATTTGCCATTATACTGGGAATAAGCTATTGTAGTATATATTACTGTACTCAAAAATGACTCTCGACGCTTTGATTAGAAGACCAATGCGCTATGATGAGGCAACATCTCGCTTAAAGGAAAGAGCTAAGTAGGCTATCGACAGCGTAGGATGCTGGCCAACTAGATAGCATCACACACAACAGCAACCGAGTCAGCATCGCTATCATCGTTCCTTGGCTCTAGGGTGTAGTTCTCTAGTTCGATTGTACCTTCTTTAGCACGCTTTCAATATTGGCATTCCTAACATTCTTATTTTTCATACCATTGGATGTTGTGTGCTCGTCATCTTCTACTTCTTTACTGACACGAATCTCAACAGGTTTATATGTTTTCAAACCACACATACGTGTTAGTCTTACATCGAGCGCACCAGGAACTAACACATTCTTGATTCTTGATCTTTCCTTAGCTTCATTCCAATTAGATACTCCTGCTGATGACTGATTTCACCGTAAGCCGCAGCTCTAATCACAGCTTCAAGGTGATGAAAAATGTGCATCCCTAAGAGATACTGCTAAATATACTACCTTCAGTTACAGGTCTGCTTACATTATGACCGAGTAGATTGACACTCTTTCCATGATGATATATCTGACGACCGGCTTAGGCATCGAGTGCGGGATACCGCAACTACTTGACTGATACAGTAGTGCGAACTCATTCCAATTGCTAGCCCGCATGTCTTGTGGCTGTTGTGGCTTCGGTAGTCGACGTTGAAATACGATCTCGCAAATATCCGCTAGCTCCTATTGACACGGTCTATTAACCACGCGATTTGCAGTAGTGCCCCACGTCGTATCCGCCATCCCAGTTGATGTTAAAATTGCGTACTAAATTTTTTCTCAAATCATTGATGACAGCGCACCCCAATTTGATCACCAACGCGCCGGAAAGTAACTTTTTCAAAGCAACAGGTAGCTTTGTAAGACCACTGACTTGGTATACGTGAACTATGTCATCCCAGGAGATCTAGATGGTAGCAGTTCTCCCTTGGCCGCGCTCAATCGACCATTCGCAATCCAATCCAATCCAACCACAATTTGCCGTTGTCAACCAGTCCGCCGGCAAGTTTCTGCAGCTTGGATATCTTTCGCGTCAGAGAAAGCACTGTGGAACGATGGTATCCGGTATCGTGAGCACTGGATATGTATTAACTTTCTCGGACGTTGTGCTAGGCTCCGGGACTGTCACACGAGAAACATTATCTTTTTAAAACAGCCAGGCTTTTTCCCAACCGGTTTCAGTCACCTCGTACGTTGTCCGTAAAAGAAATATTTGGCTGTTTATGTCCATGGAACGATAATCGTTGTCGCATTATGTCGAACGCGTACTTAAGATGTGATAAGGATTTGATTGGGCTTCACAACGAGCAAGATATTATGAGCAGCATACCCATATGTCCTCCCGCGATTACCACTTTCGACTTGCAACATAGTATATCCATTTAGCCACCCTTTCTTTTCATTGACTAAAAAGCATCGAGTATATACATGTACCAAATATTTATTATATTTCCGAGGAAAATGGGGATGTATATGCTATGTAATCGACTTTACACTGTGATACGTAATATGTAATATGAAAAAAGTCCAATGTCATTGCCCTCATCGGTGATTTGTGCTACAAACAGAATGGATTAGTATAATTTTAACTTCTTTTTTCTCTTCTTTTTTTTACTGTTCTTTTCTCTTTTTTTGTTATCATTATATGATTCTCTTCTTCTTTTTTTTTTCTTTTCTCTTTTTTTGTATTTTTTTTTTCTTTATGATAAATGAGGAAGTGGTATGGTAACGGACGGCACACACGGTTGTATCAAAGGATGACGGTCGTAAGCATGTTGGATGGTAGTTGATTTTGTGTACGGAAGTCGCACTGTGAATGATTCATTGATAGCTTGATAACCTTCGTCGTCGCCGATGCAAGCAGATACCAATGACCAGTTTGCTTCGTTTTGTCTTTTTGAGTGTGAATGTGAAGGTAATATATCTTCGCGTAGAGCTCCTGTCAGCGTGAAAAAGTAAACATCATATTAGTGTTTGTGTCACTCGTATGTAAAGCTCTATTTTTACATGCCTGACGGATGACCCATTTTGTTTTGCTTATTGCGAGCTCATTTTTATGACTTTACGGTTCTTTGCGCCTCTGTGGCAACAGAAACCAACGACTCTATGTGTAGGTATAGATAAACAACGTTAGACATTTTTGATTCGATAAAGGCCTGATGCATGCACTGTAGCAAAGCATGCTCTTCTTATCATTACCTGGCATATATTTCTTTTTGGTGGGCTCTTCTGCGCTGTTAGCTTTGATAGCTAAAGCCGACAGCAGATTGTAATTTAGTTTGGATATCTTGAATGATCTTGTAAGGTCTTGACAGTGTGTCCGTCAGGAGATAGATTCGTCGTGAGAGTATAGAAAAATGAAAGCTTTCGTGCCGATGCATCCCGCGTGTGCCGTCGAGGTGTTGTGTTGATTTACAAACGGGTATTTTTTTCTAAACTACTAAAAACATACACTATTAGTTTTTCCAATCATTTGTTACACTTACCACTCAATGAGGGGACGACTTGGAGCTGAAAAATAGAACATGTGTGATAAAACAGCGAACGAAAGAAATAGAAATTGGGAAAATATGGATTGTAGATTCTTGTGACAGAAAGACCAAATGGATGATATTTTCGAAAGGTTCTGTCTATATTGTTAAAGTGTGTTATAGTTAGTATACTCGTCACATAGTAACAGCGCTTCCCTAATCTTAACCTACCACTTTATCTGCAGAATTCAAACACTTTTGATCGCGTATAATAGCGGTTTCACACGTCCAACGCACACGGCGGCCATTAGTCTTGTCGGTTTGGGATCCAGAATGATTCGTTTGCTGACATCCAGTTCGATGGCTGGACATGACCGAACGGTAGCTCTTGAGCACGCATGTGCCTCGATCATTGATAAGAGCATGACAGCTTCTTGTCACCGTGTTGACATTGTATGGTTTTTGTGGGTCTTGATAGCGATAGCCTCGGTGCTGATGCTGCTGCTGCTGCTTGGCTTGGGAACTACTGAAAACCGTGACCATTGCGTGTGCCGCTTGTCTTGATTATCAAGGATAGCCGCATCGATTGTCCGTGTTGCTGGATTCGATGATGACCGCAATTATTGGATATGCTGCTTGCTTAGCAATGTTGGTGCTTGTCATCGATGGTTGCCGCCAAAAATCCAATGACTGTTGAGTATGTGGATCGTCCCAGCACAAAATAAGTTGGTTTGATACGAGCGATCCACCTCCTGGCTTGTATTGTGTGCTGCGTGCCCAACGCTATATCTGTAGGCTTGTCATTTGTTGCCACCAGCCACCAGAAGACCCAAATGGCATGTGTTTAAATTTTTCCGTGTGTTGACAGGTAGTATTTTCGGAATCGGGCTAATCGCTTGTATGGCTGTGCGTGCTGCTGCTCCAGCGCTTGGTAGTTACTGCCACTTGTTGCCGCCGCCATCGAGTCGTAGGTGGTAGGTAGCCACGTAGATAAACTCTTCCATGCATTTTGTTGCGGTGTTGATTGATGATGGTGGCTCACCAGGATGGTCGTACCGTGTGTGCTGCTCAACTTTCTTGTTTCTTCATCGCTTGTTGCTTGTGAATGGGCCTTGACATGGTGTAGCCAGTCAGATGGGTTCTTGCTGTATCCAATGTTGAAAGGGGGTGCTCCGTCGCTTATTGTTGACCAAATTGGTACACTTTGGGTCAATCCATTGTTTGTCGCATTCAAAGTTGCTCGCTTGCTTGCTCCTGGTAACTGCAGCCTCACATAAGGGCCGCCAAACCCTATGTGCCTCCTCCATGGCCGAGTCCTTCTGCTTTCGCGCTTGAAGATGGATAGTGAAATTGACCATGTCCGTTGACTTGAGTGATAGTAAGAGACTGAAACATGGTCGTCCACGTTGGTTCAAGACTTGTCCGATCTTCAAACAGATTTGTTATCCAGCTTCTCCTTGACTACCATTTGCCGCCTGAGGTTGAACTTGGTTGTCTGATGACTTGTGAGATATATGGCAATCAGCTTGATAGTTGTCGCACTATTGCCAATCGTGATCGTGGGATTGATGTATCGATAGCCCCCGCAAGAAAGTCTTGTGCTTGGTAGGCGTCGCTGTCTTTTGCTCAAAGCATCGTTGATCATGCCAGTTTGGTCCAGGATTCAAAAGGTCGGTTTGACTTGGATCGATAGGTAGGGACCACATGGATCGACGCCGCTTGTTGGAATTGCCTTGTTTGTCCGAAGAAATTCACGTCCTGAGTATAGTCGACGGTATGCCAAAAACTTGGGATGGTGCTACATTCTTGTGGATTGTCGTAGCATGGTACCTTTTTGTCGGGACGTCACAATGTTGTTTCACCCGGTTTAAAATGGCAGCAGCAGCAGCGATTCACACGAAGATCAACACGATAAATACGCCCTTGGCTTCTTTGAGAGTCACTCGAGAGAGATAGGTTCGGACCGTTTGGATATCAGGCGCAAATTCTCAAGAGCACCGGATTTTGTCGCCAAGGAACCAGTATCAAGCCAAAGACGGGATTCTCCACTCCTCCAAATGGAAATGATTTCCTTGAACACCCAGGTTTCGCCTCCAAGAAACCAGGATCAAGCCAAAGACGGGATTCTCCACTCCCCGAAGTGGAAAAGATTCCCTTGAAAACCCAGGTTTCGCCTCCAAGAAACCAGGATCAAGCCAAAGACGGGATTCTCCACTTTCCCGTGCGGAAAAAGTTCCCTTGCCACAGGAAAAATTTTCCAAGCCGCCAAAGGCTGGCAGTAACCATCACTGGCACCACCCGCCAAAAGAAGGACAACCCCAGCTTCAGGTATCCAAAAAGCAAAAGTGCAAGGACGGGGTTGGACTTAGATGGCAATGACACCGGACTACTGGTGCCGGTGGGGGTTTCCAGGGTAAGAAGGACGAGGATAACTAGGCAGAGCATTCGGTAGCAGGGATTGAGGGAACGGTGCTCTAGTCACAAGGGCTTACGCAGGAACATCATCGCACATCAGCTGGAACAGACTAATTGACAATCCTTGAGGAAGAGGGATAAAACCAGCGAAACTAGCTCCTATCCGTCTTCTCCATATCACATCCGCCCTTTAGAAAAAGGTGCAGATACGATACGAAGAAGAGGAAAGGCAATAGAAAGATTTAGTTAGTGAAATCTTTTCTTAGATGCAAGAGTTTCCTTAATAAATAAATATGCCACAAGAATTTGTCAAATGGTACATACCGTAATAACCACGAAAGCTTGCAAGCCTTGATTGCCATTTGTTGTCAAGAACCGCTGTGGATGTGCTTCGATGATGTTTCTGCTGCCTATCTAGACCAGAGCGTTGTTCCCCTCCCCACTACACTAGCTGTGCCATCCTCGCTATCCCCATGTGCCCCTCATACCCTTTCCACCCCCGGTGGCTGTAGCCCAGTGTCATATACCAATGCCGCGGTCATTTACCTCTGCTAGTGGGCCATCCACTGGGGTGCCTTCTAAAACCGCCCCGCCAGACGGTCGCCACACACACAGTGCAGCAGGCGGCAGCACGCACACAAAGGCCGCAGCAGCCCATGACCTATTTTTTTATATTGACTAATAAGAGGCACGCATGAGAGATTTGAGCTAATGATATTACATTCATTTATTTTTACCTTCATGTCCTTCCCGAACTAATCTCCAAAGCCATCCAGAGACGAGACGGCCAGCCACACACAAGCACGAAAGAAAAAACAGCCTAAATACGGAGAAAGGTGTAATATGATTAGATTTTGATATTAGGTTTGGTTGTAAATTGCCGCACTAAAGATACATACCCTAAATGCTGTCCACACCATCGCGTCAGTTGACGCATCGAAAACGCCAAAGCACGCACAGAACGCGACAGCAGCAACGCACAACAAGAACACCAGAACGGAAGAAGAGGATGATCAGGAGGAGGAGGTAAAGAGCACCGACAGAACCACGAAGCACCGAAACGAAAGAAAAAACAGCCTAAATACGGGAGGTATAAAGGAAAATGATTAGATGTTGATATTAGGTTTGGTTGTTAATTGCCGCACTAAAGATACATACCCTGAACGCTTTCCACACCATCGCGTCAGTTGACGCATCGAAAACGCCAAAAAGAAAAGCACGCACAGAACGCGACAGCAGCAACGCACAACAGGAACACCAGGACGGAAGAAGAGGAAGACCAGGAGGAGGAGGAGGAGGAGGAGGAGGAGGAGGAGGAGGAGGAGGAGGAGGAGGAGGAGGAGGAGGAGGAGGAGGAGGAGGAAAAGAACACCGACAGAACCACGAAGCGCCAAAGAGAAAGAAAAAACAGCCTAGATACAGGGAAAAAAGTAATATGATTAGATGTTAATATTAGGTTTGGTTGTTGATTGCCGCACTAAAGATACATACCCCAAATGCTTTCCACACCATCGCGTCAGTTGACGCATCGAAAACGCCAAAAAGAAGAAAAGCACGCACAAAACGCGACAGCAGCAACGCACAACAGGAACACCAGAACGGAAGAAGAGGAGGATCAGGAGGAGGAGGAGAAAGAAACCCGACAGAACCACGAAGCACCGCAACGAAAAAAAAAGAACCTGCCACACCCACATCGCACCAAGCTGCACACAGCAGCGCGCAGGACAACACCTACTGGTCAACTAAAGGAAACAGAAGAAAATTATTAGAAAACAACCCTTTATTTCGTGTCATCACCAAGTAAAAAACTTACCGATCAAATCGTCGAACCAGCCATCAAGATCTTCTGCCTCAGCGTCGAGCTGAGCACGGAGAGCAGCAAGATCTTCCGAACGGAGAGAAGGGAGAGAAGAGACGGAACCACTGTCATCTTCCTCGGCCTCGGCGGCAACTTGAGCACGGATGGCATCAAGATCCTCTGACGTGAGGAGCGGGAGAGAAGAGGCGGCGGGTTCTGGGGTGGCGGTGGTGGTTACGGCGTCGGTGTTGATGTCAGATTGGGAGGGGTTGATGAGAGCCAAAAGCTCATCATCGGTCATCGCTATGTAGCGTTGGAGGTCAGACCGAGCTGGGGATTCATCCTCAGCTTCCATCGGCTGCAAATCGGCAGGAGAGTCCTCGGGAGAGTCCTCAACTACGCGATATTCCTCACCATGATCAGGCAGGGACACGCCAAAGGCGGTATGCCACGATCGTTTTTGTCGTGATGGCAGGGACGAACGCACAAAAGTGGTCGTATGCTCATATTGCAGGGACGAACACGCCGAAGCGGTCGTATGCTCGAAAAAGTATGGATTTTCGACAGAAGTATCACCTTCATGCCGCACATCAGAAGCGTCCGCCAACAAAGCCGAAGAAGGCATTAAATTGAAGGCTCCAACATCATACGACACAAAGTCATACGATGGATCCTCCATCTGCACATCTCGATCAGAGAGCGTGTCGTCTGTGTGTTCTGGCAGGGACTGACGCGCCGAAGCGGTAGTGTGCTCTAGCAGGGACTGACGCGCCGAAGCGGTAGTGTGCTCTTGCAGGGACGAACACGCCGAAGCGGTCGTTTGCTCTAGCAGGGACGCACATGCCGAAGCAGCCGTATGCTCTGGCAGGGACGCGCATGCCGAAGCAGCCGTATGCTCTGGAGGTTGCAGGGACACGCATGCCGAAGCAGCGGTTTGCTCGGAAGAAGATGGCAGGGACGAGCACGCCGAAGCGGCCGTATGCGCATCTGGAACAGACAACGAAGGCATCGCGTGGTTGTCGACAAGTTCAAGAACACGGGAGCCATGCATAAGCAGAGGGGCCACAGGCTGATCTATCCTCACTTCAGTAGAGTCAGAATTACAGGAGCCATGCAAAAGCAGAGGGGTCACAGACTGATCCACGTCGACAGGTTCAGGAACACGGGAGCCATGCAAAAGCAGAGGGGCCGCAGACTGCTCCATCATTACCGTAACCATGTGCTCATCTTCCACAGTAATTGCATTATCGACTGTTGTTATTGATTGGTGCGGCTGAGAGACATGAGCGGAAGCCGCAGCAGCAGTCGGGAGCAACGCGTGGGGCTCAGGATTCCTCATTGCACCCAGGTGCTCAGCACGTCGCGCGGGCACGTACTCGGTTGTCAGAACACCACGATTAACATCAGAGTCAATCTCCCAGTCAATATCCCAGCAATGATAAATACATACCGGATTAGAAGAACGAGGCTGTCCACCATACTTTACACTTGGCCGACGGATCGCATGCACAGGTTCAGTGGCAGTAGTTGAAGTTGTGGTGGCACGTTGCGTGAACAACGGCGGCGGAGGCGGAGGCAGCGGCGGGAAGTCTAATGGCGGAAATGGCCAAGAGAGGAACAACAACAACTTGAACGGGGCATCAAGAATCCATGTGCGCACATGAGTGCAACACTCGGCACGGACGACAAAGGCCACAAGGGCAACGGAAACAGCGATGACAGGACGGGACAGGGCATATCGGTAGATAGCGGCCACTGTTTCCTCAAAGATACACAGCAAGATACAAAGCAGAACGAGCTTGGCGAAGAGGGCGTCAGATACGGTGATCATTGCGACAGAATGTAGTAAAAAGAAGCTGGTAAAGAAGAAGACCAGTGGGTTGGGCAGGCAACACTTTCTTATCAGTCGCCGTGCGTAGCAGATTGAAGCGCCGACACAATTTTCGCGTGAGGTGTGCCTACAGCACCTTTTCACCTCTCATCGTGACATGGTCTTAAAAAAAGAAAGCGTGATTCTTTCTATGCTGCTGTTTAGTAACCGAGAAAAAGGCAGATAACTATGGCGACAATCACTATGGAAACAGCGCTGTTTATTGCTATGATACGACACGCTACTGGTTTCTCAGCCTATTTATGCGGCTTGTTGCTACGTGAAAAATCGGAGTGCAACATTTAATAAAAGCGAACGTTGCCACCAAAACGTTTCTTCCTTTTTTTTTTGCTTTGCTGCCAGAGCCATTTGATAATACTAATGTAACCTTGCTTTTTCGGAAATGAATACAGTTGTACCCCGGTTTTTGCAACCCCTGGTTTTGCAATTCCTCGTATATCTGCAACTTTTTTGTAGTTTCGCAAATTTGCAACTTGCAAATGAGTTTATACGATTTGCATGTTATCGGGGTAAAAACAGCTTCAATTTTTGCAATATCAACTGAAAGAAGCATCTGTTGCGGATTATGAGGAATAAAATGATGCGGTTACTGCAAGATAAATATGTAAATATGAAGATGTATTTATTGTCGAAATACATAAAAATTATTATTTGGTAGTTGAGCCAGTAGAATCGGGACACATATATAGCACTGATTGGATTGAATCCACAAAAGAAATGATGAAGATATAAGAAAAAGGGAACACACTACATATAGATATAGAAATAAAATGTTTGCTCAAAGGAGCTTTTAACTACATATCGAAGAAGTCATCAAGGGATGATTGTCGGGAGAATGATTGCTGCCTGAGACTCTCTGGAATCCTACGCAAAGACTTCTTTAAGTCGTAGTTATCAATGTTAACCAAAAAGCTCAAAACTCCTGCAATTGCAACCTCTTTTTCCTTCGACGTTGGCCCTGGAATAGGCGAATCAGCGCTTTGGTCCACCGCCCGCTCAAGTGCTCGTCGTACGTTCGATCCTCTTGCTTGGATGTGAACTTGTGGAACGATTTTGTCATGCTTAAAAGAGCTAATAATTATCAAACCACTAGACAGCTTCAATGAAAGAACGGTCTTATATATGCAAGTAGTAACATTTAGAGCTGTATGAATAATCCCAAAAAACGTATCGTACATCATCTCTGACAGATAAACAATGGGCTAGTGTTAATAGGATGACTTATCCAGTGTATACTTAAAGCAGAATTGTTTACCCCGTTACTTGCAAATCCTCACTTTTTGCAAAAAAAAATCGGAAAACCCTCGGTTGCAAAAACCGGGGTACAACTGTAAATGAGTATCATATATACAATTAGTATCATGTTGCATATGATATTGCTTTAAATCACTCTGCCATATCTACAACGCGTCATAGCTTATTAATTACCCCTTTGGACTTGAAGCGAGATTGACAGCTCTGACATCTTAACGTCACCTTAAGCAAGAGATGCGGCATCCAAAGGAATATACGAAGATATTACAGCGCCTCGGGCTCGAGCTTTTTGATTAGAGCAAAGAACGGATCAGGCGACAGCACCCAGAGCGTTCTCCTTTTGTATCCTTCAGGGCACTTTTGAGCTACAATCCGTGCTTGTAGCTGTTCGAAGTATTTGTCTAGTACATCATCTTTTAATTCTCGGTTTTTTTTTTGGATTGCTATATGCTATTAATGTAATGATGCACGATATCGAGCAAAAGGTATTTTATTAGTACTTTTAGTGCCGGTATTCAAGGTTACTCGTTGATATAAAAGTGTATGTAGACACCTTTTTATATTTCTCTTGTTTTCCAAACTCAATTACAGTATTACTAGCAGAGCTATCGATACCCTCCACCTTTTCCATTTAAGCCACCTGCTCCCCGAGGTTATGAAGAGCAACGAAGAGGTAAAAAGGATAACAGCCTATCTTTGTTCGGACTATCATACATATTATATGTATAAGGAAAAGAGATATATGGAATTAGTATATTATACAGTACAGTGTATGTTTTACTGATCGACAGGTACAGTATCTTACTCATCGCCTCTAACACTTTAGAAATTTTTTGCGACAAGCAGTTGTCTCTTCATGAAGCTAATTATTCAACAACTATGCTTTGGTATTTGGGGGCGTCTGGATTATGAGATTGTAATCTGATGCTTTTTGAGATCATGCATATACGGCCGGACAAGGGACCTATCAGCAACACAGCTAGCTTACGGTATATCATTTGCGAACAATCCTCTTATCCCCGTCTATTTAATTTTGTCTCTCTCTCTGACTCACATAAGCACGATCTACTAGGCTTATCATATTAGTATCCGTACTTCAACCTCGTACGTAGGCGCTCATTTTATGCAGACATTATAAATTGAGATCGAAAGAAGCAATAGATCTCTGTTGTTATAGTTTCCGTATTTTACAAGGAGGAATGATGATGGATGTAGTAGTTTGAATCATTGTGGCAGCAGTAGTAGAAGTTAGTGTAGTGGTATTGACCGCTACTACAGCATTACTATTATCAAGACACCGTTATGACCACTCTATCTTTTTATACAATTTCCGTCGCGGCAGCTTTCTCTTGTTTGGTTTTTCGATCCATACCAAGACGCTTTTCGGCAAACTCGCGCAAATCAACGATCGCGTTTGCATAGCTCGTTTCCGTGGCACATAATGGTCGGACCCATTTCGACAGTTGTGATACGTTTTGTGCTTCACTGAATCTGGATTCTAGTAATATAATGGCACCCCAGTCCTATAATTTGATTTCGAAATTAGATAAAAGTTTGTACACTAAATAATCAGGAGAGATTTACTACTTTACCCTTCGATGTCGAATACAACGACCTAAAGCTTGGTTGATGGCTATAACGAAACAAAAGTAAATGGTGGATCAGTAATGATGACACCCAGAAGATCTAGTCTCTCAATTGTGTAAATACCTCGATACGCTTGGGTTCGGTACCAGCCACCTCCGTCAAGCACATGTTCACCATCCTTACACCGCTTTGTGTTGTAGTCCTTTTTCAACTCGACTTGTACATCTTTACTACGATAGATTAAGGAAAAATGGCGGTCCGATTAGAAGGATTTGCTTTTTTCCTTCTTATTTTTGTTCTTTGTACTAGTAAAAACTTACATATTCGGAAATGGGATGCCTAGGGCAACAACGGCACGACAATTGTTGTCTGTGAAATCAATACCTTCACTCACTTTTCCACGGTATACCTACAAGGACATATCCATGGCAATGAGATCGATTTTGACGCTTAACGTAATACAGGGGCAGAAAGAAAGAGAGAGACAAACTTACTGCAAACAGGATGGCGCCATCCTTACGTCCGTCTTTGCCTTGATTCGTTTCAGCGTCGCTGATGTAGTAGTAGAAATTGTTCATGAGTTGTTCAAACACGTCTTTGCTGCCCTTTCCAGACGGTTCTAGTATGTAGCAATTACGTTAGATTTATACAGATACGAAAAATATATGTTATTATAGATTAGCCAGAACTACTTACCGCAAACGATATGTTTTCGTTGATCCAAGCGATCGTACAATCCTGTTGTCTAAGTTATTTTACAGCCGCGAGAATAATATGAGTATTGCACAACGATGACAGTGAGAAAAGACGGATAGGTGTGGGGGATGTTTTTGCTAACCTTCCAGCGCTCTATAAGTTTCTCCATGGCATTATAAGAAGGAACAAAACATAGAATTCCATAAGGTATAATTTCTGAAATTTCACAAAGTGCTATAGAAAGGCAAAATATTAGTTTCTACACCATAATAGCGTTTAAACCTTGGCTTCCACAACTTCACTCAAAGAGAAACATTTACATTGACCCACTGAGTCTTGATATTGGAATTGTGAGGCGCGCTCCCAAGTTCCATGTAATACGACTGATCCAGGTCTGTAGTAAAAGCGTGAAAAAAGTTATGAGTAAATAGATCTATTTTCCATCACACAAAAGAAAATAAGTTCTTTTACCCTTGTACAATGGATCTGATCCACACTTGAGATCGATCAATCACGTGATTGGCTTCAAGTCGTATAGGACTAAATAAAAGCAATTGACTGTTGTTCAATACTGCGTGTTTTTTTCCCATCAAGGGTCAATCCGAACCTCCCCCTTAAAATAAACTTACAATTCGGTTTCAAGCTCAGAGGCAAAAGTGTTTAGCTAAACTTTGGTGTTTAGCTACAAAAAATACACACACACACACACACACACTTGGTTCAAATCGCTAACTTACAGGTGACAAGGTACCACTCGTCAAGATAATGGATCGTGTCTCTTGCGCCATATTTCGGAAAACAATGGCAGGATTTAAGCACCTAATTGTTACACATCCCAAGTGTTAAAAAAACAAGAAACCATATTCACCAATCCCCTCGTTTCAAGATATAAGGATTACTTTACCAAAATGCCAGCTTTATCTCCCAGTCGGCCGCTATAGTTATAGTTTGTTATTGGTGAGTTCTCATTCTAGAAGCACATATCACAACACGCGTTATTCTTTGCTTCCTCATACTTTTTGTTCGTCTCGTTTGTTGTCGATCAATCTTCTTGATAAGAGCCATCGAGTAATCCTTTTCACGCGTGCCTTGCTCAGAAAAGATAAACTTGAAAATCATGATAAGACCTATTGTTATACAGTCAATTTTATTTCATCACTTTCTCTGTATCTTTGCTCATTCGTTGTTATTACCTTCAAAAAGCCGATGACTTTTGACACTAATACATTTCTGTGTCTTTTTATTTTCTTCGGGATTTCCATTGTCAATGTTATCGTTCGCAAAGGAGTCGTTTTGTTCCTCCCACTCATCTGGCTGTTGTTGCGATTTGCCTTCTTTATCACGTTTCATGTTTGCCATCTGCTCAGCTACTGTTTCGTGCGCAGAAGTGATCGTGTTTAAAGTACTCTGGCTGATATGCAGTTCCGATAACTTGGATAACAAGTCCTTGTCGTTCCAACTAAAAAATATGAGGAGGAGGGGTTAGTATATCATGTAGCCCCCACTCAACCGTTACTCAGAGGATATCACAAAAGAAGTTTGTGTTTGTTTTTTACATGCTGCGGCGTTCTTCGTAATTATCCCGTTTAATTGTTGGGTTTTTTGGCTCCTCGTTCATGAAATCAGTCATAGTATCAGTCAACTATAAATAGAGAGAAAGTATATGGTATATGGATGTCAACCCTATAGCCAAATCTATCAATTCACATGTTTCCTGTATTACATACCAGAAATAGCTGCTGATACGCATTCTTAAGATTACTATTGCTGTTTGCGGCAATGGAAGGATGTCGCACAACTCGCGACAACTCAATAGAAACGATACGCAGTTGGGTTTCCGTCAGTTCAAACGAGCCGCAGGATCGAGCAACGTCTTCAATATTGTGTGCTATATACATCCATAATTTTTTTATAAGAAAATTCTCTGTACTTTTGTGTGAGTATAAAATAGCTCCTTTTCGGGCTTTTACCTTCATCCAAAACAACAACGTGGTCTTTTAGATCTATATCCATGCTACTTCGGATCACTACAAGATGAATCACCGTCGTTTATATTGAGTACTTTAACGCAGCGAAGGCTCAGATGTGATATTTACGTGGATCTAAAAGATAGTTGTAAGGACAAAAAATGATTTCTGCTGATTCGGCCAAGGTTCTTGATGCAAAATATGGACATCCTAAGTTTCTTTTTCTTATTAAATCAAGAAAAGAAAGGCGCATTATCTATCACTGTTATTATTGCTTACCTCCAACTGCTTGTCCAATTTGAGTCAAGTCTTCAATATCCCAAACTTCTCGATCGCCACCTTTGCGGATATGTGAATTGGCGACTACTTTGCCAACCTTGTTTGAAAATGAACAAAGATCCGCATCCAAAAGTGCCGTACTGATAAGGAAGGAAATTGGAATTGTCAGATGATGATGAGGGAGTAGACATACGTCTTCTTTTTTGTTTGCTGCTAAAGCAGCAGTAGTAGTGATATGTTACCATGCTTCGCCTTTATCTTGTGCCTTTTTCACTTTCTTTTCAACTATTGAATTTCTTAGTCTATCTACTTGACGCCTCTTTAAAAACACGAGTCAAAAGGAAAATTGATACTTTACTGCAATAATGCTCTCGACTGCCTAGAACCGACATCTTTGGTCGATAGTGTGTGTTGCCCTTGAGTTCACCCACAAGCTGCGATAATTGTTTGTGTCTAAAGAAGAATTAATTTTTTTAGCCAACTTCTTTTTTCCCTCATCTCAAATCCTTTCTCTATAGCTTATTACGTTCGACTGCCAATATAAATTTTCGATACGCGTGAATTGGTCTCGGTCGATTCTTCTTTTGAGTTATTACTGTCGTCATAGCCGTCCTCTCCATCGATCGATACTGCAGGAGATGCGCTTTTACTGCGTCGCTCTTGTTCGAGTTTGATGATTTTAGATGGGAGTTGTACCGGCTTAAAGTCGTCGTCCTCGCTAAATCCTCGTTTCAATGATGGGTTTAGAGTTGTTGTCGTGGAGGAAAGTATCATGATATCATCATCGTTGTTTTTGTTGTTGTCGCCAGGTTTATCGTCTAATACGATCACTTGTCTTGCTGTTTCCTCTGCTAATTGACGGTTCTTTTCGTACTCGGACCATGCTTAAACAAATCAAAAGTATGTCAGTCCTCCTTACTTTGATCAATTGAACAAGACTGAAGAGCTATTTCTTTTACCGATTGATGCACAAAGAATCGCCAACGACTTGCCGGATCCTGGGATATTTTGCATCATTTTAGATATCTTCGGTACCTTATAATCCATCTTTGTTGACATACCTGTAGGACTTTCCAACAAAGCGTTCTTTTTCTCCTTTAATGCCTTTACGATCTATTGTTATCGTTATCCCGTTATTTAGTTTCAATGTCCTATATCACGCCTTACGAGCGTTTCGAGATTCTTACTTTGGACATCATTTGGATCTGTGCCGGATCTAACAACATAATCCAAAAAGTTAACCACTAAAAGTTGTTGTTGCTGTTTGTTGACTGCATTCTATTTTTTTTTACATGGCTGAAAAGGGAATTCGACCGTGACACCACTCATGGGATATTTCTTCATTGGTGCATCGCTTGCACGTTTGGCTGGTTTGCGCATTTGTGATAACGACATGAACGGAAGTAGCTGTTGCTCTTCACCCGGCGAGTTGTCTTTTCGACGATCGACCCGTCTACGAGATCTCTTTCCTGATATCGTTGCCATGAGTGTCGTAGTGTGTTGAAAGGGAATGAGGGTGGCGGGAACAAAGAAAAAGGGATAGTTTGTTCCTATTTCGGAGAAGCGTTGTGTGCGTGTTTTTTTTTGTTGTTCGCGTTGCGCGCGTGTATGCCCTGAGAGCTGGTCAATGCCATGTAATGCTCAGAATTGACTCTGTGTCACCTTCTCAAAGAATAACAGCAACAAGGCATGTTGTTTATGCGTATTTCGGACGCCAATCATCAAATGTTATGATGAGTAGTGTGGAGTGACACGCGTTTGTTTGGAGTTTCATTTATTCCAGGCACATGCTTTCATTTGAATAGAAGCACGCAAGCTTTTTAAGATCGATTGTTATCTTTTACAGTTTGCTTTTTAAGTACTCCTTCCACTGATCCATCTCCCAGCCCGAGGAAACGCTGTTGTCTTGCAATCCATCAAATAAGACAGTGGGACTGACGTGGATACCGTTCTGACGACCGGTCTTGATACACAACTTCAAGTCGGCACTGACAGCATTACCGGCGTTCTTGGATTCTCCCTGTTCATTGGTCAACAAGCCCGTGAACTTTTCACCCGAGACATCCACGGACTCAGCAATCTTGGCCAAGTCGGCAAGAAGTTCGCGACGCGACTTGTTCTCAACGGGCTTGTCAAAAAATCTAATATGAATTTTTATTAGCCTTTGATCCACAGCCCAGACAAAGTGGAGAAAAAGTCAAAGATACTTTACTCTTCTTGATGAGCAAACAAGGCATCCGAGAAAGGATAAAACTTGGAAGCGTCAATCTTTTCAACAGCCAGCGCAGCCTCATGCACCAACGTCGAAGATGCGTGCCATGGCTGGACTTGTTGGCGGAAGATCAACTGGACTTTGTTCGGATACGTTTGTTCTACAAACGGCCAAACTTGCTATATAAACCAAACACATTAACACAAGCTATATACACCCCAATTCCGTGTACTCATACAAAAGACTATCTCGCTGCCCTTGTTATTTACCTCACGGATACGTTTGTATATTTTTGCAGAAAATGGACACTATTTGCCCCATGTAGTATAATAGAAGTATGGACATGTACTTTAGCAATAGTCTTTTTTTTTGCCATTAATGAATCCTAATCTCTTTTGACATTCTCTTACCACGTAGTCCAAGTAAATTTCAAGAGTGTGGGGAGCGGCAGCAGAGCCGAGACGGTGACCTATTTACCTAAAGTTTGAGAGAATGCTACTAAACAAAGTGACAAAGCACGGGGCAATGAGGTGTATAATACAGCGTAATGCGTACCAGCAAATTGGGGAGCGAGAGCCATGACGAAAGAGTTGCAGGATATATCTTTTCGGGCATACGCGTGGTTTTTATAGAGTCTTATAGGCGGAAATTCATTAAGCCGGATCGCGCATGAACCGGGCCAACGATGACGGGAACGCGGTGAAACATCAGTGGGATACTTGAAACGCACTATTCGACAGCGTCAGGATGCGACACCACACCACGGAGACCTTCCACACCGATAATCAACGGCATGTAAGATGCCGCCACCCCATTATACGAACACCTTGTACACACCAACAGACGTTTCCGATGCATCAATACAACACCTGCTGGATAGTATGTATTCCTACGAATGTTCAGCTGACAAATGACGATCACACCATCCTCACCAATGATTATGTCTTTGAGGACCTACGTTTGGCAGCCGATGGACTACCCTATGCTGTTTGGTATCTAGTTTTTCAACACCCACTATATACCACGCTTATCTGCGAAGTCTACCATGAAGCTTGTCAGCTTGCGCGGTATCCACCTTCGTCGCAAGAAACTTGTGTCACTGTCTAAAAAAGGTCACTCGTCTTCTCAACGCCCGTATTATTCAAGCTGCCTCGGCCATTAACTACGCCGTTCCAAAACTGGTTTCCTCCATGGCCGCTTCATCGTCGACAGTGGGATTTTGGTAAAGATAATGATGGACGAAGCCTCAGGCCAGGATGACGATACCAACATTGCCTTGCTATTGGACAACGAGAAAGCATACAATCTCATCGCCTCGCAATACCTTTCTCGTGTTTTGGGACGTTTCAGTTTTCTTTCGGCAACCATTGACAGCATTCGCTTGGTTTCCTTTCGCACCGAAATTCTCATCAACGTCCACGGTCGTATCAGCTCACCTTTCCAACAAAAAGACGCAAGGTGTCCCCCACTCAAGATACTTGCATACGCAGACGACGTATGTGTCTTCCTTAGCAAAGGCACCGACCTGGAACGCTTACACCATCATCTTCATCATTAGCAACAAGCGTCAAATGCTCGTCTCAACGTTCATAAAATGCAAGTAGTGTCTCTGTCTGGCCAACCACAACCGTAATAGAATCAATACCTTGCCAGTTTCGGATACCCTGTTCGCCACGATCGTTCGAACGCTGAAGCAGCGATCTACTTGGGGTTTTCTTTGGCAGCATCCACAGCACAACATCGTCTTTTTATGGATCGACTCCTTATCAGTATAATATACTCAACGGCTGCCAGCGACATCAACAGCGCCAACTGTCTATGCACGGGCGTGCAACAATTCTCAACACACTTTTACTCTCTCGCCTCTAGTATGCCCTGAGGTTATACGGTGCCCCTGCTTCGTTCTTTGGGAATACGTTGCAGAGCATCATATCCAGCTATATCTCACACCGCATGTTCCCCCGAATCGCCATATCCCGTCTTCAGCAACCACAGCAACAGGGCGCTTACAAATTTTCAACCCTCAAACATAGCAACAAACACTTTAGTTACGCTGGATACAACCTCTAGTCGATTGCCCTCACGCCAATACATCAGGTTCCCTGGTGACATCTTACTGTATCTGGAGCACCACCTGCTGAGCATCACGTCGAAGCTGCCCGATCACTGCCTCATACTCACCTTTCCTGAAACACGTCCTCGTCTTCTACAGCAACAAACTTCGACTTATTCTCGCCTCAATTTAATCGAATTCAACTGGCACCATCATCCGTCTATACGCTTGTGTTCTGTTTGCCGCTCCTCGAACCTCTAAAAAATAAAACAAGTAGCGGATCTGTACCTCTTTGACGCGGCAAATGGTTTACTACGGCGACGTCTACCACAGGACGGCTCAATCTCCCATCCACGTGTCACTCGTCGCTTTTGCGAAGCCATGTTGCATAGCCGCATCATAATAAGTACATTTTCAGTCTCCCAGCATCTCATCCATTGGCTCAACCTACAGTAATGAGTAGCTAGGCACCACCAATGGTAATGTGCTACAGTATGCTTAGGTTTGATTGATACAACCCGTCACTTTCTTATTGAATGTCCACTTCGATGGGCAGTATGGAAACAAGTCTGGGGCTTGGTCTTTTAAGCTGAACCAGACCCCATTGTCCATTATCAATCTAGACTGGCCCGATGCCCCTGCCGCAACCACGCAATTACGGACCATGGTCGTTCAATCCGTCCTCCTGGCATGCTGCCGTGTCTACTGGACTTGAATTTTCGACCGCGTCCCTTTCGACCACTCTACGGTAATCACACTGACACTAAAGCTGCGTGCTCAGCTTCGCCAACCCAAGATCGCTGCCACAGAATAATAGACCCACATTCGCCCCTCTCTGTCTCTATATTTTAGTACTTTCCATCTCTTCCTATCATCTCCAACACACCACTTGCTTTGTGCGTGTGACTTGGATTAATAAAGGTTGGCCTATAAGCTCACAAAGAAATGTAATGTACTCAAGCAAGAATGCTAGGACAGATGTAAAAAAAAGACACGCGAATTTATTCGAAAGTGTAATGCTTTTCCACTTCGTTGGCATTTCGTTCAACTAGCGCCTAAATGATGCATATTCGGTGATTAGTTATACTTTATCTTTGTTATATGCGTGCGAGCGTGTTATCATTTCATACCTTGCAAGAGAGCAAGCATTCGACTGCGTGCTCTAGCACACCAATCTCTTCGAACGTTTTTGGCAATGTAAAGGAATTTACTTCGATCATTCTATAGATGGGCTTATATACATTATCCATCAGATATAACGTACAGTCATAACCTATTGTTTGAATTAATATCAAGTGAAAACATTATACTCAAATATGTCCAATTAGATTACCTTGTATAAGCAAACCACATGTTTGCGCGTTTCGATCTTCAAAGATCCAAGGTGTGTACCATCGTCTTCATTTGAATGCCTAATTTGATCCGATCTTCACAGACGTCATCGTCGGAGGTTTTTGTGGGCGGTTTGATCTCGACGCTGAACAGGTATACTGTTCTTTTTGCTGGCTTGGTTGCTGCCATGAAATCGGGCTTCATCATTATATTTACTTCATTGTCGGGCAGCTTTTTGTTTGCCCTTGCGATAGAAAAAGAAACCGTTATTATATAGATACCATTTAAAGCAAAATACAATGACAAATTTGTACAAAATATATTTACCATTCATGCAGCAACTTTTGGTCTTCTCCGAATACCACATTCAACAGATCGGACACAGCGTTATGTACAAACGTGTCTTCTACTGTCTTTGAGTGGGTGGCAGACAATAAACGAGGAACACTATTACAGTAGTAAATAAAATTAGCTCAAGTTCAATTGTAAAATGATCAAATACCTACGATCGATGTAAAATATCGGCAAAAACAAGTAATTCGTCGTCATCGTCGTCGCACGCTTCGATCATCCATTTAGAAGTAGCCTTCTTGGTATCTCGCAAACTAAGTCTGGGAGTGCCGGTGGTAGCCTATATTATACATATTGATGAATATGATGCTATTGTTGATTTTTCTCTAGACTTTCGATCAAGGAGACCTATTACTCTCAATACTGACCATGTTCAACATCTTCTTTGTCCATGATGCTGCTTTTGCAGACAACGTCAATTTGTTGATCAAGGGTAAGCTACCCCACACCGATTCATGACTTTCAGAACCGAAACGACGTGTGACTGATTGGTTCATGATTTTCGTGAAAAGGAAAACATGGCTTAACGACCTGCAAGTAGAACGTTAGCTAGATCAACAAATTATACATATATACAAATCCAAAGAGACTTACAGCTCACGAAAATCAGGCAAGTTCATGCCTTTCTTAACCTTTTTTGCTGATTCAGCACGGATTTTCAACAATTTCTCGGACCAATTGTCTCCCTTGATCTTCCACTAGACAATTCGAACGCAAAATCGTGTTTAATAGAAGGTTCATCGAAGGAGGCATACAGAAAATAACTTTGTACCTTTGCATCAGAGTCAGTAAGTGCTATGGTTCTTGTGACGGGCTTCACGCCTTTCTTTTTGTTCCCCTTTTGTTTTTTTGGGCGGCGGGAGCGATATTCGCCACTTGACATGCTACCTGCATCACTATTTTCATCGTCACTGTATGCTTCTACTGCATCATGAGCACGCTTGGGACTACAAGAAAGTAATGGTTACTGTAAAATATCAAGCCTTTCATTGATGTTACAATAATCTCAGAATGATACTTACAACGCCAACTCCAACTCCTTTGCTCGCTTTTCGATCGCTAATGCCAAGCACTTGCTTACTCCAACCTCTGTTTGATAGGTTGCAACTCTTTCATTAACTGCAGAGGTACAGACATCCTCTTTGCAGTTTTTCCAAAACGGCAGGGTGGGCCAATATGGTGTAGTTATAATTTATCAACAACAAGCGCTGTATGGCACCCCACACGATGGCTAGTTCATCAATGCTTGTGATATCCCTGCTGCACGGAAAACAAGCGGGTTCACCTCCCACGCGAGTCTCTGTGCCTGTCACAAATGCGTTCGTCAATTTCACGTTTTTCCAGGTACCCCCAGTATTGACTACTCTGGATTTGATGCCGAGAACTGAGACGTTCGAGGGCGGCAATCGAGCCTGTGCTGAGACGATGACGGATCGATGTGGACTTGAGCGCGAAAGAGAGACGAGGTGGCATGTGAGCTACACCATAATGGCTGTTCGTTCTACCATCATCGACCCCAATGCATAACTTGTTCTTTGGCACGGCGAAGCGCATGGTAAAGGTTTGGGACGACAGAAACCCTCCTCTCCAGAGGTGATCTTCAACAGATGCAAGTGCTCGCAGACGGCATTGTTCTCGCTCCTAACTATGTCACCTTGAAGCGGAAAAAAAGGAAATGGCTTCTCTTTTATATGCACTTGGATGCAACGATCGACGATTTTGGTCCCTTGTACGCATACTGGCTCTTCTCATTTTAAATGAAACGATGGGTATTGTTCATTTTATCGCTTGATGATTTCTGGTGATACATGTATAGATAGATTAGAATGTGTATATCAGGACTATGGACACTTGTTTACCACTATACACAATGATGTTATTACTTACGGCTAATATTTCTTTCTAACGAGCCTCATTTGTCAAGAACTGATATGTTGGCGGCATTACTTTGTTTTCATGTACTCGATTTCTTTGGCAAGGGAGTCATGGGCTTCTCTAGCGTCAAGGTAAAAGCGATGCTTTGACGAGTAGGCAGGCGTGGAGGGTGTTGAGAAGTCATCGTAGTGGCACTTGCATGGTGTTTTACATATTTCTCGTTGAAATCGGCACTGACATCAGCATTACTGGCGTTCTTGGATTCTCCTTGTTCATTGGTCAACAGGCACGTGAGCTTCTCACCCGGGTACTCCCACGGCTTCGATGCGACTTGTTCTCAACGGGGCTTGTCAAAAAACCTAATATGAGGTCTTATTAGCCTTTGATCCACAGCCCAGACAAAGTAGAAAAAAAGTCAAAGATACTTTACTCTTATTGATGTGCAAACAAGGTACCCATAAGCGTCGATCTTTTCAACAACCAGCGCAGCCTCATGCACCAACGTCGAAGATGCGTGCCATGGCTGGACTTGTTGGCGGAAGTTCAACTGGACTTTGTTCGGATACGCTTGCTCTACGAACGGCCAGACTTGCTATACACACCCAAACACGTCAATACAAGCTATATACACCCTTAAATCCATTCTCTTAAACAAAAGAACTATCTCGCCGCCCTTGTTATCTACCTTACGGATACGTTTGTAGATTGTTAACACTATTTGCCCCCTGTTGCATAATAAATGTTAGGACATGTACTTTAGCAACTTTTAGCCATTAAAGAATCCTAATCTCTTTTGACAGTCTCTTACCGCGTAGCCCAAGTAGATTTCAGGAGTGTGAGGAGCGACAGCAGAGCCGAGACGGTGACCTATTTACCTAAAGTTCAAGGTAAATGCTTTTTAAAAAAAGTGACAAAGCACTGGGCATTGAGGTGTATATTACAGCGTAATGCGTACCAGCAAATTGAGGAGCGAGAGCCATGACGAAAGAGTTGCAGCATACGCGTGGTTTTTTATAAAGAGTCCATAGGCGGACATTCATTTGGAACGGGATCGCGCATGAACCGGGCCAACGATGGCCGGACAACGTCAGGATGCGACACCACACCACGGAAACCTTACTCACCGATATCAACGGCATGCAAGATGCCGCCACCGCATTTTAGTAGCACCTATCATATACACACCAACAGATGTTTCCGATGCATCAATACAACACCTGCTGGATTGGATGTATCCCTACGAATGTTCAGCCGACAAATGACGATCACACCACCCTCATCAATGATTTTGTCATTTGAAGACCTACGTTTGGCAGCCGATGGACTACTCTATGCTGTTTGGTATCTAATTTTTGAACACCCACTATATACAACGCTTATCTGCGAAGTCTACAATGAAGGTTGTCATCTTGCGCGGTATCCACCTTCGTCGCAAGAAACTTATGTCGCTGTCTAAAGAAGGTCACTCGTCTGCTCAACACCCGTATTATTCAAGCTGCCTCGAACATTAACTACGCCGTTCCAAAACTGGTTTCCTTCCTGGCCGCTTCATCGTCGACAGTGAGATTTTGGTAAAGATAATGATGGACGAAGCCTCAGGCCAGGATGACGATACCAACATTGCCTTGCTATTGGACAGCGAGAAAGCATACGATCTCATCGCCCCGCTATACCTGTCTCGTGTTTTGAAGCTTTCAGTTCTCGTTTGGCAACCATTGACAGCATCAGCTTGCTTTTCTTTCGCACCAAACTTACATTTACGTCAAACGGTCATATTAGCACACCTTTGCAACAAAAAAGAGGCGTGCGCCAAGGTGACCCCCCTCAAGATACTTGCATATGCAGACGACGTATGTGTCTTCCTTAGCAAAAGCACCGACCTGGAACGCTTACACCATGACCTTTATCATTAGCAACAAGCGTCAAACGCTCGTCTCAACGTTCATGAAACGCGAGCAGGTCTCTGTCTGGCCAACCACAACCCGGATGGAATCAACACCTTGCTAGTTTCGGATACCCTGGCCTGTCACGGTCGTTCGAACGCTGGAGCAGCGATCTACTTGGGGTTTCCTTGGCAACTTCCACAACACAACATCGCCTTTCATGGATCGACTCCTTATCGGTATGTATACGCAACGGCGGCCAGCTACATCAACAACGCTAACTGTCTGTGCACGGACGTGCAACAATTCTCAACACACTCTTACTCTCTCGACTCTAGTATGTCCTGAAGTTATAAGGTGCCCCTGCTTCGTCCTTTAAGAATACTTTACAGGACATCATATCCAGCTTTATCCCACACCGCATGTTTCCCCGAATCGCCATATCCGGTCTTCAGCAACCACGGCAACAGGGCGCTTACAAATTTTCAACCCTCAAACATAGCAACAAACACTTTAGTTACGCTGGATACAACCTCTAGTCGATTGCCCTAACATCAGGTTCCCTTGTAACACCTTACTGTATCTGGAGCACCACCTGTTGAGCATCACGTCGAAGCTGCCCGATCACTGCCTCATACTCACCTTTCTTGAAACACGTCCTCGTCTTCTACAGCAACAACCTTGGACAAAAGCGTCACTTATTCTCGCCTCATTTGATTGACTTCAACTGGCAACATCGTCCGTCTATATCCCATCGGCGCTTGTGCTCTATTTACCGTGCCGCGCAAAATGGGATCCCGGTGAAAATGCTCCTCAAGAAAGTAAAAGTATCATTTGTACCTCTTTGAAGCGGTGACGTCTACCACAGGGCGGCCCAATCCCCCCTTCACATGTCACTCGCCGCTTTTTCGAAACCATGCGGCATGGCCGCATCGTACTGAAATACGTTTCTGTCGACTTTGTCTCCCAGCATCTCATCCATTGCCTCAACACAATGGGCGGCTAGGCACCGCCGATGGTAACATACTGCGCTCCCTTATCACCGTTCATTTCGTCGTCTCATTTTAAGCACTACTTGCCCAATACCTACCGTAGACACTGGCGCCAGTTTTGGCTCAGGATGATGCCCCATCCAGCCCATAACCTCTGGTATTGAGCAAATCCATCACACGCTCCCCATGCCAGTCGCCTCCACCATATTGTTCCGGATTCTATGCCAAGCCCGCAATGCCAATTATGCTTAGGTTTGATTGATACAAGCCGTCACTATTTCTGTTGATTGCCCACTGCGGTGGACAGTATGGAAACAAGTCTCGGGCTTGGTCTTTTAAGCCGAACCAGACCCCAATGTCCTCCTAATTTAAACATCAATCTAGACTGGTCCGATATCCTTGCCGCAACCACGCAACTACGGACCATGGTCGTTCAATCCGTCCTCCTGGCATTTTGACCGCGTCCCTTTCAACCACTCTACGGTGATCTCACTGGCACTAAAGCTGCTTACTCAGCTTCGCCAACCCAAGATCACTGCCACAGAATAATAGACCCACATTCGCCCCTCTCTGTCTCTATATTATAGTACTTTCCATCTCTTCCTATCATCTCCAACACACCATTGCTTTGTACGTGTGACTTGCATTAATAAATTTTGGCCTATAAGCTCGCACAAAAAGAATGTATTTTAAAAAAATGCCGGGATATTAGATGTAAAGAAGAAGTCAAGCGAATTTATATTGTGTTGTATGTAATGCTAAGCCCAGTTCAGTTATTCAGAGGTATAATGCTTTTCAACTTCACTAGCATTTCGTTCAACTAGCGCCTAAATGATGCATATTCGGTGATTAGTTATACTTTATCTTTGTTATATGCGTGCGAGCGTGTTATCATTTCATACCTTGCAAGAGAGCAAGCATTCGACTGCGTGCTCTAGCACACCGATCTCTTCAAACGTTTTTGGCAATGTAAAGGAATTTACTTCGATCATTCTATAGATCGGCTTATATACATTATCCATCAGATATAACGTACAGTCATAACCTATTGTTTGAATTAATATCAAGTGTAAACATCATACTCAAAATATGTCCAATTAAATTACCTTGTATAAGCAAACCACATGTTTGCGCGTTTTCGATCTTCAAAGATCCAAGGTGTGCACCATCGTCTTCATTTGAATGCCTAATTTGATCCAATCTTCACAGACGTCATCGTCGGAGGTTTTTGTGGGCGGTTTGATCTCGACGCTGAACAGGTATACTGTTCTTTTTGCTGGCTTGGTTGCTGCCATGAAATCGGGCTTCATCATTATATTTACTTCATTGTCGGGCAGCTTTTTGTTTGCCCTTGCGATAGAAAAAGAAACCGTTATTATATAGATACCATTTAAAGCAAAATACAATGACAAATTTGTACAAATTATATTTACCATTCATGCAGCAACTTTTGGTCTTCTCCGAATACCACATACAACAGATCGGACACAGCGTTATGTACAAACGTGTCTTCTACTGTCTTTGAGTGGGTGGCAGACAATAAACGAGGAACACTATTACAGTAGTAAATAAAATTAGCTCAAGTTCAATTGTAAAATGATCAAATACCTACGATCGATGTAAAATATCGGCAAAAACAAGTAATTCGTCGTCATCGTCGTCGCACGCTTCGATCATCCATTTAGAAGTAGCCTTCTTGGTATCTCGTAAACTAAGTCTGGGAGTGCCGGTGGTAGCCTATATTATACATATTGATGAATATGATGCTATTGTTGATTTTTCTCTAGACTTTACAATCAAGGAGACCTATTACTCTCAATACTGACCATGTTCAACATCTTCTTTGTCCATGATGCTGCTTTTGCAGACAACGTCAATTTGTTGATCAAGGGTAAGCTACCCCACACCGATTCATGACTTTCAGAACCGAAACGACGTGTGACTGATTGGTTCATGATTTTCGTGAAAAGGAAAACATGGCTTAACGACCTGCAAGTAGAACGTTAGCTATATCAACAAATTATACATATATACAAATTCAAAGAGACTTACAGCTCACGAAAATCAGGCAAGTTGAAGCCCTTCTTGATTCAACACGGATTGTAAGGACCAATTTACTTTCCACTAGACAATTCAAACGCAAAATAGTGTTAATAAAAGGTTCATCGAAGGAGGCATACAGAAAATAACCTTGTACCTTTTGAAATGGTGGAATATCAGTTGAATACAGGATTTTTCATCTCATAGCGGCCGTTTGCATCAGAGTCAGTAAGTGCTATGGTTCTTGTGACGGGCTTCACGCCTTTCTTTTTGTTCCCCTTTTGTTTTTTTGGACGGCGGGAGCGATATTCGCCACTTGACATGCTACCTGCATCACTGTTTTCATCGTCACTGTATGCTTCTACTGCATCATGAGCACGCTTGGGACTACAAGAAAGTGATGGTTACTGTAAAATATCAAACCTTTCATTGATGCTACAATAATCTCAGAATGATACTTACAACGCCAACTCCAACTCCTTTGCTCGCTTTTCGATCGCTAATGCCAAGCACTTGCTTACTCCAACCTCTGTTTGATAGGTTGCAACTCTCTCGTCAACTGCAGAAGTACAAACAGCCTTTTTGCAATTCTTCCAGAAGTACTTGTTTATCTTGTCACTTTGTGCTTTCTATTGATATATAGATAAGCATGTGTATATTGACACTATAGACACAGGTTCATCATGATGCACAATGATCTAATTACTTACGGCTAATGCCCTTTCCAACGAGTTTAGCTTGTCAAGAACAAATCTGTTGGTGACATTGCTTCTTTTCATGTACACGATTTCATTGGCAAGGGAGTCATGGGCTTCCGCGGTGGTGGCACTCGGATGGTGCTTTACATACTCGATGTCAAAATCGGTCAAAATCCATTGACCGAGATCTTTATCCCAATTAAAAAGTTGGTTCAACCAACCCCTAAATAATACATATTCGGTGATTAGTTATACTTTATCTTTGTTAGATGCATGCGAGCGTGTTATCACTTCATACCTTGCAAGAGAGCAAGCATTCGACTGCGTGCTCCAGTACACCAATCTCTTCAATTTTTTATGGCGAAGTAAAGGAATCTACTTCGATCATTCTGTAGATGGGTTGTACAGTATACATTATACATCAAATATAATGTACAAGTATAAGCTATATTGTTTAATTTAATATCAAGTGTAAACATCATACTCAAAATATGTCCAATTAAATTACCTTGTATAAGCAAACCACATGTTTGCGCGTTTTCGATCTTCAAAGATCCAAGGTGTGCACCATCGTCTTCATTTGAATGCCTAATTTGATCCAATCTTCACAGACGTCATCGTCGGAGGTTTTTGTGGGCGGTTTGATCTCGACGCTGAACAGGTATACTGTTCTTTTTGCTGGCTTGGTTGCTGCCATGAAATCGGGCTTCATCATTATATTTACTTCATTGTCGGGCAGCTTTTTGTTTGCCCTTGCGATAGAAAAAGAAACCGTTATTATATAGATACCATTTAAAGCAAAATACAATGACAAATTTGTACAAATTATATTTACCATTCATGCAGCAACTTTTGGTCTTCTCCGAATACCACATACAACAGATCGGACACAGCGTTATGTACAAACGTGTCTTCTACTGTCTTTGAGTCGGTGGCAGACAATAAACGAGGAACACTATTACAGTAGTAAATAAAATTAGCTCAAGTTCAATTGTAAAATGATCAAATACCTACGATCGATGTAAAATATCGGCAAAAACACCTAGAGCTTTATCCTCAGATAACCTAGGGCTCTATCCTCAGATACCCTGGGACTCTATCCTCAGATACCCTAGGGCTTTATCCTCAGATAACCTAGGGCTCTATCCTCAGATACCCTGTCGTCATCGTCGTCGCACGCTTCGATCATCCATTTAGAAGTAGCCTTCTTGGTATCTCGCAAACTAAGTCTGGGAGTGCCGGTGGTAGCCTATATTATACATATTGATGAATATGATGCTATTGTTGATTTTTCTCTAGACTTTCGATCAAGGAGACCTATTACTCTCAATACTGACCATGTTCAACATCTTCTTTGTCCATGATGCTGCTTTTGCAGACAACGTCAATTTGTTGATCAAGGGTAAGCTACCCCACACCGATTCATGACTTTCAGAACCGAAACGACGTGTGACTGATTGGTTCATGATTTTCGTGAAAAGGAAAACATGGCTTAACGACCTGCAAGTAGAACGTTAGCTATATTAACAAATTATACATATATACAAATTCAAAGAGACTTACAGCTCACGAAAATCAGGCAAGTTGAAGCCCTTCTTGATTCAACACGGATTGTAAGGACCAATTTACTTTCCACTAGACAATTCAAACGCAAAATAGTGTTAATAAAAGGTTCATCGAAGGAGGCATACAGAAAATAACCTTGTACCTTTTGAAATGGTGGAATATCAGTTGAATACAGGATTTTTCATCTCATAGCGGCCGTTTGCATCAGAGTCAGTAAGTGCTATGGTTCTTGTGACGGGCTTCACGCCTTTCTTTTTGTTCCCCTGTTGTTTTTTTGGGCGGCGGGAGCGATATTCGCCACTTGACATGCTACCTGCATCACTATTTTCATCGTCACTGTATGCTTCTACTGCATCATGAGCACGCTTGGGACTACAAGAAAGTAATGGTTACTGTAAAATATCAAGCCTTTCATTGATGTTACAATAATCTCAGAATGATACTTACAACGCCAACTCCAACTCCTTTGCTCGCTTTTCGATCGCTAATGCCAAGCACTTGCTTACTCCAACCTCTGTTTGATAGGTTGCAACTCTTTCATTAACTGCAGAGGTACAGACATCCTCTTTGCAGTTTTTCCAAAACGGCAGGGTGGGCCAATATGGTGTAGTTATATTTTATCAACAACAAGCGCTGTATGGCACCCCACACGATGGCTAGTTCATCAATGCTTGTGATATCCCTGCTGCACGGAAAACAAGCGGGTTCACCTCCCACGCGAGTCTCTGTGCCTGTCACAAATGCGTTCGTCAATTTCACGTTTTTCCAGGTACCCCCAGTATTGACTACTGTGGATTTGATGCCGAGAACTGAGACGTTCGAGGGCGGCAATCGAGCCTGTGCTGAGACGATGACGGATCGATGTGGACTTGAGCGCGGAAGAGGGACGAGGTGGCATGTGAGCTACACCATAATGGCTGTTCGTTCTACCATCATCGACCCCAATGCATAACTTGTTCTTTGGCACGGCGAAGCGCATGGTAAAGGTTTGGAACGACAGAAACCCTCCTCTCCAGAGGTGATCTTTAACAAATGCAAGTGCTCGCAGACGGCATTGTTCTCGCTCCTAACTATGGCACCTTGAAGCGGAAAATTGGAAACGGCTTCTCTTTTATATACACTTGGATGCGACAATCGACGATTTTGGTCCCTTGTACGCATACTGGCTCTTCTCAATTGACTGATACAATGAGTATTGTTCATTTTATCACTTGATGATTTCTGGTGATATATAAATACAGTAGATAGATTAGCATGTGTATATCAGCACTATGGACACCTGTTTATCATTATACACAATGATGTTATTACTTACGGCTAATATCCCTTTCTAACGAGCCTAATTCGTCAAGAACAAATATGTTGGCGGCATTACTTTTTTTTTCATGCACTCGATTTCTTTGGCAAGGGAGTCATGGGCTTCTCTATTGTCAAAGTAAAAGCGATGCTTTGACGAGTAGGCAGGCGTGGACGGTGTGGAGAAGTCATCGTAGTGGCACTTGCATGGTGTTTTACATATTTCTCGTTGAAATCGGCACTGACATCAGCATTACTGGCGTTCTTGGATTCTCCTTGTTCATTGGTCAACAGGCACGTGAGCTTCTCACCCGGGTACTCCCACGGCTTCAGCAATCTTGGCCAACTCGGCAAGAAGTTTGCGATGCGACTTGTTCTCAACGGGGCTTGTCAAAAAACCTAATATGAGGTCTTATTAGCCTTTGATCCACAGCCCAGACAAAGTAGAAAAAAAGTCAAAGATACTTTACTCTTATTGATGTGCAAACAAGGTACCCATAAGCGTCGATCTTTTCAACAACCAGCGCAGCCTCATGCACCAACGTCGAAGATGCGTGCCATGGCTGGACTTGTTGGCGGAAGTTCAACTGGACTTTGTTCGGATACGCTTGCTCTACGAACGGCCAGACTTGCTATACACACCCAAACACGTCAATACAAGCTATATACACCCTTAAATCCATTCTCTTAAACAAAAGAACTATCTCGCCGCCCTTGTTATCTACCTTACGGATACGTTTGTAAATTGTTAACACTATTTGCCCCCTGTTGCATAATAAATGTTAGGACATGTACTTTAGCAACTTTTAGCCATTAAAGAATCCTAATCTCTTTTGACAGTCTCTTACCGCGTAGCCCAAGTAGATTTCAGGAGTGTGAGGAGCGACAGCAGAGCCGAGACGGTGACCTATTTACCTAAAGTTCAAGGTAAATGCTTTTTAAAAAAAGTGACAAAGCACTGGGCATTGAGGTGTATATTACAGCGTAATGCGTACCAGCAAATTGAGGAGCGAGAGCCATGACGAAAGAGTTGCAGCAGACGCGTGGTTTTTTATAAAGAGTCCATAGGCGGACATTCATTTGGAACGGGATCGCGCATGAAGCGGGCCCTTTAATTCACACTAAATGATTCTTGCATCATGTAGCTTTGTTGGATGTTGCTCCTTTTTATTATTTCAAAAAGACGGGTTACATATATACATACATGAGAACTATTCATTCTTCTTTACTACTAGTCTGTCATTGTCCTGCACATGGCTTTCTCTGTAAGCAGCATAGAGAGACACGCCTGCACCGGGTCCGGTAAAGATCGTACCGACCACCAGGATAAACACACCGACAAGACCGCTTTCCAAGAGAGCCCAAAACCCAACACCAGCCCAGGCGACGAGCAGATCCACCAAAAAGAAATGTGTCGCATCAATATGGCCTCTCTGTTCAATCGACAAGATGGTGAGTTTTCCGCTATGCAAGGTCCAAGCGTCCACAAGGGTCTCCCAATTGAACAGCCCACGCCCGCTGGCACGGAAAATCATAATGTAATAAAGGACAGCATTGGCAAAAGCAAGGACAAGGTGGACTGTCTCGACACCACTCTTTTGATCCGCCACCCTGCGTCTTTCGCGGCCTTCTCTACCAATGCGAGGATCCAACGGTTCTTCCATGCAAGCAAACGTCGAGGTCGAGAACACATAGATGGGCATCACGACGAGTGGAGCCAGTTGCCACAACGCAACGATGATGGTTTGTGTATGGGACCACGGCGCGTCGCCCAGGTCGGGGAACAATAGCATGGCCAGACTGGGAAAGATGAAGCCGACGACAACCGCTACGAGCACGGCCGTTGACCGTGCGGATGGGATGCCATAATTGGGAATGTTTGAATTGTCGTCACCGTAGCAGAAATAGTATGCAGGCAGCCACAGACCGAACATGACTGCAGAGAGCGTGAATAGGTTGGCTGCCATACCCCAGAGCGCAAGCGAGGATAAGAGGAGATTGGCTTTGACGCGTGAGCCTTCGACGCCCCATATGGCCAACACCGAGGCAAATAGACCCAAGAGTAGCCAGCTGATAATTTGGCCTAACGGATCGTTGATCGCGTGTGTGAAAATGTTGATCACTTTGCATAACAGATTGTCGAGTCCGTCATGGCCGGTCAAATCGGTGTTCTTGTAGCCTGGACAGAGTGCATCGAGATCGTTACCCCAGGGAAGCGATGTAAAGTGCTTGATTGTCATGACAGCAACAGGCGCGCCTACTGCTACCGCAAGCAAGAACTTCTTTACCATACTTGTAACCAGAAAAGATAAAAAAAAAGTAGTGGAGTATATAAAGTACGGAAGAGGGAGGTTGTTCGCTTCGATATATATATAAACAAGAGAAGAAAAAGAACGTGGCAATATGACAGTTTGCGTCCGCGTCCCGCTTTCACCCTCCCCCATAAAGCTGAATGCACAACACAGCGTAGTTGTCTCGGGGTTTTTATACCATTTTGGGGCATTTATGCCAAGTATGCTCACTAGCTAGTGTCAGATATCAGTAACACTACTGAGATTGACGTCTCTTAAGGCTGTCTACTATTGCATTCGAGACTTGCCTTTACCCGCTGTGTTTGTTGTCGAATAAATACATACACACACACACACATACGATTTAAAGCGAGGGAGCAAGCGTGTCGGAAGTCCGGGATATGAATCCGACAAAGAGAAGAGGCGCGTAAATCTATTATCCGCTCATCTTTTCAATCCACGACAACCCATGTTCTTCGTCGTTACAACATGGATTTATGGGAAACTAACAGAAAACGCTCTATTGACTGATACCAGCATGATTGAGTGTGCCACACTGACTGTAGCAATGACTTGAGACAATACATTTATTTATATTCCGGCAGCTGGAGGCATTGTTATAACTTGCATTTATTGATAAGAGCGACGTGGACAATGTATATCAAACACTTGGAGCTTGGTCGCTACGTTATAAGCACATTACTCAGAATACCCTTTCTTCTTTTATTCTGCTCAATGTTGTTCCATAAAAATCGGACTCTCCACTTACTGAGTGTGAAATACATGGATCGTCATTTATACACAGCGGCATGATTTGACGACCCGCGTTTATCCCTGCACACAGGAGTAGCCCCTCACACCGTTGGCAGCTTTCTTCTTCACCTTGTCACTTTTTGCTTTTGTAGTGCACGAAAGAAAACATTGATCGTATAAGCCTTTTTTTTGCGTATAAATTTGATATTACAAGACAAGCTATACAGAAAAAAGTCTTCTTTCGGGATGTGGCATACTGCGTCCTATGTTACGCGACTGTATATGTCTCGTAATAACCGTGTTGCAGCCAACACATCTTAGTAAGGATTCCGGTGATTCCTCCAAAAGCTGACTTGTGATGAGTCGTTCTGAAAAATGTTCGTTGGGGCTTTTCTCTGCCTTTTTGTCAGTTCCGCTGATGGTTAAAAAGGAGTGTGTTCCCTGATATGCACAGACCATGTCGCACTGAAACACACATATACGCTCTCGTAACATGTCATCAACAGCACATCCTCAGCCATTTGCTTTTGAAACGAGCAATGACTGCTTCTTCTTTGAGCGCGTAGTAAGATACGGTCCACACGATTATGTACCTTCCGCCACAAGTGATGCGTATCCTCAACGTTCTCTCATGCTATATGGTTAATTGCTCAATCCAAGTTTAGGACAACGACATGAATTTTGATAAAGTTATATATGATATCTCTTTAGCAAAGCGAGCACGCCCAGCGCCCTTTCAGTAACGACGATGCTCTCTCTCTCTTTTGCGGACGATCAACTCTTTCTCTGGGATCATAAAAACGCCACCAGCTGTCCAACAGATTAGCTACGAATCAACCTCTGCTGGCTTATGTATGCTACAACTCACTTATTGTTTTTTGTTCGGGCATCTATTTTTCCCTCTAGACAAGCACAAGTTTCTGTTCCCCGACTGATATTATAACGTTCCGTTCTACATCACACTGATCAGACTACATAATAAATGGTAACAGCAGGGTCTCTCAAATAATCTTTTTTCTAAAGCGCCACCTTTCTCCTTTGCTGTTGAAAATAAACTATAAAAACACACACGCTCACACGACATACTTAATGAGAGGAACTTTGCACAAAGTGTGGAAATGATACTACAAGCAAAACTAAGAAGTATGGATCCGCCAGTTTGTTAGTGTTGATAATTTTCACCGATTTGTACACTCACACCCACGTCGTTAACTGTAGGATTATAATATGTGGCCAATCTTTGTATACGTTTTAAAAACACAAAAAAGAGCTCTATTTGAGTACAAGCAAGATCAAGTAGTAAGCTCGTCTCGGCTAATACCGTTGATATTAAGGTGGTGGTCAAGTGCATAAAGTTACTGGGGAGGGAGATGACGGTACTATGACGCTACATTTATCAGTGACATGATCATTAGAAGATACCTTCATATTATGTATCACACATCATCCAATATCGCAAGGAAGCGACTACACATGCCCATCATCAGCCGTCGGTTCCACCCTATAAACACTTAATTATTAGTAGCAAAAGCAACCAGTAGTCCTTCGATCCTCTTTCCAGTGAAAAAGAGTTCACCCAAGTACATGATCTGCAATAATAGAAAAGCTCTATAATGGTACACTCACACAGAGGTGCCAAGCTACACAATAAGGGACTAGACATATTAGCGGGCGAATTTTGCATATCCTTATTATTTTTGGTTTTCTTATATTATTTTCTACAAAGCAACCCCCCTTTATTTTTTATTTCTTTTCTTTTTTTTTGAAAACTCCTAATCCAATGCCATCAGACCGAGGTTTGCAAACAACCAATTCAATTCTTGCTGATCTTACACGTTGTCAAGATCCGTTGTCATGCCTATTATAGAACGGTCCTTTTCTCATGTGGTTTTATCTTTTTTATTCAACCCTAATACTATAGATCGACGCTATGGTCGTCCGAGTCAACGACGTACAACAAAGACGAATGGCTCTACTCCATACAAATATTCTTTAAGTGGATCACGGTAAAGTATTACTTGACGGTCCCGCATTCTTTTCTGTAAGGGGGGTCAACTTATTCCCAAACCCTTCTTTTTTGTATATACGAATCCTTTTTTAGATCGGATTCAACCATCATGAAACCATCGCGTTCCGATCGCGATAACTTAAAAAAACGTAAACGCAGCATTTCTTCACGGTCTGCCTCGATAATCGATGAAAGCGAGGAAGAAGAAGAAGATCCCAACGACTATAAAAAGGGAGGCTATCACCCCGTCCAAGTGGGTGAACTGTACAAAGACGGTCGATACAAAGTTATCCGTAAACTTGGATGGGGTCACTTTTCAACCGTCTGGCTTATCCAAGATCTAAAGTAAGATTTTGTTTGCTATCTTTTCTCTCTTTCTTTCTATCTATACTATACTTCTTTCTACACCTTCGTTTTCTTTTTCCCCCCTCACCTCATCCTCTACACACACACACACACACACAACCACTCAAAAAAACGAAACGAAACGTCAAACCAACCAATGAAAAAAAAGAACGGAAAAGCATTATGCAATGAAAGTCGTGAAATCAGCCAAGCACTATACCGAAACCGCACTCGACGAAATCAAGTTATTGCAACGCGTAGCCGAAGCAGATACACGAGCGATCGGATCCAACTATGTGACGGCTGTGGTCGACCATTTCATGATGAAGGGACGCAACGGAACACACGTGTGCATGACTTTTGAAGTATTGGGCGAAAATTTGCTGGCGCTGATCAAACGATACAGGAACCGCGGGATCCCTGTGCATCTCGTCAAACAGATTGCCAAACAGATGCTGTTGGGCTTGGATTATTTGAATCGGATCTGTCACATCATTCATACGGATTTGAAACCCGAGAATGTGCTCATGTTTTTGGATAATGCAGAGGAATTGCTCAGGGAGCCACAGTCGTCGACGACGACGCTTACTGTAGAGCCGGATCTTCTTGATACGAGCAGTCATAGTAATAGCTATGATGACAAACACCCGGGATCGGATCATAATGATGAGGATGAGGATGATCATGAACGTAGTCGTGGACGAAGTCGATTACGTAAAAAACCTGACGAGGATAGCAACAGTTGCGTGAAAACCGTGGCGTCACAGCCATTGTCGTCAGATGGTAGGAGGAATGGTCGTCCCGGTCGTGCTATTGAGCCAAAATCACGTAGTCAATCCAGGTAAAAGCCCCTCCACATTATCCAATGACTTTTATCATTCCAGCTAATATTGTTTCCGCCTTCTCTCTTTGTGTATTACCAGATCAAAAGAACGCATCAGAGAGGACAGATCAGAGCAGGGCAGTAGGAGACCGAACCGTGAAACGATAAAGATCAAAATTGCAGACTTGGGGAATGCATGTTGGGTGAACCATCACTTTACCGAAGATATCCAAACCCGTCAATACCGATCACCCGAAGTGCTTTTGGGCGCCAAATGGGATGCCACTGCAGACATTTGGAGTTTAGCATGCATGGTAAAAAGCCCTTTTTTATACATTCTCTGACACACAAAAAAAAAATGGCTTTTGACGCTTTCTGATCTGGATCTACACGTCTAGATTTTCGAGCTCTTGACTGGCAATTATTTATTCGACCCACAAAAGAGTTCTCGGTTTAGTAGAGATGATGGTAAAAAAAACAGACATGGAGTAAATAAAGAGAGACTACTCATATGGCGTATATATCATTATTATTTAGACCACTTGGCACAAATGATCGAATTAATGGGACCCATGCCACGCCACTTTGCATTGTCAGGCGCCGACGCACGCGAGTTCTTGAATCATCGAGGCGAACTGCGACACATTACACGGCTAAAGTACTGGTCACTCAAGGACGTGTTGCATGAAAAATACGGATTTCACCGACGCGAGGCCGAAGAAATCGCCAGTTTCTTGGAACCCATGCTACAGTATGAGAACCGAGCTGAAGCGTTGGACATGTTGTACCATCCTTGGATCAATGGTGTAGAACCTATCTTGGAAGGAGAACGGAAAGATGAAGTGGAGTGGCAAAAGCATGCACGACCTTGGAAGGAATGGGAAAGAAAGTTTAATAAGCGAAGGCGACGACCTTGAATACACCACCTTGTCAATTGTTCTCTTTGATCTCCACCTGCAATTGGATGTGGTTTATGCACACACACAAACAAACAAAAAAGAAACAAATTATGTGCTCCATTCTTGAAAAAGACTTGAAGGGTACCTAGCCCCTCCGAGTTGTCACTATTTTTCCGTTTATTACGACCGTTTCATTTTCTTGGACGGTTGACTATGATTGTTATTGTTTTTGTTGTCCTGATCCGGCGCACTCCGTTTTTCTTGTTGTTGTTGTTTAGATTTCGGTGGTTTGGCCGGTGCAGTCGTTTGTAAAATCTTGACGTTCGTAGGTCGATACAGTGTTGCTCCGTCGTGATCCAGTCGATCCAACCATTCAGGATAATTATTCTGTACCTCGTCCACTGCTAACCGCAATCGTTCCTCCTCCTCCTCCTCCATTTTGAATGCAACAACAGCCACACGTGTCAATGCAAGTGCACCGCTTAACTTTAATTGAGCTCCCTCGGGTAAGGGCACAAGCTTGACGTTTGCCAATGAACACATGGTGATAAAGTGGTTGCACAGTTGCGTGGGTTGAATGTCGCGTTTGCATACAAAGACAGTCCATTTTTCTCCTGACATTAGGGCGTCATTGTTGTTGTGAATGATTTTTTCTAATAGGCTGGTGACTGTATTGATGCCCGTATGAACGCGTTGTTTTTCGTGGATCTCGGGGTATTGCGTCTGTAGTTCTTTTTTCTTTTGTTTGTCTTTGGTCTTTTGGATCAGTCGTCGATGGTCGCCAATAGGACTTAGTATTCTTATAAAGGGGGATACTATGTTATACATGGCTCTGTCTCTCTCTCGCTCTCTTCAAACAGGCATATTAAAAATTTACATACGATACGAGGTGTTCCAAGATCGTTTGACCGACTTCATTAGGTACTGCTGGCCTATTTTTTAAAAAAATGGTACGTCAACATTTATGAAATATGGGATCGATCGATCGATGGAATCCACCACCCCAATTTTCAATCCTTTTTGAAGTCTAGAAAAAGAAAAAAAAAATATATAGTTTGAGGAACATACCATTTCATTGTGAATGGAGAATCCAAAACATTTTTAAAAACTTTCTTTCTAGCTTGTGCTTCATTTCGAATGCTTTCGCCTGAATGGACCGTTGCCATGGTTGGGATAAAAAAAAAAGATTATTTGGTATTTTTTTTGTAATACAAAATGTGTCGTCGTGAAGGAGTTTTGGAGTGAATTGATATAGCGTGCACGCAAAAAAACAGAAAGAGGTGACAAAATGACAAGCCACGGTTATATATATGAAAAAAAAAAGAAGGCTGTGAGGAAGTGTATGGTGGAAGGGTTGGGGGGGAATACAACAAATGCTACAAAAGATATAAAAACTCCTACCCAAATATACAAGAAAATAGTTCTAAAGGAGGAGTGGATTTGGTAAAGAAATAAGGGCCCTTTTGGGGAGAGGCTCACCTTTTTTTTTTTTGGTGGAGGAAGGATAATAGAAAGATGAAAGAAGGGTAGTAGTAGTAGTGGTAGTAGTAGTAGGGGTTGGGTAGTGCCAAGTGCGCATGAAAGAATGAAGTGGGGAATTATAGCAACCGGCATAACTTTTTTTGCAGACGCATGATACCACCCGACATGGCAGTGCGTGTGGCTGCTTCAATGACTTCGCTTACATACTTGTTCTCCATGGCACTGCATTCGTAGTATTTCGCGCCGATTTCTCTTGCTAATCGATCGCCCTATTTGTTTTGTTGTATCTCTTTTAGTTTGATTTTGTTGTTGCTATGGAGACAAAAAAGATTTGTTGTAGCCATGGAGACAAGACGTGTGTGTGTACCTACCTCTTCATATGTAATTAACCGATGACCCAATGCATTCAGCTGGGCGATCCGCGCTTGGTTTTCCCGCAGATCAATCTTTGTCCCGACCAACAATTTAGGAACGTTTTCACAAAAATGGGTGACTTCGGGCAACCACTATTAAAAGAAGGTTTCCCCCACCACACATGTTAAGAGTTACACCCCATCATTTTATAAACCCATCAGGAAAAAAGAAACAACAAACTTACTCTATCCTGTACGTTCTTGAAGGAAGTCGGTTGATCAATCGCAAAACATATCAAGATCACATTGGTTTCCGGATACGACAAAGGACGCAGTCGATCATAATCTTCTTGACCTGCTGTATCCCACAGTGCAAGCTCTACCACTTTGTTATCCAAGTGAACGTTTGCTATATAATTCTCGAAAACCGTAGGAACATAGCGCTAATACATAGATATATATATAAGTTTTCGGTTTCTTCTTGGGTTAACCCTCACTTTTTTTGTTTCTTGCTCGAACACTCTCTCACCTCTGGAAAAGCGCCATTTTGATACACGACGAGCAAACTAGTCTACAGAGAGAGATTTGTCCCAACCGACACCAATAAAAAAAAAGAAACCGTCAATGTACAGATTGTTGTTGGTCATTTTGTTTGATGGGAGAAAAAGCACTCAATTAACCCTTTTTTTTTTACCTTTCCACAACCACCATCACCAACAACGACAAGCTTTTTCCGAGCAACCTTTTATATATATAAAAGAGACAGTGTAGATATATGTAAATAGGGTCCTTTTCTCCAGCCGTTTGTTATACATCGTCGGGTAATGCGAATGAAGCATAAAAAGTGCGGGTTGAAAAAGGAAAAGAACAATTTACCCGAGTCATTTTGGTGTGATAAACAATATACTAACAGTTTTGTCGTTTTGTGACCGAGTCAACTGAAGAGGGGAAGAAAGGGGGGAAAGGGAAAAAGAAGCAAGAAAGAGAGAGAGAGAAAGAGAAAGAAAGAACAAGTGGTGGTGTACGTCTCACAAAAAAAAGTCTAAAATAGGGGAGAGTGATAGGGTTACTGCTAAACTGTGCTTTCTAAAGGATGATGGTGGATGTGACCTTCATTGTTCTTTTGGGAGGTTGTCATTATTATACGATTTATAATTATAGATACAGATCAGAGAGAGAGAGAGAGAGTGTGTGTGTGTGTGTGTGTGTTTGGAGGGGGAGCAGTTTATTGTTTTTTATTGTTCTTCTTGTGCTTGTTGTTGTTCTTGTTCGTCGTCTTCGTCTTCTTCGTCACGAATCAAGCCCATATTGCTCATCAGGACAAGCACTTTGACCAGCTGATTTCTTTCGGCATGTTCACGCAGCGGCGATTGAATGCTGGGTATCCGTAATAAAATGTCCTTGAGTTGTGCTTCGGGCAGGTTGGCCACCATCTTGACCGACTCGGGCTGCGTTCTCTGTGGAACAAGAATAATAGTAATAATAATAGCGATGAGTACCCATATCACTCATCTCTCTCTCCATGTGTGTTTTGTGTGTGCATCCAATATACGTTAGTCTGTATATACAGACATCGACACACTCTCTCTCTGTCTTTTTGTTCTTGTTTACCTCAGTGCATTTCACAAAGCCATCCCATAGTTTTGGATACGTCCACACTTTTTTCTTTATCAGTTTTTCCAGTAGTTGGAGAATGAACTGAACCAAGCTTTTATATACAGAGACTGTTCGAATCATCTATATATGTATATATTTCAGTTTTTTTTTTTTAAAAAACAAATCCGTATGTTTTTCCGTTCATGTTGTTGTTGTATGACGTTTTTCATATGTGAAAACAGGGTGAGATGATTGGACACAATCATTAGTTTTTGATAATGCACGCGGTGACAGTAATATCAGCAGCAGTAGTAGGATGAAAAGAAACTTACAGTGACCATGAGCAGTATAGGGATCTTGGGCTGTTCAGCAAGATGTCGTAACGCCGCCGACACGTACTTTGCTTCAAATGTATCTGGCATTGTGAAGCAAATATTGATTGCTAATTTTTCAAGATAGGAGTCAGTCAGTCAGTCTTGGGGGAACTCAAGATCTTTTAAGTAGATTACCTTCAACAGCTTTAGGTAGCGGTACATTCTCTTCCATTTCATGCAATGCAAGCAAGAGCTCGGTGGGCGTCATGGGTGCAGCCACTGTTGCACTGCTGGATACAATGCGTGAAAACACCTTCTTCACGACCTTGCGCTGAGCATCGGTGTTATTAAGCAATTCGACAATTTTCGAAAGATTGTGACGAAGGTCCTCCTGTAAATAAACATAAATTTAGAATTATGAAACCAAGTTTTGCATTGTGATGGATAGATAGATAACGTTACCTTGCTAAGACCAGAAACAATCGGAATAAGGAACTTGGCGTCAAGATTCCGTTCTTGATACACAGATTTTACTGCTGCCACAAGCTCTGGCGTGGGTCGTACTACATAAACCGAGATTTTAACAACGTTTTCTTTTTTTTTTTGGAAGCATATCAAACAATGATTATTTTACCCGTATCACAGAGTGTGACAAGAATTCGAATGACGAGCGTCTCACCACCCGGAGGAAAGTGGCGAATGGTATCCAGAAGTTTAGCCGAATTCATGCCGATGGACTTGATCAGGTTGTAAATGTGTTGGCGAATCACGCGTTGCACTTGCTCCGTTGCATGAATATATACATTGAAAAGTCTACAGCCGGCCTTTTTGTTAGGATTACCTATAAAGAAGCAAGCAAATAACCCCTTGCAACTTACTCGTCTAATAAATCGTTCTTTTTTGCACAAAGAGCGAAAAACAGTTCAGCATGACGCACCACATCTTGTTCTTTCCATGCCTCTGCATCTTCATCCTCTTCCTCCTGTCCCTGCTGTCCATCTTGTTTCGCTGCTGGTGTGGTCATGGTTGTATCACCCTGTTCATCCTCGACGTCTTGTTTTTCCTGTCCATTCTCATCGTCGTCGTCGTCACCTGATTGTGTCAATGTCTGCAATGCCTGGATAGCATATGCCTCGACTTGCGGTGCAATCGCCGGATGGTCAGGGACCCATTTTCGAACAGCCACAATACTCGTCGACCGCATCTTGACATCGCGATTGATACAATAATCAAGCAACACATTCAAACACACTTGTCGCACCGGCGGTCGATGGGCGACCAAATCACGGAGTGTCGACACACACGACACAAACCGCGCAGGATTCTCTCGCATGTTGCGCCGGATCAAATCAATCGATTCTGCATTCAACGCGGGTGCGTCCAACATGAGTTTGCTCAATGTCTTGTCCTTGGCTTCTTGGAGCGTCGGTATCCCTTTTTGTAAAAGCAGTTGGAGCCATTTGAAATACGTCGGTTCGTATCCGTCGTCGTTGGGTGTCAATTGTCGTTTTCGGATCGTGTCACAATGGAATTCTTCATGAAGCCATTCTATGGCAAGTTCGTGTCTATTCATTCATTCATTCATCCCCGCGAAAGTCAAATTCAGCAAAAACCAAACTAGTATGCCTCTTTTTTTTTTTGGATCAAAAGATTACCTTGATGGAAGGTCTGCAACAATGAAATCAACGAGCATCTCTTTTAAATGGTCTGAATTCGAATCTTCTTCATTCAAGAGTGCCATTTTCATATTCATTTCCTTGGTATCGCTCCCATTGGCTTCTGTCGTTGCTTGTTGTATTAACCGTTGTTGTTGTTGATCAGGCATCGTATACGCCGTTCCTCGCGTCAATAGTTTTGCAACCAGCAATAACCAGGTTGTCTTTGCAGGATGATGGTTCATTGCAGCTCGTACGGATGGTGGCGTTCCTGCTGTATTGGAGGATGGATCACTTTGAGCAGGGTTGGTAGCAGTATTAGCAGGTACTTTTGTCGCCGTTTGTAACGCATATTCTGCATCAAAAATACGCTGAACCGACATTTTTAAGAGTTGCAATTGTTGATCACGGTTAGGTGTCGATGGTGCTGCTAATTCATAGGGTTGCATTTTCAATGATTGGGATGCGCGTTCCTGAACACTGGCAAGAGGGACATGGGATTTGTTGGCAGAGGACGATGATGGCATTTTGGTATCGGCAGCAGCAGTAACAGCGTTATGATCGCGTCTTGGCCGTTTTGCTTCGCGCTGTTGTTCAATGATCTTTTGATCACGATCATGCTTTTTAGAGGATGACGGTGAAGGTGGTTGCAGAATAGGCGGTTGGGATGGTGTTCCTACTGCTGCTGCTGCTGGAGGGGGTGCTACTGGTATCATCGGTTGTTGCTGTTGTGTTGGTAGTAAAGGCTGCTGCTGGTTATTGCTGTTAGGCATCAATCCGGTTGGCGGCAACTATCATATATACGCGGAATTTACGAAAATGCAGCAAAGACATCAGCATCAAAAAAAAACCCCCCCATGATTCTCCTCTCGACATACTCTGCTTCCGTCATTTACCATATCAATCCGTTCACGAATGGTTTGTTCTGGAACACTCTGGAGCACAGCCAGACAGATTTCAATGACAATAGGCAATGGCAGTGTAGTGGCATTGAAATTGGCGAGTGGATTAGGTCCGTTTTGAGACGGTGGTGGTGGTGGTACTGTTGTTGTTGTCGTCGGTGGTGGTGGTGGAGTGGGTGTATGGACGCGTTGTTGCAGCTTTTGTTGTTGTTGGGGTGGTGTTCCGTGATGAGAAAGTTTGGTTCGTTTTTCAGAACCTTGCTCAACTGCTCCTGCTCCAGCGCTTCCTCCGCTTCGCTTGGATCGCCTTGATTCCTCATTCTCTCTCCTTTCCCGTTCTCGTGATTGTCGACTTTGGAATATCGCAGGGTTGCCACCCGCAGCTGCAAAGCCGGCTATGAATTCATTGCGATACGATGAGAGTTGCTCAGTGCTACATTCAATTAAAAGAAAAAGTTTTTAATATCACATCAATCTCTTTGTCAAACACTTTTTTTTTGAAGGTTTACTCACCGGATCAGTGTTGTCAATGCAATCTTTACGATCTTTTCAACACTTCTTTTTTGTACGGCAGATAAATTGGACGGCGGCGCTTTGGCAAGATTGACGAGTGCCTCGATGATGTGTCGTCGGAATTGCGGGCGTTTCTTTACAATGGGAACCAAACAATTGACAACTGCAGAAAAAATGACACTCGTCCTAGAAAACATTTAGAAAATCAGCAATTCCTCCCCTCCAACAAACCAACTTCATACTCGTTTCCAAACATCCCCACTTACTGATCACTCTTTAACATATCCAAGAATACTTGTAAAAGGGATTGTCCTTTTTCTTCTAATTGGGCGATATCCAATAACCGATGGTTTTGCCGAACCGATGTCAATGAAAAGTCCTCCTACAAATATATACTCCACTAAGTCACCATCTTTCTTTTCAAGGTTATTATATATACCTTTTTGTTTGGATCATTTGGCTTTGAATAGAGTAGGACAAGGACTTGGATACATTTGAGTGCATTGATACAAAGACCCGTGTTTGCATGCTGTACGAGATTTGTTTCGATGGTATCAGATAATGAGGATGCACTTTGCCACATACGCGTCTCGGCCTCGTTTTGGCACCTGTAGATAGTGTTGTAGGTAGTGTTAATTCAGGAATCTTTGTAAAAGAAGTAGTCAACGAAAAAAGAAAAAGATAAACTTACACAGTCTTGAACACATGGGGTAGCACAGTCGCGAATGCTCTTAATGCATCCTTGACATTTTTCAATTCGTCTTCGGATTGCGCGTCTTGATTAATCAAGTGTGTAAGAGCATCCAAAAACTGATTGGTGGCATACGTTTGTGCATCCTCTGGATGGGCGAGCACCTCCTGATCGAATTCGTGTAATAGTTCCAATTCCATTCTGTTCTTCTTCTTTTGTTTTTGGGAAAGGAAAAGGAAAAAAAAAAAAGAGATTGTTGTTGAGTGTTAAAAAGGAACAGTTTTTCTCCACTCTGTACAATTTTACAGAAAGAAAAAAAAGACCGGTTAACAATTGAAGGAACCAGAGGAAAAGAAAGTATCTTTTTTTCTTTTCTTTGGGAAAAAAGGGCGGTAGGGAAATGCGAATTGACTTGGAATGCAAGAGCCTACTACTATATGTACAAAAGCAAAGAGAAGAGCACTCAACGCCTGCTTTGACAGTGAGTTGAGAGAGAGAGAGTGGAAAAAATTCCCAGCCATGTGGGGTGCGGCTCCCAATCTATTTTGACAAAATAGTAAAAGTTCGCGTCTTGTGTCATTTTACTGTCAAGTTTCCCTTTATTCAAAGGTTGCTCTTGATTGTATTTATATATAGTCTGCTCGAGAATCCCTTTTTTAATTTGACGATCGATTCTAAAGACGTTTACTTGGCTGGACGGACACACTTATAATTGGGTCTTAAGTGACGGGTTTGCGGCAAAGGTACATAGCCTATTACCGAGGCAACTGGCTGTCAAGTCAATTAGCATGGGTTATTGTTTTTTCTTGGATAGAAATCTTCACCCCTTCTCCCTTTTCCTTAAACAAGGGTAAACAAGTGACAGGTTTAAAAAGACTGGGGATTCTTTTTCGTTGAGGTTAGAGAAACTTTCTTTTATTACGCATCTTTTAACGACGTCTGTATCACAAACGGAAAAAGATGCGGAATTTTGCAGTCGCATTAAAGCTATTTGTCTTAATAGCGTCATGGCTCCCGCTATTCGTACACAGCACACCAGCATTCAATGAAGGTAGAAAAAAACTTTCTCTTGACGACTTTCGATAAGAAAAAAGGTGGAAACCAAAAACCCTACTAAATGTTGTAATGCCCAATATCACGTCGAAACAGTAAACGGCTACCAAAGAAACGGCCAACGATGTCCGTTACCAACCTATCATTCTTACCAATGTTCCCATCTCTGCGTTCGAGACATTCAATCCTGTCCAGCCCAATTCCGACCCAGTTGTGACGACGGTCTAACATACTGCGTGGATGGATCGTGTCGCGCATCATGTCCCCCCGATCTTGCCTCAGGTTGCGCTTGTCCCGGCACACCTGCACTTCAAGGCCTCGTCTATCCATGTCAAGGCGGCCAGACGGTCGATATTCCGCAGTTCAATGCGTCCGATATGGATCAGCAAACCATGACAGCGTGTTCCAACCAGATTGGTGTCAGTGGACCAGCATGGAATCCGAATCCACAGTCGATCATGTGGGGCGAGTGTCCAGCGCCGGATTATGGGCCATTGACGTTTACTGAGCCTGCGTTTATTGCGCTGTATACGTTTTATGGTTCATGCGTGGCCTCTTTGGTCGGATGGACGTTGTATAAACGGTTCAGAGAAAAGGTGAATAAGGCGAGAGAGCTTTGGCTCTTTTTTATGAGTAGTAGTAGTCATAGTCGGGGTGGTAAAAAGCTAAAGACCTCACATTTTCATTTCTTTTCTTAGTTTATCAAAATGAAGTTTAATCGCTTGCGCACGACGCATATGCGCGAGTACCAGAATGATGGTGACGAAGAAGAAAAGAAAGCAGCAACAGCCAATCCACCCAAAAACGTGAGTCCCCAATATGCATGCTTATACAAAAGAATTACTGTCCCAATAATAGAGTAACGATATACCATTGAAACGGCTATATCATAATAGGTCCTTGAAGACGATGACACCTCATCCTATCTGTCCTCGTTGGAACCCGAGGAGAAGATGGTAATCAAGGCATACAAACGCGACTATATTGGCATGTTTGTCTTTTTTCTGTACTTTCTCCAAACGATTGGCATGATTGCCTATATGATCATGCTTACTCAAGACTACTATGACGAGTACCTTCTGTTCCGAGGCGATCAAACTGTCCAAGCAAGGTAACTTTTTTTTTCTCGAATATATATTTATATCTCAAAAATTAACTTGGTTATAGTGTGTTTATTGCCATGTGGTACATCTTTTTCGGATGGTTTGCTGCCCTGGTCATGTTCCAACATCGATTGCCCAACTTTTTCCGTATTCAATGCACTTATTCCGAAGGACAATATGTCCAAGTGGAAAAAGATGAGCCAGGTAAAATCATATTCTCCTTCTATTTTTAAAAAAAAAAAAAGAACATAACCAACACACGCTATATATATTGTAGCAATGATCTTTTTGGAAGACGATGACGTTATCATGAAAAACGTGCGTCGACTCGAAGAATGGGGCAAGCGCGTCTTGGGTCTGGACGTGGTCGTGACCACTTCACCATTGCAAAAGACACGCACGGGCACCAAGTTTTTCGTGTACCAGTGCACACGCTATGTGTACCATCCCGAAACCCAGTTGTTCACGCCGCATGAATTTGATCTGGGTGGCACCAATGCTGAACTGGCTCAACAGACCAAGGGCCTGTCCAACGACGAAGCCGCTAAACGCGAGGAGCTTGTAGGCCCTAACTTTATCGAGGTCTACGTGCCCAACTTTTTGATGGCTGTGCTGCGCGAATTCTCGTCGTTCTTTTACATTTATCAGTTTACGGTGCTTTGGCTCTTTTACTACTTTGCCTACTGTAAGTTCCCCCCCCAAGACATATATATTCTTAGTAGTAGTTGTTTTGAGAAAACAAAAAGAGAGAGCAAGGGACTAAAAAACAATGACCTACACAGGGCAGGTGGGTATTGCCGACACGGCCGTGATTCTACTATCTGCCTTTGTCAAGGTGGTTGTTCGTCTACGATCCGAACACCGGATCAAGAAAATGGCCGAGTTCACAGACAATGTCAATATCTTGCGAGACGGCGAATGGCAAGTCAAATCTACTGCCGATCTTGTCCCAGGCGATGTGTTTGAAGTAGACGAAGGCAAGACGACACCCGTAGACGCCGTTGTACTGAACGGCAACATTGTAGCCGACGAAAGCTCATTGACGGGCGAACCGCTGCCTATCCGGAAATTCCCGCTACGTACAGACGATCCTACGCCCTACGACCGTATTGGCGCAGGCAAGACATCGACCATCTTTGCAGGCACAACCATCTCACAAGCCGAACGCACTGCACCAGGCCAACCCGTCGCTGCTCTGGTCACACACACAGGTACTGGCACGGACAAGGGCGAGCTGGTGAAAAAGATTCTGTTCCCAACCCGTGTCTCGTTTGTCTTTGATGAACAAATCAAGATTGTCATTTTGATCCTGCTCTGCTGTGGCTTGATTTGTCTTGCTTTGGCTATCTGGCTGTATGCCAAGGGCACCTCAGCTTGGTTTTATGCCATGTTTGCTATCGCTCAACTTGTCTCGCCCTTGTTGCCAGCTGCATTAGTCGTGGGTCAGTCTGTTGCTGCTGGCCGTCTTCGAGACAAGAATATCTTTTGTGTTGGTAACGTATCTCCCCCTTCTTTCTTCGAAAAATGTAAACAGTCGTCCTTGGAAATAGTAACGAATACTCATGATGATTCTTTTTAAGATCTACCACGTATCTTGATGGCTGGCAAAGTTCAGCTCTTCTGCTTTGACAAGACAGGCACATTGACGCGTGAAGGTCTAGAGTTCTATGGCGCCCAACCGATTGCCGATGTGAACAATATCGTCGACCAACGCGCCAACAATGTTGATCCACGCTTTGGCGATTTCCACAACCATGTGCTCGACGTACCCCGTCTCATGCAAATGGGCCTTGCCACGTGTCACGCTGTCACTATATTGAACGACCAATTTATTGGTAACCCAGTCGATATCGAAATGTTCAAGTCGTCAAAGTGGAAACTCGAAATGACATCCCATGAAAAGAATAAGGACAACTATGTGGATACATTTACTCCGCCTGTCGAAAAGCCAGGTGATAATGCGGATCCGGTACATATCTTGAAACGCTTTGAATTTGTGCATGCGCGCATGTCCATGTCAGTGGCCGTGTTGGATACAACGACAAATAAGGTGCATGTCTTTGTCAAGGGCGCGTATGAAAAGGTCAAGGATTTGTCGAGTCCGCAATCCGTGCCGGAGGATTATGATGAAGTCTCTTCTGGATTAGCACGTAGTGGTTGCTATGTATGTATATCACCATAGCAACAAAAAAAAAGGACTACATGACTAATAGATTAATTGACATATATATACATAGGTCCTTGCATTGGCACATCGCGAGCTGGATCTAGACGAAGTCGGTGGCCTCGAAGCACTACGCCACTGGAACCGTGACAAGTTAGAACAAAACATTGATTTCATGGGCTTGATCATATTCAAGAACCAGCTCAAGGACGACACGACCGAGAACATTGCCGAACTGAAACGTGGCGCCACACGCACCATCATGATTACGGGTGACACTGCATTGACAGGCGTATACATTGCACGCCAATGCGGTATGGCGCAAGAGGGGAGTAGAGTATTACTCGGTGACTACAACCATGAAGAGGACAGGGTCTTTTGGTTTGACGTTGACGAGCCAGACACTTTTAACGATGTGAATGTCGACGACTTTTTGATGGATAAGGAGCACACACCCGTTGAGCTTGCAGTGACGGGCAAGGCATTCCATTGGCTTGTAGAACAAGATATGATCCGCAAGTATTTGTTGGATATCCGTGTCTTTGCTCGTATGACGCCGAACGGGAAAGTCCAATGCGTTCAATTGCATATGGAACGCGGTATTACTGGCATGACCGGTGATGGTGGTAATGATTGTGGTGCGCTACGTGCTGCTCATGTCGGTATTGCCATGTCTGATGCCGAAGCGTCCATTGTCTCGCCTTTCAGTACAAGTGTACGAAGCGTAAAGTCTTGTGTCGAGTTGTTACGTCAAGGAAGAGGTGCCCTTGCAACCTCCATCACGAATTACAAGTATTTGATCCGTAAGTTTCTTGATATCTTTTTTTTTCCAAATAGTTTTATCAATGGGGTTCTCAATCACCATCATTTTCTAGTGTACGGACAAGTCATGATGATGCTCAAGATCTTTACGTTTTATTTCTCAATCACCATGTCACAGAACGTGTGGATTGTCGTTGATGTATTTATCACTGTGTTTTTAACATGGTGCGTTTCTCACGCCAAGGCAGCAGAAAGGTTGGCAAACCAGCGTCCTACTGCTCGTCTTCTTGGACCGCAGACGCTGGCGTCAGGAATGGGTCTAGTAGCAATTAACTGGCTATTCTTGATCGGCGCTTTTGTTATGCTTTACAAAGAAAGTAAGTTAGTAACGGTGTACCTTGCTGTAAAAAAGTAGTACGTTGGATGCTTATTTAAAACTAATTTCCCTGGAAAAAAAAAAAGACTGGTTCCGGTGCAATGAATTCGATGCATCAGCAGTCAACTTGGCCAAATGGTGGCTTTTAGCAGACAACTACGAAGCCGAAGTCCTTGCTTTAGTGTGTCTTTACGACTTTATCAACAATGCAGCTGTATTCAACTTTGGCTACAAGTTTAGACAAAGCTGGTGGCGCAATTATCCTTTGGTGATCCTCTGGGCAGGCTATCTTGTCATTGTTTCCTATTGGACCCTGGCAGATCCAAACAACTTTGCCTGTATGTTCCGTTTCAATTGTGGCACCAAGAGTGTCTTGGCACAGATTGGATATACGCCTCCGTCAAGATCAGTGGAACCTTATAATACGCCCCTGGGTCACAACGTCATGCCGTGGGATTTCCGCTGGCGGTTGTGGGGTCTGTGCGTAGGAAATATGGTTGCCACATTAGCCTATGAGAAATTGGTGGTCTTGGGCCCTGTTCACAGGTTCTTGTCACGGCATTTCCCTGTTGAACGCTTAAAGGTCAAGTACTAGTCTAAGTATAAACACACGCGTAATATGTATATAAAGTATAGTTTTTATTTAAAATCCTTATATAAAAGATATGAATATTTTTCCTTGGTTACCACCAGTAAAATCTATAGCTTATCAAGTTTGTTAATCAGTGTTGTCTACCTTTCCACGACGTAACAAACTGTCAACAGCGGCATGACATCTGCTGGAAACTTTCTTATATATTCTTTACGATATTTGATTCGGGCAGCTTGGATATTATGCGGCCACAGCATACACTCACCAGCTGCCATAACCGTACTCGATACTTCCTGCATCCCACACCCCAGTCTTTTGTCTTGTCTCTAGCAACAGCATTCCCATCCCGTATAGTCTTCCCGATTAATTGAATGTTTTTTCCAAACATCAACAGATATCCCATCCAGTCCAAGTTTATAAAAACCAATAATCATGTCGAAAGCGAAAGTTGTGGAATTCGTCTTTATTGGGCTAATATACGCCAAGTAAACGTATAAAAAGACACCAGCACCCGAAGAGATCCACAGATATGGAAGAAGAGCGGAGGGGCGAATAGTTTACTTCAACTATATATAAAACCTCCGGGTTAGTTTTCTACTAGACCAAACAAACACACAGTAGGTTCTCAAAATTGAGCACATATTTTACCTTCTTCTTGGGGCGGAGCTGGTTAGAGTGACCACACTTTCTCTTGCGGCAGTTGGTGGCACGAGGGGGGAGACGAGCATAGCACTTGCGGCAAATGTTCTTCTCACAGTTGTACTTGGAGGCCAACTGCTTCAACGAGGGTTCAATGATACCACCACGGAGACGGAGGACCAAGTGAAGGGTCGATTCCTTCTGGATGTTGTAGTCCGAAAGAGTGCGGCCGTCCTCGAGCTGCTTACCAGCGAAAATCAAACGCTGCTGGTCTGGCGGGATACCTTCCTTGTCTTGGATCTTGGTCTTGACATTTTCAATGCTGTCAGAGCTGTTGTAATATTTTATAACAAACAAAAAAGTCATTGTAAAGGAAGAGCGCGTGCGTTTTTTTTTTTTTTGGCCCGCCAGTGTGTATATAATTATGAATGTGGTGTGCCGTTACGTCCAATGTTGCATATAAAAAGAAGAAGAAAAAAAATAGACGAGAAAACATTTAGTTTCATCAAAAACTCCATAACATTTTGCATTCCTAGGTTCTCCTCCCTTTTTTTGAAAATGAAGAATGTACCTTTCGACCTCAAGAGTGATGGTCTTGCCGGTGAGGGTCTTGACAAAAATTTGCATTCTATAGAATAGCAATCGAATGGATGGATGCGTTTTTTTAGAGAAAGGATACGGATTACGATGGATGGATGTGCATGGATGGATGCGTCTCTTTCTTTGATGTTGGTGAAATTTACCTGACCGAAAAGAGGGAGAACTACTGCGTTGCGCCTGGCAGATTTGAAATTATTCTCCACCCCCCCTTACTTTACCGAACTCTGTCAGGCAATACCCCGCTAAGCGCAGCGCAGCTGATCTTTTTCAATTTCTCTTCTGCTGCCCACACCCCTTGTTGTATTCCCTTTGCGCCTGTCTTTCAACATACTCTTCAATACTACGACAATGACCTAATTCGATCGATACTACGTTGACATGTCTTGCGATTCAGGTTGCACTTTAGTCAAAAATTTGTGATTGTTATTTTATCAAGCTTAACACAATAACAACGAATAGGGAACATAGAACTCGAACTTATATAAAACTTGTCTTGTTCTTTTTTCATTCTTTGTGATGTGTATATGCAATACTGAATATGTAGGAAGGTCAAGAAAACAAAACCTAGTAGATGAGATGATATTTCCTTTAAAGATGGATATATAAGCTGTTACAGCATCGTGTGTTTAACAAGCAAGATGGTATTAACTTTGCCACTGCCATCATCAACAGTCGATCAGGGCGCGTAATCAGTTGTTATGTGATATAACGTTATCTTTGCAGCCGAAGCTTATCATTTCAACTTTAAGGATATGTTTTTGTGGAACAACAATTTCTTTTAGGATCGTAGCTAATCTGCTGTCAGAGAGACAAAGAGAGCTTTGGAGTCAATGTATTGGGAAAGTGGGGAAAAGAACAATCTACTTTCTAGTAGGCAAATCAACACATTCGTTGGGACGGCTTCATTATCGAAATCAGAGTGGTTAAAGACTTTGTGTGTGACATAGCGCTATAGACCATCAAATAAGTCTACGACGACGTCGGATGCACCCTTTTCTTGCGCCATAGAGATGCCTTTCTTGAGCCAAAGGTGGCATCATAGGTACGTCGAAATGCTCCAACAAACAGAGCGATTGCTTTGTGATGCATAAGCTGGTTCCAAAATCAGTGGGGTGGCAGCGTTTTTGATCTGACGCGACAAATTTACAAATCGACGTTGATGTTCTTCTTCTTCCAACCCTACATATACATGTAACAGAACAATTTAGTATATACGTCCAACAACAACAACAACAACAACAACAACTTTAGATCATGACTCTCCCTTACACCTTTTGGACCTCAACAATTTTTTTTGGGGTGATTAAAGCTAGAGTGGGAGAGACGGGGAGAAAAGAACAAGTGAAGAAAAGGCAAAGGAAATCGAGTGAGCGTACCTCAACCTCACATTTATTTGTCCTGCCAGACAGAGCACAGAATATCCTTTCAGTGATCATCGTACTTGGTAGTAGCATCGGGTCTTTTAATTGACTATAGAGCAATCTCAAATCGGTGTCAATATCAATAATTCGTACATAAGAGTAATGGAACCAACAACTTGCAGATACTCCAGAAAATCCTATCATGTGTACAATAATATAAATTTACAAATGTACCCTTTCTCAGGACTGTTAAGCTAATAAACCTGCTAGCAAAAATCGTCGATGCCGCTGACGATGGTCATGGCTTCCAAAAAAGCTGTACCAGCAGAATCAAGAATTCGTTAATAATAAAATCAAAGATAGGGGATCGCTTTTTTTAGAATTTTGTGTATTTTTTTTGATGCTCATTATGATGATTTTTGAGGGGATCTAAGCTCCTAAATGGTACATACGGTCTAGAATAGGTTTTAGAGAAATAGAACAAATCAAAACATATAAACCGAAAGGTGAGTATAGCATGCTTCAAAACTGCTCCTCCTAGGGATCAAAGGAAAAAGTAATTGTATCTGTAATTCTGACAGCTTCGGGTCGGTTTCGAATGCCATGCGAACATTAAAGTTCGTCTTCTGATGCAACAGACGCCACGTGTAACCTAAAATAGACGGCCGGCAACTGCAGGCGAGGACATATATACGCTGGAAACAAGGAAAAATAGGGCTTCGTATATACGTTCTTTAGCACACCAGCCCCATATGTATACCGAGAGTAGATATAATACTAGTGAGTGTGATTTTATACATTGCTATCAAGACCTCTCATCAGCGCGCCAGAAGAAACATTTACGTACCGTGTTGGTTGCTGTTATATATATGTCTAATGGTAAACCAGAAAACCTAGTTGCGGTTTCTCATTGCCGATGAATGCACCTAAGAAACATTGCGGGATATTGTATCGAATGAGCTCTAGTGCAGCACGGTCGTTGACTCGTGATTGTATGAATGATGATGATCACAGACACAAGTGTTCATGTATCTACCACACCACACCCATATCAATTAGCAGTAGCGGTCCATAGAGCTTCATTGTTGGTCATTTGAGTAGATACAACATCATCGTCATCATCGGAGCATGCATAATTGGGTCACCGAGGACAAGACGCATGACAAACAAGGTTGATTGTTGATTCCATACTACGCTGGATATTTCTTTTGTGTTTGTAAGCACCCTTGTTTATCTCTAGTATAATAAAATGTGGTCAACTGCATACGGCCCTTATATGCACAATTATAACAAGTTGCATATTTTGGGGTTGAAAGGGATACTACTAACTCTTTTTGTTTCCCTGTACACAAAGACGCTTTCTTAAGGAGTAGAGCTAGTTGCCATTCAAGAAGCTTATGAACTGTCGAAAACATAAAGTCAACACTACATACAATGTGTATATCTATCATACGACTGAGCTGGTTAAATGATTAAGATGCACCGGTTGTCAAATTCTTCCCCCTTTTTTTTAATTCAATTCCCAATTTGCTGTCTTTGGGAAGAAAGGAAAGAGCCATCTTCATAGCATCCGGCGTCAGATCGCTGCAATATATTATAGACTAATTGTGCTCATCTCGAGAGAGAGAGAGAGAAAAGGGTTTCGAGTATATACTCTTCAAGGCACAATGACAACAGCGTGACGTCTGAGGTTGCTCGGCACACAGTATCCTATCTACTAGTAGTACAAGCTAAGGATATATACTGCCGTCATCACACATATTAATAAAAAGCAAAGGCTTACCACTAAACACATTCAAAAGTATGTGTACGTAATGTCGTTGTGTGTGTATACCTTAATTTTCTACTAATGTCATCATCATCCTCAGGAATGAAGCAGGGGTTAATGTTCGCTTTTTTACTGAAAAAGGAGATTTTCCACTAATGACCTTCCTTTTTGCCAGGAACACAAAGCAGCACGTCCTCCTCTGTCATATGTCAGCCAATTAACAGTGAAACAAGTTGCTGTTATCAACGATGACACCACATTAAATATGTATACAGTATGACGGCAAATCACGATCGTTAATTGTTTGTTTACTTTCGATCAACAGAAAGGTGTAACACCGGTGTGTAGGTCAACTCAAAAAAAAAAAAAGTTTTAGTCCCAACAGAGCAAAAAACCATGACGAAATACCTGTTTTTTTTGCACTGTGTGCTCCATGTCGTCGTCGCCTTCATCCGAATCATCGTTTAGAGTTTCTTTATTACTGTTATTAAGTCGCTGTTATGTACATTGAGGATGATGCACCTAGAAAACGTACGTTAATAAACAATACGGAGTTCTTATATCTTTTATATAAAACAGCTTTCGCTTTCGACGCTTTACTTTTCCAACGCTTTCTCTTTTTCCTTACCAACCCCCTTCCCTTCACACTCACTTGACTAGATATCATTCCAGATAACAACAATGTTACTTCCGGCAAGAACATTGGCATTCCTTTCCACTGTACTTCTATGGTCACTCACGGTTGTTGTCCATGCCGCCCCTTCCACTGGCAAGGCCATCACTGGCTACTTTCCAAACTGTACGTATCATCATGTTGGCTACTTTTGCATATAAGCAATCCCAAACTCTTCTACCCCCCTCAAACAACACAGCTCTAAACCTTCAAAAATCCTTAAATCTGTCGCTAATTCTTTAAAAATACCCATTCTTCTTGTTTGTTGTTTATCGGATAGGGCTGTATGCTCGCTATCCTGTGACCTCCGTTGATTTCTCAAAGTATACGCATATCAACTATGCTTTTGCTATCATGATCAAGGGCAACACCCCCGAGTGGACAGATGCACAACAAGTCGAAACCCAATTGCCTCAGCTCGTCAAGGCCGCTCATGACAAAAATGCCAAAGTTTTGATCTCTATCGGTGGATGGAGTGGCTGTCTTACGTTAAGGTATGTTTACTAGTCGCGACCGTTGTCGTCGTTGTTGTTGCTGTCGTCACTGGGGAAGTTTGAATGTCGTCTCACTCACCCTTTTTTTTTATATAATTCTCGCGATATGCTAGTCCCATGGCAGCAAGCGCTTCGGGTCGTCAAGAATTCATCAACTGGAGTACCCAACAAATTGACAAGTAAGTTGTCAGTCCTAGTCGAGTCGTCCGCCACATCCTACTGGAATATACCGTTCTTACTAACAGTAACACGTACTCATCATCATCATCATCATCATCACTAGATATGGCATCGACGGTATTGATATCGGTACGAAATCATCAATTTATTATTTTGACAACCAAAAGATACAATGGAAATCTTATACTCTTTTTTTTTTGTTTCAAAGATTGGGAATATCCTGGTCGTCAAGGCGCTGGCTGTAACGTCATTGATCTTCAGAACGATGCCAAGAACTATCTGACCTTGTTGCAAGAGATGCGCGCTGCTTTGGACAAAAAGTACAAGAAGGGTACCAAGGAATTGACTGCTGCTGTCCACGTTCGTACATTCAACACGCCTTCTGGCAACATGCAAGACGTCAAGGCTTATGCTGCTGTTCTCGATCGCGTCAACCTGATGACGTATGACATTAACGGTGGATGGAATACGACTACTGGTAAGACTCACTGTTTTTCTTTCTGCTGTCACAAACCTGTAGACACTCTTTCTTGACCTTACTAACTCTGGCGTCGTGTGTGTATCGTATTTAGGACCCAATGCGCCTTTCAACTTCCAACCAGGTTTTGGTGATAGCGATAGCTTTGTTTCTTCCATTGATGGTTGGCTCAAGGCAGGTATGCCTGCAAACAAAATCTCTCCCGGTCTCGCATTCTATGGTCGCTCAACCAGTAAGTCTTTCTTTTTTCTTTGACAACAACTCATATTTTACAAAGGGATATTCGTCAACAACAACAACAACAACATGATATTAATTAGAGGGTTATCCTATAGCTGCCACTGTCGATATGAGCAAGACCAATCAATATCAGCCTCAAAAACAGAGTCAAAACCCCAAAGGCGACTCATACGATGCATTCTGGCAAGATCCTTACTGCAGCAAAGACCCTGGAAGCATGTCTGGCATCTGGCGGTACGGCAACTTGCGCTCGGAAGGCGTCCTGACAACGCCAACGACGGCAGCATCACCCTGGATCCGCAAATGGGACAAGGTGACACAGACGCCGTGGCTCTTTAACCCCACCAACAAGACATTCGTCTCGTACGATGATCCTCAATCGATTGCTGTCAAGGTCAAGTACGCCAAGAGCAAGAAACTCGGTGGTGTCATGGTTTGGTCGGTCGATGAGGATTCTTCGAATGGCGAGTTGTTGAACGAGGTTGCCAAGTTTCGATCCGGTTAACATCGATACCTTCCTTTCTAGTTCCCTTCTTTTCTGTACTCGTATCAAAAAAAAATATACTTTTCTTCTGTAGTATGTACCAACCATTAAAAATAAAAAATTCGACGGAATGATTCATCAGAAAAGCTTCTTCATGACATGTATAAGATATCATGAGTACTACAAAGGCTAATTTTTTACGCTGAGATATCCACAGAAAAAAAGGAGAGTTTATTTATGCACAACAATAAGCGAAAACAATAGTGGGTCGTGTTGTACTTAAGCAGGAAAAAGCCCGTGTGTAACTCTCTTGAATTTCTTTGGGCGCCAAATCAATCAATACAGCGGAAGTGAAACTCACCATCATGCCTCAAGTCTTTTTCAAGCGTGTAGCCACGTGTGTGATTATGCGAACGGGTTATTTTGTGTGATTTTCAAGAGATCTTTGTAGGATCTGTTATGCTTATGCTGCTGTGGATGGGATGAAAACAGATGTATGTAAAAAGAGCAATAATTACGCACTGCCAATTACAAAGACACACCTTTTCAGATAATGCTACTAGGTTCCTATAGCTGTGGAAAAGATCAGCCAGCCTTCGGTGGATCAGCAGCATTGGTTTGCATAAGTACGTGGATACATGTATTACAACAAGCTGCTGTTGGCATGAGGGTTCTACTATATTGAGCGTTATACTACATATCAACGGGAAAGAGTCGTCGTACCAATTCCAATTCCATTTCAAGAGGAGTGGAAATGAGGGTATGTCTGGTCTGGTTTCTTTCTTTTCTTCTCTCTTTCGCTTTTCTTTTAAAGACATTTGAAAAGCTCAAAGTTTATGAAGAATGAACAACGTGGCATTGTCGCCTTTACAGCTACTCTTATCATCTTCAACAAGAGCGCCTGCTGCTCACAACAATGATCATCAATATCATGACCGCGACAAACAACGCTACCAACATCGCTATACAGACACCTGCTTATTCTACCCTTCCGCACTAGCAACTCGGCGTAAACGGAGAGATGGATATATGCGGCGGTACTCGACATCCAGCATCGAAAGCAGTCAGACGACAGTGATGGCCAACAACACCAGCACCAAGAGCATACATCGCAAAGCCTTGTCTCTCAGTGCATTTCATCAGCTACAGCTTGGCACGACCGAGCAGGCATCAAAGGCAACAATTGTATCTTCGATCCATAACGACCATAAGCTTGAATCATCAGCAGTCCATCAAGATCATAAGCATATGACGATGGGCGACTCAATGACGATGGCCACAAAGACCACCAATGACGCATGTATGTTTTTTTCATCCCCACCCCCACTGCCCCCCCATGAAAGTAAATTTGCTACACCCAAATATTCGATTCGGACAGCTCGTATAAAAAACAAAAAAAAACCTCCTTTTTCTCCCTCTCGCTCTCAATTGTTATCACAAAACCTATTTTTCTTCCTTTTCTTTCTTTCCAACGATTAACCCTCCCCATTTCTTTTTTCTAAAGCAGCCGACGACGCATCATTAGTTACTCTACAAATTAATACAACCGCTCATACCACTACCACGAATACTAATATTACAACAACAACAACAACAACAACTGAATCATCATTGGTTGGCAATAACAGTAATCACAAGAACGACAGCAACGATTTACAGAATGCCATGGCAACACGGCACTCTTTGTCGGCGGCAAAAACCGAACCCTCGAGCACAGAACACCATGCAGCAGCAGCACAAGAACAACAACAAGAACAATCAGGTGAATCACCACCGTACCATGAAACGATAGAAATGGCACAACGCGTACCGTCCAAAGCGGTTCGTATTGAACGAGACTATTCAAGAGGGGATGGTGTGACGAGATTCTGTACAGAATTCCCACCCGAACTGTCAGGACGGGTAAGTCTTTTTTCTTGGGGATCATCATCATTATCCATATAGAATTTCTTTTCTATTCCCTCCTCCCACCCCCCCCTTCTTTATCCATATACAGGATGAAGGGAAAGAAGCAGGGGAGGGAGAGAGAAAAAAGTATGGATGGGAGGAGGGAGGGGTGGAGGAAAGCCTACAAGCTTTTTGGGCGATAATTGCAGGGAGGGAAAGAGAAGATAGCTTGTCGTCGCATGGGGGATGGGGTAAACAAAAACAAAAACAATTGACAATCATGTGTGTGTGTGTACAGATTGACGCGAACCAGCTGTGTCATACGATTGAAAAGATGAACGCCATGTTGGAGAATGCTGAAAAGATCTCTCTGAACGTGTTTGACAACATCATGGAATGCTTGACGCTGTATATCTGGCCTGTGTTTTTCTCTACGCATTATCTACGTGTAAGTGCTGCATCTTGATACCAAGATTTATGACGTGAATCTGTACATACCTCTACTAACCTCTTGACCACTCTTGCCATCAATAGTCTATCAAACAACTAATGCAATTCATTGACGCCGAAAACGAACGATTGTATCATCCTCAGGGTATCTCCATCGCTAATCCCGTCCGCCATGCCTTCCTCTTTGTAAGTTATGGATAGTGTCTTTATATTTTATCTGATGTATTAAATGCGTTATGTGCTAGATTGAGATCAGACTGTACGATTGAATTTCCACCCCCACTCATCCATCCGCCCCTCCCTGCTCCCCTATATTCTTTTTTCAACTTATTACTACTACCTTACTTACTTTTACTATTAACAAGCACCGCATTCTTCCCCTTCATCATCTTTCTATATAGCAACTGCACACACACTTACACACACACACACACACACACACGCTCACTCACTCACTCACTCGACGCTTTTGTACTAGTTCTCTTTCAAATCCATTACTGTGCTTCCAATTAATAATGACCCTTCATGCACAAACACACACTTGCATCTCTATAAACCCAATAGCAAGACAAACTATTTTTTTTTGCTTGAATGAAACAAAGCATTGTTTTTTGTATTTGTTTTGAAAAAAAAAGAAAAACAATGGGAAGGGGGAAAATGTAGATGGCATTTTATGGTTCTTGAGAACCTTCAATGGTCATTTCAGAAGAAAAAGGTTGGGTCGTTATACTTTTTTTTATTGTGGATGTGTTACTTTTTACATGGTAAGTTCCTATAAAAATGAGAGACAAAATGCATGAATTTCTTCGCTCGTCCTCTCCCCTTGTCTCTGCCATGTAATCCACACACAAAAAAATAAAACCACACACAGACACACACACACACACACATACCATGATAGCGTTAACAATATCGCTGTTGTTGTTCTTCAAAGCCTTGATGGCCTTGTTGCGCGAGACATTGGCTTGGCTGACAACCAACTCGATATCCTTATCCTCAATGCCAGTGGCATCGACCTCTTCATCATCATCCTCTTCGACGACAGCAGCAGTGGATTCGGCAGCGACGGTCGAGGGAGCGTTGGCCTCGGTATCATCGGCCTTGGCGGCTTCTTCGGCAGCAAGCTGCTGGGCAGCGGCTTGTTGAGCACGAGCGCGCATGTCTTCGACCTGGACTTCACCAAAGACAATGTAGGTGTCAGAGTTGTTGCTCTTGAACACCTCAGGGCGACCAATGGCAAACACAATCTAATTTACACACATTATAAAAAAACAAATCAATGAGTAATTTAAACACTGGGAGGGGAGAGAGACACGCGTCTCTCCTTTCTGTTGTTGTTGTTGTTGCTGTCGTCGTAATCGTCGTTTCATCCAACCAGAAAATAAAAATAAAATGGAGTACGTACACCACGGGCACGGGTGAAGGTGACGCGCGTAATGCCGGGAACTTGCTTCAAGCCAAGACCGAGGATTGCCTTGCGAGCCTTCTTCTCACCACGGGACTGAGGGGTCTCAACACCTTCCTCGACTTCGGGGACTTCGACTTGCTGGCTGGTCTCAGCAACTTCCTCAACCGAAACGGGCTTTTGCTCTACGGGCTTCTCGTCGACTTGGGCAGACATCTTTAAAGTACGCGTTTATAATGGGTGTAAAAAGTGTGCGTGTGTATACCGTTCAATTTCGTTTATATATATATAAATATTGAGAGTAGAGTAAAAGAGCAAGTGTTTCAAGAATGAGTCATTTCGAACATTGTATGAATTGGCAACCTCTCTCTCTCTCTCTCTCCCCCACAATTCGAAAGGTTTACGAATGAAGAAGATACGTGGTGGGGAGCTTTCTTTTTAATCGTTTAAAAAGATCCATCCATCCATCTATCTCCTTCATCCATCCATTCGTTATCATCATTCTCTCTCTCGCTCCCCTCCAAACTGTTGTCATGGACCTGGTGGTCTCTCTCACCTTTGCGAATTGAAAGAGGGGTTGGGCGATTTGGCTCTGGAATCACTTTTAGGAAGCGCCCACCTAAGCTGGGATAAAGTACCTTTTGCCCTGGGGCCCCCCTAAGCAATTTCATTGGCCGAGAGAACTTTGATAGCTCGTGCTTTTTTTCTTTTTGGGCTTACAGAGAAAACATCACTGGTAATTGTAGCAACACTCTTATGCAAAAAAACTGGGGGTTACTTTAATAATAGTACAAACAGAAAAAAAAGAGGAAACAAAACAAAAAAGAGAAAAAACAAATGATATATGTGTAAATATATATGATTATGATGCTGTTTTTTTTGGGACGAGGAAAGGGAGAGAGTGAGAGAGAGAGAGAAAGGGAGATGGTGCAAGTCTATCGTCTCTTGCGCTTGAGTCCTGCCTGCGCAGATCCCTTCAATCGACTCTTCATGACTTTCTTTGTCTCTTCATCGGGCTTGACCTTATTACGGTTACGGTTCTTGATGTTGGCAGTTTCATAATAATGAACACCCACCTTCTTCTTCTTGGATGATGATGCAGCTGCCGATGATTTGTCTTCTTTAGTCTTCTTCCGTGGTGCCTCCTCTTCTTCATCTTCGTTATCGCTAGGCATTTCTTCGCCCATATCACTCATTTCAAGTTCGCTATCAACTTGTTCTTCCTCTCCTTCTTCGCCTTCAATGACAGGAGCCTTGGCGACAGGACCTTCTTCACCAACAACACTTTCAAAGATCTCGTCCCAATCAGTAGGTTCTTCGTCGCCCTTTTGTTCTGGTTCCTCAGCGGGCTGCTGTTCTTCTTGTTGAGCAGATGCTGGTTGAACAATCTCTTCCTTCTTCATGTCATCTTCCATGTAATTGACAGAGACATGGATATTCTTAAAGATCTGATCAACATGAACCTTCTTGTTATTCTTTTCCTGTTCCTGCTCTTCGGATTCTTGCTGCTGCTGCTGCTGCTGGACGGCTTCTTCTTCTTTTCCTCCGTCTTTGGCAGTGCGTGGCAGTTCAGCTTCAGGAGGAGGAACATAGTAGGGCAATCGACCACGGAGCCAATCGTTCAACACCATCATGGCCGTATTGTGGAAATCGGGCTCTCCCTTCTTTTGCAATTTACCAGTCTTGCGAGCCAATTTTTCCAAGAAATCGGTAGCATCGTTCCATTCCTTGATATCGTACGTGCGTTGAATATATTCTTTTCGTACACGTTCCATAATGGTCGGTATATTGTCTTCAGGAGTAGGTACGTTCTCTACACGGACCTAATATATACATATATACGTAGTGGGTTTAAGCAATGAGAAAAATCACCTCTGACACATTAGAACAACAAAAAAAAACACAACTTACAGATCCCTTCAAAATGATATCGGTTTCGTTATCGTCAGGGTTGGGAGGAACGACACCAGGACAATCGATCAAATAGATACGTTTCATCAAGGTAATGTATTGCCAGACCTTGGTTTCACCAGGAATAGGAGCGACAGTGCACACCTTCTTTGCTTTCAATGTGTTGATAATGGACGATTTGCCAGTGTTGGGGTAGCCGATGAATCCAACCTGGATCTGTTTCTTGTCGGTATGTAGGCTTGAGAATTGTCGCAAAAGCTGAATCAACGAGCCTTTGCCGAATGAGTTGTTGATCGAAGCGTGGAAGGCGAGTGTGGGGTAATCTTTGGATAGCGTAGCAACCCATTTGGCCTAGCATGATAGCACCTTGCTGGTTAGCATTTTGTTTTCGCTTATTTGGTTTCAAGTAAAAAAAAAGTGAAAGAACGGAGGCCAGTTGTTTAGAGGACTTACAGTAGCCCATGGAGGAATTAAATCACACTTGTTGAGAACAAACAAAAGATGCTTGTGTGGCTTCTCTTTGCGAATAAAATTCTCAATCTTGCGACAACGGGTGCCCAAGGGATCACGGGCGTCGAGTACGTGGATAATGACATCAGATGAATCAATGACCTTGTACAATTCATTCCAAATACGTTTCGATTGGCCGGCTTGCAAGTACCATCCACGCGCTTCGTCGACAAAATCCTTTTCTTTGTTGGCCAATAAACTAGTATCTTTGCTGGAGACGTAGTTATCTAAAATATTATTATTTTTTGCGTCAGTTTTTAAACATGCTCACTGATCAATCCAGCCATCAACCACCTTATTTACCTTGTGTTTCGTCTACTCGTGACATGAGTTCTTCCATGGATCCAATAGCAAGCTTAGGCTTCTTGCGTTGCGACTTTGAGCCAAACGTGGTCGAGAATGATTCCGTTTCCAAAATATGCATACGACCTTGCTTGGTAGGATCTTGCAACAACGACATTGGCAGTTTGTTTTGCTTCAAAAGAATCTGATAAGGATCGTGAATCTTTGCACCGAGCGATTCTCGGAAATCTTCCAAAGCCTTTTGTCCAATGACTCGAGTGTTGCCTGAAAAATATTATTTGGTTAATCCCACGATTACCTTCATTCTCATATATTTATAGAACACTCCTTCCTTTCATCAATCACACAAAGATAAACTTACCAAACCATTTGCGATTGGGAGCAACACGCGCCGTATTGACTTCAGTGCTTTGGAAATCGGCAGCCTTGATGATTTTACCAGCAGCATTGCGAACGGGTTTACCACTCTTGAGCATGTTGATGTACTTCAACTTTTTGGCATCTCGGTAAAAGTTTTCACCCTTGACTCGAATGTTGGTGGCACGATCATCGCCAGCATCCCTCGATCGGGCAACTCTTGCTTTCTCTTTTTTAAATTGACCCATAGTAGACGACTTTTTTTGGGTGGATCGATCGCGGGGGGGAAAGGGTCGAAATAAAAAAAATATTTTTCTCCAGCTGTGAAGTTTTGTCGCAGTTTATAGTCGTCACATTATGCGATTTAAGTGGTACAAATTGATGTCGCAGTTCCTGCTTTCAAAAAAAGTATATATATACAGAGCCATTAGTGATGTAGCATTCACTATGACATGGTATAGCAAATAAAACGACTCGTTTGGGTAATGGTGCGGTCTAATTTATTGCTGTATACAGAGTTTGGCTGGGATCATCATGAGCCAGAAATTAAAGTGATGGATGAGCATCCACCTCCACCCTCCACCCACTTAACGTATTATTTGCGTGGACTGGAAGGTTGCCGTGTCAATAACTAGGATAACTTGCATGTGCAAAATGCGCATATCACTAGAGAAGCTCATAACCAAATTCAGTGAGTTGAAAATACGAGAGCGCATTGTATACTAGAAGTAGCGTCTGTGCTTTTATTTGTTTGTCTATCAGGCTAAAAGAAATACATACTTTGGTAATAATAGGCGGAACAGACAGTGGAAGAACTGCCCAAATCGCCTCGCGCTTCTCAGATAAACAATTGTACAACTTTAAAAACATTCATCGTAATAGTGCTCAGCCGTTCATTAAGGTTTGTACAAGCCAGCACCAGCGTTACACGTCGTTGAGTATATAAAAAAGGTGCAGTATTTTTTTTCTTCTTGTCTTTCTTCACTTTTCAACCTTCAACGTACCTCTACTTGCTTTATAAAAAGTTACTGTTTCAGTATTTTTCGTTGCTCTTCTTTTGTTTCCCAGCAAAGACTGTTATTCGTGGGTCAAGACCTACATGCGTGGTGGTATACACTACGCATGCCTAGCGTGGTCTCTTCCTTTAGTGATTTATGCCAAGGGCCACTACACAGTAACGCAAGTGGGTGGAATGTTTGCCAGACCCTCGCGGAGGCACACGCACGCACGAGCACCCGAGAACATGACCGTGTTTATGCACTTGCAAGCATCTATCCTGACATTATCAATGCTATTACGATCGATTACAAGCAGTCCTTGCACGATTTGATGATCCAGTTCTATGGCCTTTTGGCGAAATCAGATCTGTCCATTCTCTGCTTTGAAGGCATGTACGGAGATAATGACATGCAAAAGTATAACCTACCATCATGGACTGGTGCTACCGAGCAACATCGGACGGGCTATACGCTCGATCCGAGCACTCGCGTTCAAGTGGACATTGACGGCAGATTCATGCATGTGACATGCGCGGGTATTCCTAGCAACAGAAAACCAGCAGTAGAAGACGACCCGAGTCATTGGACGTTCGACGATATACCACCTAGACCCGAGGGTCCTCATCGCCGCGTTAATCCCTGGAGACTTGCAATTCATGCTAAGCTGCCTGGACACAAAGACATGAAAACAATCATGCTTTATTTGCGGTCTTATAGCAAAAAACGTCGTTCCTTTACCACCCCCCCCAGAATTCCAGTTGTTATCACTCTTTATACAGCTTAAAAAAGAGAACCTCTTTTGGCAGCACCAGAATTCAGACAACGCGTCGTCATGGTTTGATTTTGACCTTACAAATAATGAAAATATGAATGATGCTACTACTGCTAACATCAAAGAAGGAGAACACGTGATGCTTTCCGGGATCCCATTTACCTGTAAAGAAACTAAAATAGGATGCTTTCCAATGATCAAAAGAGAAGGAGAGCATTATTATAAAGCAATCGGCACAATTAAAATAGTGAATCCTGAATACTTTTTCGCTGATTACACTGCACCCGCTCCTGAAACTTTTACCATCCAATAAACAATATTGATCTGGCATTCTTTTTCTGATAAGCATACGCGTACAGGGTCTCAAAGATATTGCTTGCTGAAAAGCTTTACTTTTAGTTTGCTGTAGAAAAAGGTATTTTGATGCTGTCTAGTCGCAATGGGTAACAAACTAAAAGTACTCAAAAGCCATACTATCAGTGAGATATTTTCATGGTACCAAAGGCAGAATAATGCGGCAAGTGCTTTGTAAGCATGCAATGAAATTAATATACTACTGTATGCATTACACATAGTGTTCTACCATACATCTTTTTCTTAATTCAAAACATCACTAATTTTTATGGATATATATGATAGATGCGAGGTTCATTATAGACCGACGCGCCTTTGTCGCCTGCACACCTTCGGTATTGAGCCGCCTCCGCTTCCCTTCGCGTTAAAGCTACGGAGCTTCGTATAGGCGGCTCGTACATAGACCGATGTGGGAACCCATTACGACAATCAAAGCTCTCCAATCAATCGGGTGTTTGGAGTACCTCAATAGCCCCCAGTATACTTTATATTTTTCTGTTTCTTCCAGACGATCGACAACAATGTATTTCAATTATCTATGGTTTGTACTGAAGGGTGTTAGGGTGTTTGTGCAATAGAAAGAAGTATTGTGCTGCTACAAAATTTACTTGTTGACCAAAGGCAAAAGGACGACGGAAGAAGCTGTTATGCGTGTTACCTTGATCATATACAATTACATACAAGGGCGGAAATTTCGGTAAAGAGAGCAGCAACAAACTACATTCTCGTTAATCCTACTACCTACGAGGAATATTTGTTATAGCCAAATAATATGCATTACAGAGGCATCCATAATCTAAGTGATAATATAACTACGAATAAGTTAGTGGTGGAGTTGTAGTGTGGCGACGCGTCTAATTTGTTGCAAGGATAGGACTACTTATTGCCAGCAAGTAGAAACCATCAGATTATACGCGACTTCTTGAATGATAGTTCGTTAATCTCTCAAAGCTTTTGTAGGTTCGATTGGTCAAAGATATTAACGAGAAAGTTGTAAGGAACTTTAAGCAATTTTAAAGAGAAGAAAGCTAGTTTCTCGTATATTGAAGTAAAGATCGTTGCGTATGAATCGCTGTGTATGTGTGACACTTTACGCCCTTTGAGGATGGATCTGTGACAGACCAGGAGGGGCAGAATCGAAATGTACAGTGAGAGAAGAAAGCTCCGCTGCTACTGCCGCCCGCCCGCCCGCCCGCCGCCCCCGCGAAACGCAGTTAGTTAGCTCTTTTTTCCCTTCTCATTACGAACACACAATTTGACACGATGAAGACGTTGGTCAGCCCTGGCAATGCAGCTTGCTGCAGCATCCTTTCAATTTGCGGCATTGTCTTTCTTGTAAATAATTTTTACAATCTATTCTAGTCCCACACCTTAACGAAAGGAAGACATACACACTAATGCCCTTTCCACATTCTTTCTCAACTGAAAAGACATTGTTAGGCATGGCGTTCGATGCTCGAGTAGAAGTCTTGACAGAATTCGTGTCGGATCCAGATGACCCACACGCTACTGCATCAGCTTGTTTCACTGCCGCTATTGTGTATGCCTGTTTCTTGGCTTTCTGTGGTTGCCAGGTATAAAGCACATAGTTTTGTATTCTTTTTTTTATCACTTGCTTATAATTATGCTGAAACACTTAACAACGATTATTTTAGTCTCTCGTGCACAAGTACAACTCACGAAACCAGATCCAACTCTAACGAAACCTTCCCTCTTTCTCGTCCTTTCTTTCGACAAAAGAACTTGAGAAACGAAAAAAGGCGCACCTCTTCCAACGCGACCTTATATAACAATACACCCCACATCGATCATATACACACACGTCCGCACGAACGAACGAACGTTCTCCCCACCCCCAGTTTGTTTCATCATTAAAGAAAACGATACCTTTGTTGTATAAACTTGTAGTAGTGTTTTTAAAGATAAAAAAAAAAAAGATAAAATGTGTGCGTGTTTGTATTTCTATTGGTACGTTGGCGGTGTATTATAGAGATATGATACAATTAAGGGAGAGAGAGAGAGGGTGAGTGTGTGTGTGGATCGAGGAAAAAAGAAACAAGTGTAGTGTACGTGTTTATATATGTGGAAAGAAGGGTAGGGATGGAAGAGAAAAGAGGTGGTAGTATGTAGTTATGATTTACTCGTCTTTAGCAGACAATGACGACGACGACGCGAGTTCCTTCAACGTCTTGATCATATCCTCACGCACATGGGTCGCGAGTTTATCGACTGATGCCGAATCTTCAGCTATGTCCTTGGTAGGCACAGGTGGGAGCACCCTGACACGCACCTTGCCCGAATTGAATCGCTTGGACTTGCTGTCATACAAGTGGTAGTAGTTCTCAACGACAATAGGGACAATGGGGACACCGGCTTGGACGGCCATGTAGAAAGCACCTTTTTTGAATGGCAGCAGGTCGATTTTGGAAGCATGTCCTCGAGTGCCTAATTTTTTATTTTATTTTTTTGTCCGCAAATGTTCACATGTCAATACTACTACTACCTCCTCTTCTCTCATCACCCAAAATCCTTTTTTTTTTTTACCTTCAGGGAAAAGCCAAACGCTGATCTATTGAGAGGAAAGAAACGATGCGTTATCATCCAAGCACTAAACCCACATTGCACCCGCCACATACATTTTTGTTATGGATATCTTCCGCAGCCTGCCGTGCTTCCTTGATGGCATTATCTCGGTTCTTGCGGTCCAAAAAGATAGCGTTGCTCAATGTCACTAGGATAGTTGTCAGTAAAAACGTACCCTCCTCTTTTAAAGAACCAAACAATGGAGATAAGATGCATACTAAACCAGCCCAAGAATGGGTAATACTTGAGAGCCTTCTTGGCCACCACGGACGTCGCTTTAGGGAACACGCTAGCCATAAAGAAAATATCCATGCTGCTCTGATGGTTACAGACCAAGACGCTTTTTGGATACTGTAAATTCTCGGCACCTTCAATCGTCACTGAAATGTCGACTAGGAATCCGAGCAAATTGTAGTAGAATTGCGACACCGAGTAGTTGATTAGGTCGGCTCGGTTTATGAGGGGCAGTAAGAGCGAGGCAATCACACCGTAGAATGCGCAAATGGCAAGACACATTACACACACGACGCTACGGTAATAGTAGCCGCCATGACGACGATAAAGTACCATGAACGTCGCCGTTGCTAATAGCAACGTGGTGGTGGTCATCAGAAACATATTATTGTGTGTTTGTTTTCAAAGAGAAAAGTAATGAAGAAAAAGGGGAGGAGAAGAATATATGACGTTTATAAGGCCACCAAAGAAACACAAAAAAAAAAAGAGAGAGAGAAGCACGCGCTTATTTCGGCAACAGGCTCGCTCTCACCCAATATTTTTGTGTTGCCCGCCGCCCTCTCCAAATGTCTCTCTTGAATTTCAAGTGCCGTGGGTGCGCGGGCTGGAATTACAATACCCACCATCACTCTCAGCTTGGCAAAGAACAGTTCTGCTTGGTTTTTTCGACAAAGATGATTTTACTGGATTATTACAACGTCATTTTGAAGGATGCTTTGGATGCTCGGTTAAATGGGTAATTATATATATATATTTTGACTGAAACAGAGCTTGTTGGAAAAACTGTAAGGCAACTTGCAAAAGAAAGTTTATTCTCATTATCCAAACTGTAGTGGAAAACGCGAATCGGTGGACATGACCATCGTCGATTTTGATGGCGTCACGTACTACATCTCGACGCCAGAAACAAAGAGCGTGCTCCATATTTCGTTGCAATGGGCCTGTTTTCAAGAGCTGGTCAAGTACGGTGCCACCGATATCTTACAACGCGAATATGGCAGTTATTTGGCACCACAACCCGAGCAAGGGTATGACTTGACGCTGGTGATCGATTTGGATAGCGTTGCTGACGATCAAGGTATGTTGGAATAAAACAAAGGGAAATCCTATACTTTATTTTTAATAAGGAGGACTTTTTATTTTGCTTACACTAAAACCTACACAGAGACAAAGGATGCACTTGTTCGCAAAGTGTCGTTGTTGAAGCGCAATTTGTTGGCCGCTCCATTTGAACGTGCCTTTATTGAACAAGGCGAATACGAGGACGAAGAAAAGCCCAACCCATCCCCAGAGCTGATGGCGGTCCACTATCGTTCCGAGGAAGCCATCTATGTCAAATCCAGCTTTGATCGTGTCACGGTCATCTTTAGCACAAATTTCAAGGATGAGACGGACAAGATTTTCGGCAAGGTGTTTTTGCAGGAATTCGTCGATGCACGTCGTCGTCCTGCGTTGCAGAATGCTCCCCAGGTGCTTTATTCCACACGCGAGCCTCCCATGGAGCTCCGTAATTCGGGTATCCAAGACACGCCCGACACAAGCTATGTCACCTTTGGTATGTACCGCATTGTATTTTTCTTGAAGGAAGCGTTTCCAAGTTAGTATTAGTAGTATGAGTAAGTATTTGAAAACTAAAACGGATTATGTATGACTAGTCCTTTTCCCTCAACATTTCACCAAGGGTGACGTGCGTGAGGAGACCATTTCTCGCATACAAATTTTCCGCGACTATCTCCATTATCACATCAAGTGCTCAAAGGCTTACATGCATACCCGAATGAGAGCACGCGTCCGCGACTTCTTGAAGGTTCTCAACAGAGCCAAGCCCGAAAGCACCAACGTCGAAAAGAAGACTGTCAGTGGAAGAACGTTCCGCAGAAGTTAGATATACACACCCACACACCACAGCCACCACCCTGTAACCTGCAACTAAATAACAACATATATGCCTCGCCTGTTCTTTCTTTCTATACATTCTCGATCTTGTTTTATCATCAATATTGCTCTAAACTAAGATCCGCTAAATCAACATCGGTGTTGATCTTTTCCTTGTTGTTACTAACTGTGGCAGCTTTTGCTAGACCTTCTTTCCGCTTCCGTTCCCTTCGTTCCTCCTTTGTTTCTGCTACTGATACTGCATCTTTCACTTCCACCTCTTTCAGCATCATTTCCTCAAATGCTTTCATGCGTTCGGCGTTTTGCGTGAATTTGGCATTTGACATGTGGAGCAACAAGAACAGATAGGTCGGGTCCACCAGACATTTGATATCACCACTTTTGGTATCTACATAACCAATTGGTGTATCAATTTTGTGTGTGCTTCGAATAGCAAGCATTTCGCGCGTTCGAGAAGCTGTGATGCCGCTGTTTTGATATCCTGCTTGGTATGCTAGACCGTTTAATCGCATGCATGCTTCCTGTGTTTCGGCTTCGACATGTAAAATCTACATCGTTTCTTGTTTGTTAAAACTATGCAATATACACCACCTTTTCCTTTCTTTTCCAAAGATATTCTCGCTATTTACCAATGGCTCAAACTTGAAATAAATCATCTGCTTGTGCATAATCTCTTGCGGTGACACACTCGTGTTATGACTACTATTAGAAAACACAACCCGTCGATCCGTTCCAAAGAACAACTTGACAATCCAGTCATTGTCAGCTTGTTCTGGAATGGTGACTGGGTCATGCGTCACATAGAGCCAAATCCCTCCTTTGTTGGTTGAGGTATCGTCATTGTGGCGGTTTTCACAATAGACTGCAACTCGGCCAGAACAACTGCTGGTGGTATAATAGTGGGGGTGTTTGTTGATGGTATGGATCAATTCGAGAATGGGTGCATCGATGAATCCTTTTGGTGATTTGTCTCGGCGTTCGGAATCGAGTGTTTCCACAAGTGAAGAAACCACTTGGTGTTTTCGTGTGGCAAATGTGGTATCTGTCATGTCTGGAGGAGGGAAAAAAAGTCGAGAAAAATAAACTTTTTTGTCAACTGAGTTTTTTTTTTTTTTTTTTTTTGACAGCCAAGAGGAAGTTATTTGATTTAAAGGGTCGTGGAGATGCATATTCCCGCACATGATACAAAAGGATAACAGTGGACTCAATTTCTATATCAGCATTGATCACGAACATTCTTCCTCGATTCATCTTCTCATTGTTTGGGTATGATGATAGTGATACCAAACGTGCAGCAAGGAATTGTTCTGAACAAAAGCCCCAAAGTCAGACCTATTATGCTTTCTTCTTCTTCTAGTGCTTTGAGCGGATTCTTTAGCCGAGACTACACAACACAGATCGAAGGCCGTGAAAACAATGGTTCACGCAACACAGTCCTGCTCGATGATCTTTCTTATTATTAGCTTTTAATGCTAGAGCAGCTACTACGAAGCTCATAATCATACATAGTTTCAAGTCTAATACTACGTTGTACATGCGTCCTTGAATATCAGAAACGCTGAGCCGTGAAGGGATTATATACATCAAGCGACGGACACAGAGTAAGGAGCATACTAGAGCTTGTAACAATCGCTATGAATGACCATTTTCAGTACCAACATCGAGTGAGCCGTCACCATCAACACCAAACAAGTGGCGGTCGTGCTGGTGGAATGCAGCCATAGTGCATCCCCAACTCCCTCTGAATATTTATCGTAAGGTACAGACATGGTAATGTCAGCTAAAGGCTAATACTGCTGTTCCATACTCACACCTGCGAATATACAAGCATTCTAGTTATTGACAGTCTACTTATCTGTCAAAATTAGCTATCGCCTTGAATCTTCTCATCGTCATATAAGCCCAGCTAAATTTCTGCAGGAAAATAAGCCACAGTAGATCAAGCGATGGGGAGGAGGAGTAATGACTCAAAAAAGTCAGAAAGTCAGAACGCAAAAAAAAAAGTGTTCAGTGCGCATTTCATCAGTCCAGTCACCTTTCTTCTCCACACACACACACACACACAACACAACCCCCTTTTTTTGCAATGGCTTCCGGTAAAAATAAAAGAATATGGTCTTTTGTTACAGAAGGTGTTACTAAAACTCATACATTGCCCCGGGGACATTCTTTATATTTTTTTTTAGAAAAGCTCACCATTTTGCTGGTTGGTTCTGGTGGTCGCGAACACGCTATTGCTTGGCGTCTTGCCCAGTCTGAGCGTGTCGAGCATATCTATGTGGCTCCCGGTAAGTATCAAGAACACGTCATATATGTATATATACACATCTTTTCTATGTGCGCGTATATTTTCTAACCAGTACAGTGTGACCTGGCACATTATATTTGTCAGGTAACGGCGGCACTGCCATTGGCGAAAAGGTCACCAATGTCAACATTGGTGTCAGCGATTTCCCAAAGTTGACCGAGTTCGCTCAACAGAAGAACGTAAATGAAAACAACAACTTTTTGTACTTTTGAATTTCAAACCATTGGACAAAAGCTTATATGAGTATATATATACGCGGTGGTGTAGGTTAACCTTGTTATCCCCGGTCCTGAGCAACCTAGCGTTGATGGTATTCAAGCTGTCTTCAAGAAGAGTAAGTTTTCTGGCTGCCTACCACGTCGTTGCTCTCCTTTAATACTCACATACGGACTTTCTTTACTGTTCTTACTTTTTTAGTTGGTGTCCCTTGCTTTGGACCTTCACCCAAGGCAGCCATGATGGAAGGCTCCAAGACTTTCTCCAAAGACTTTATGAAAAAGCACAATATCCCCACAGCCGCATACGAAAACTTCACCGACTACGAAAAGGCAAAGGCCTACATTGAGTCTGTCGACCACAATGTTGTATTGAAAGCATCGGGTTTGGCTGCTGGCAAGGGTGTCTTGATCCCCACAACCAAACAAGAAGCGCTGGATGGATTGAAGAGTATCATGGTGGACAAGGAGTTTGGCGAGGCCGGCGACGAGGTTGTCGTTGAAGAGTTTTTGGAAGGCCAAGAGCTGTCTGTGTTGGCTTTTTCGGATGGATATACCGTGATTCCTTTACCTCCTGCTCAGGATCACAAGCGTGCATATGATGGTGACGAAGGACCCAACACCGGTGGTATGGGCTGTTATGCACCTACGCCCATTGGTACTCCCGAATTGATTGAGCAGGTCAAACGTACCATTCTTCAGCCTACGATCGATGGCATGCGTCGCGATGGGTTCCCGTTCATCGGTATGCTTTTCACTGGCTTGATGTTGACAGCGTCGGGCCCCAAGGTCTTGGAATACAATGTCCGTTTCGGTGATCCCGAGACTGAAGTTGTCCTGCCCTTGTTGAGCGACGATTGTGATTTGGCCGAAATCATGCTGGTAAAAAAAAAAACTCCCCTTCTGTTTCTGTATACCCATTCTGGAAAGATGTGCTGGCTGGCTGGTTGGTTTGGTTATACTAACATCTTTTTCTTTTTCCCTTTTAAAAGGCTTGTGCTGAAGGACGCTTGGATGCTGTTAGCATCACCACCAAGCAGGCCTATGGTGCTACTGTCATCATTGCCTCGGGCGGCTACCCAGGAAGTTACCCCAAGAACAAGGAAATCACCATCAAGGAGCTCCCTGCCGATGTCTCTGTGTTCCATGCCGGCACCAAGTTGGAGGACGGCAAGCTTTTGACGTCCGGTGGCCGTGTATTGGCTGTCTCTGCCGTCGCCTCGACTTTACGTGAAGCTGTTGACAAGGCCTATGCCGGTGTCAAGTGCATCGAATTCGAAGGCATGTACTACCGCAAAGATATCGCCCACAGGTAAAAAATTAGAAGCATTCTACAAAGTAGAAGGTAAAGAGGGTTAAAGTCAATAAGCTCACCTATTGTGTTGATATAGAGCATTCAAGTATGCTGATGAACAACAACAACAAACCGGTCTTTCCTACGCCGCTGCTGGTGTCGATATCGACGCTGGTAACCTCCTCGTCGAAAAAATCAAGCCCCTTGTCAAATCAACCAAACGTATTGGCGCTGACTCTGACATTGGTGGTTTCGGTGGTCTCTTTGATTTGAAGGCTGCCGGTTTCGTTGATCCCATTCTAGTCTCTGCCACCGATGGTATCGGTACCAAGCTCAAGATTGCCCAAGCATGCGGTATCCACGATACTGTCGGTATCGACTTGGTCGCCATGAACGTCAATGACCTGATCGTCCAGGGTGCCGAACCGCTGTTGTTTTTGGATTACTTTGCATGTGGCAAATTAGAGGTCGATGTTGCCAAGGACTTTGTTGCTGGTGTTGTTGAGGGCTGTCGCCAGTCCGGTGCTGCCTTGATCGGTGGTGAAACGGCTGAAATGCCTGGTTTGTATGACTTGGGCGACTATGACGGTGCCGGTTTCGCAGTGGGTGCAGTCGAACGTCCCAAGATCTTGCCCCGTGCAGATAACCCTATCAAGGCCGGCGATGTCTTGTTGGGTCTGGCTTCGTCGGGTGTTCACTCGAACGGTTTCTCGCTTGTCCGCAAGATCATCTCCACCCAGCCCGGTTTGTCGTACCAGGCACCTTGCCCATGGAACAAGGACACCACCTTGGGCCGTGCCTTGTTGACTCCGACTCGTATCTATGTCAAGCAGTTGCTGCCTGCTATTCGCAAGGACTTGGTCAAGGGCATGGCCCACATCACCGGTGGCGGTTTCATTGACAACATCCCTCGTGTCATGCCCAAGGACCTTGGTGTCAAGTTGGATGCCAAGTCGTGGCCATTGCCCGCTATCTTCCAATGGCTCAAGCAAGCTGGTAACTTGTCCGCTTATGAGATGTCGCGCACGTTCAACTGTGGTATTGGTATGGTCGTTGTTGTTGATGCTGGATCTGTTGCTCAAGTCAAGAGCTTGTTGCAAGAGGCCAACGAAACCGTCTATGAGATCGGTCAGGTCGTTACCAAGGCCGACTTGAATGGCGAAGAAGTTGTCGTTTCTAACGCTGAATCCTGGTAAAAACATTAAAAGCAAACTTCTTGTTGCTCTATCTATCATCATCATCATATCTTTTTATTTCTTTCACTATTTCTTTACTGCATCCTGATGGAAATGTTCTTATATATTTGTACATAACCAATCCCATATTTCCAAAAAAAAGTTATACTACTGCTACTCAAATCTGTGTATCTTTGAATTATGCCTTTGGGACTATAAGTATGTTTGCCACATGATAAGCGTATCTTGAACCAGTTATTCGGGTGTATAAGGGCGATTGGGCGTCGTGCTACTAAACATCATCATCTTTTGTTTCCCCAACCTCACGAATGTAAATATCATCACCACATGTTGATGCTGCACTGATTTATCGTCACTTTATGTATATTTATGCACAATGACGGGTATTTCACCGCTCCAACTTCATATCGATACCGCAAATCCATCTATTTGAACCCCACACCACGTTTCTCATATGATATATGGGATCTTGTAAACGATGCGCGATAACACACTCTTTATTATTATAGTAGAGCACCCAATTAATAGTTGCTACTCAGAAGCCGGTACACAGTACGATTCAATGAAACAATAAAAAGACAGGCGGAAGAGAGCGTACATACTTGAGCAAAGCTATATGAGAGCCTAGAAGATAGTTAGTACTGTAATGTTATTTTTTTCTTAAGAATAGATATGAGTATATTAATTTCCTTACGTGCCGAGATCGACTTTGACTGAAAACGATATCTTTGCAATTCTACAAATTAAATTGCATATCACAGCGAGAAATGGATAAGGATGCTGGACAAGTAAGATAACACCAACAAATCACGATGGCGTTTCAAAACTATCATCATCTACTGGACCATCAGCGCAGTCACTTGTTCCTCCCCTTGCAACAATAAGGACAGTAATAGTAGAGTGTATCAACCAGCAATTTCTTTTAGTGGAGATGAAGAACACGATAATGGATACATTTGAGCCTCATATAACTGTGAAGGGTGAATTCTTCAAAGTTGCTATACATAACAACTTTGATGCAGTTGTGCATATTTTATTCTCCTTTTTCTTCTTAAAGACTTCGCATTCGCGTCAATAAGTACACATCGATGCATGCACTATCATTTTCAAACACATTTAAAGTTATGTTTTTGCTCCGCAGATTCCATTCCATGACTGACTTGCTTTGAAAACATATACTTCGCTTAACAGGCTTCGTTACGTAGTTTCTTCATGTAGAAACATTCACCTGTTAGATTGAAGCATAGTAACTAGCTGAATTTATGGCGTACATTTTATACTTTTGGGGGCTGAGCATGCTTTTATATTGATGCACAAAGAATTAGAGCTGAAGGGAATGCCATCAGGAATTTGCATAACCAGTAGCTTTTGGCTTGAGTTGTATATGCTCTCTACATTGTATACCATTTACCGTTGTATGCCAGTGTTTTACAACTCAAAGATGTCCAAAGATCTTGGGTGTCGGTGGTTTAAGATGAGTTGCACCAATAATCCCCTTCTTCTTTTGCATGTACAGCTATTTTCTGTCAAAAAAAGCCGGCGCATGCATAAATCAACATACCTGTGTAAGCCTAAACTATTCCTTTGTCAGGCACAGGCAGCATGTCCCATGCCGCAGGGAAATCCTCTCCCCTTTATTCACCCCTGACAAGATGCAACGCCACAAAACAGATGCTGCAAGCTGCGGTAGTTATACTCTTGTTCAAATGGGCGAGTTTCTTTTATCTACGCGACATGACAGAGAAAAGTCTATATAACATCACTTTGACTCTCCTTTTTTCCTTCTTATTCTCATATACAACACCTCCTCCCACATATTTTCTCTTTCATTTTGATTTTTAGCTTTGAAAGAGCTATATAGTCAGAATGGTATCATCTATACAATATGCTTCTACTACTACTGCCTCTACAATTACTACCTACTCTAAGGCAATATTGACACCAGACGTATTGAAAGCCTTCGTTGTAAACAATAAATGGTCGATCAGGCTCGCAACTTTGGCCATGGCCCTTTACCTTGTGTACGATAAGGTGACCAAGCCCCCAGCTAAACTTCGACATATTCCGCATTTGCCGTTCTACACCTTTTTTACAGCCCATTTACAGCAGAAATCAACCGCTGAAGTTGCGGAGGAAATCACACTTCCTGCCGCTGTAGCATCGCCCCATGGGCTCTATCTTGTCAGTAGCTAAATCTTCTAAGAACGACAACAGCATGCCTCTCTAAAAAGACCTCTTGTTAATTGACGGCATGATTACAAATATGCAATTGGTATGTAAATGACATAGCGCTGTGACACTCTTGGTTGGTCAGTACGAGCCAACCGTCCGGAGATTATCAAAGTTTTATGGATGAACAAAGGTAACTTGTATGGACATTCCTGTCGCTGTTCTACGTTGCATGTCTTCTTGTTGCTAATATCAATCTTAAAAACACGTAATGTTAAGACCTGTTTCCAAAAGCGGATATTTCAAGAGAGAGCCGTAAGGGAACACTGCTTAGCCGTACATTGATGGGACCGAATGTGGGATTTAGTACAGGTGAACAGTGGAAGAAACAAAGACAGGTACGTAAAACTTGTATGTATGCAACAAGCCAGTTGCTGTGCAGCCTGCTGCAGTTGCGCGATTTCAAAATACAGAAGCAGTAGTAGTATTGCAAAAGAAAGAACTGGACAGGATTGACAATCGGCCGTATAATTTCTATAAAGGTATTGAACCCAGCATTTGCCCGATCAATGCCGGTCAAGTCATTAGGTCAAATATCCCAGACAATGATCAGTGTCATGGAAGCACAAATAGGAGCCGATGGGAATGAATTGGTCGATATATACGACTATTCACATCGATGGGCTTTGGACGCACTTTGCGTAACCTTACTTGGGTTCGAATTCAAGGCTCTGGAAGACCTAAATAACCCTTGGATGACAAGATACAAATTTATTTTATCTGTTGGTTCGAAACCACACTACTTTGTGTTTCCGTTCCTGGAGCAATATTGCTGCTTTCTTTTTCCCGACCTCCAAAAGGCACACGACGAAGTCACGATTTTTCAAAACATGTTGCGGAACATTGTCGATCAAAAGCGGCAGGCATTGTTGCGTAACAAAGATACGTTTAAAACGTCGTCGAAAGCCGAGGAGCAAGAAAAGGATATTGTGACATTGATGGTTGAAGCGGAAATGGAAGGACAGGGTAGACTCACAGATGAAGAGCTACAGGTATAGAGACACACATATTTGTTTATGCACGTCCATCTTTTCGACCGTACTGAAAAGAATCAATCCTAATCAAAAATTGACAACTTTCTTCCCATTTTTGTCAAATATTTATTAGAGTAATTTCAGTCTTTTTTTCATGGTTGGCCACGAGAGTACGGCAAGTACTGTATCTCTCGCTATGTATTACTTTGCTAAACATCAGGTACGATATATAGCTGTGCCATCTTATCTCGCTATAATAACAATGGTGGGCGGGGAGCTTTGAACCGAGCCATCAGACATTGACCAACCACCTCTTTTTCTAACATGTAAGGATGTGCAACAACGCGCTCGAGAGGAAGCTATTCGTACTTTTGGTGATGGATTCGACATTCTTCCAACTCTCGAGCAAACACGTGAGCTAAACTATTTGAACATGGTGATCAAAGAAACCCTACGCATAACGCCCCCAGCAGTAAGTACAGTAGCTCGCATAGCCACACAAGATACCGAACTGTCCGGTGTATTTATCCCAAAGGGCACCCGAGTTGCAGTAGACGTGTATGAGCTACATAGAAACCCGCAGGTACTTATATTATACAGCCTATCATGTTTTTGTATCTGGATGAGGTACCTGTACTGATTTAGTTACTAACTTATACCTGCGGGTACGGCTTAAAACGTCATAAAGGTGTGGAAGAACCCCGATGTGTTTGACCCTGAGCGATTTGCTCCGGGTGGCGAAGCAGAAGAACTAAACACAAGGGGCTTACCGTGGGTCCCGTTCTCTAGTGGTTCACGTCAATGTATCGGCATGAATTTTAGTATGGTTGAGCTACGCATTCTTCTTCCTATGCTGCGTAAGAAAGAATTTTTTTTTATATCTTTTGTTTGGTCTTTGTGGAATCGTTTATGAAACTCATACTTCTCTGCCAACATCTGCTGGTGGATGGAAATTTAATAGTACGCAAGTTCGAATGGAGTGTACCTGAAACTTCGATCCATAAGGATAAGCTTGTCATCGAAGGCCTGGGGGTTGTTAGACCAAAGAACCTCATGTTGTCGTTCAAAAAGCGTTACTAAAGAAAGAAGGTACATAACTAGCTTTAGGGCATTATCTTGATTTTATATGATGCTGTACGTATGAACAACAAACCGATAACCTTTATGTACAATACTCGCTTAATAGATAGGATCCGAGATACAGCAAAGTTCATTCTGCTCCTCTACTTGGTTGGGTATTCAATGATAGCTGTTTCAGCCTCTATACTTTCGTTGGACCTTCACCGACACTGCTATTACCTTTCATTGTAAAATATAATAGTAACTAAAATCTAAAGAGTAGTAGTAACCTTCAAAAAGCACATAGTTAATATTCAGGTCACTTTGCATGAATTGCTGTCATCTCATGATCGTGACAATAAATCTGGAACGTCTCTATATACTAAGCAGCTTACTGGATTTATTTTGTCGTTCTTCCGTGTTCTTTTGATCTTTCTACTTGAATTACGTGGGGAAAATATTCTTTCAAGATGCTCACAGCCGAGCTGTACTAGTGGTGCTAGATCGCTGAACAAGGAGCTGGAAAGCTTATTCTAGAGCCTTTATCCTGGGCTACGAGTACCACCACGTTCCACTTTTTCTCGTCTTTAGCACAAGAAACGTACCTACCCATACTCAATTAACGAACGGTCGCCTTCTAAAGAGAAGGTTTCAAAGCAGCGTGGACAAGCAAAATACTTTGTAAGTAATGAATTCACTCTATCCCTTTCTGTGATATCATTATACCAAGTACTAATAATGTATACATACTAATATTAATGTGTAGGGTATTGAGGAAGTGATAGACCTTTGGATATAGACTGTGAAAACAAAGATTGCCGCTAAACTGGAAAGCCGTCGCCACTGCAAAAGTCAGCAGAGAAGATGGGCTACACCCCCGAAAAAGTTCGAGAGAATCGAATGGCTGGCTAGATCGCTTCAGAGAAAGACATATGCCACTGGCCAAATTCGAACTCTTGGAGAATTTATGACCTTGGATACCACGACTATGTTTAATCCGCTGCCTGATATCGATCATTGACAGAATAAAAAAGTACAAGCCGTGCGGCGTTGACAACATGGACAAAACTGCCCTCACTTGTATTGCAATCATCCTCTTACAACCACTAATACCTAACAAACGCATTGAAGGGATGAAGCAAGATAAGGTCGAGAATGGCTGTTGCTTTGACTGTGATTCAGAGGGTGGAATTGATTCCGTGAGCTGCTGATAAATTGGGAAAACTCTCAAATCAAAATGTTTTAGAAAGAAAAGATCCGGCAAGTGGTTTTAGCTTTCTTTCCCTCTGTTGTTCTTTGTTTATACAAATTGCACATAATGTCTGACATAGGATATTGCTTGCTATGTTTATTATTAGATGTAGCTTCATCGCATGCATTCTCTTATTATCTTGCGAACAATTCTGCTCAGATGACTAGTTCTATCTTCAAAACGTATCTTAGACGTTCTAGATCGAGCCATGGTTATCAGAAACGAAACGTCTTGCTCATGCTGTACAAATTCTTCGGGCACCGCTGCGATTACGTACCAGGCAGTGTTGTGATTGTGTACAAATACGACAATCATACTGCAGCCTCTAGATACAGGGATCATCCAGTCATTTAGGAGCGACTTCAAGTGAGTTTCTTAAATACAGAATGATAATAATAGACTTGAAAATACTTATGACCAACACAGTAATACTCATTCGTTGATACCAGTAACTTCGATAAAAATGATTTTACAAAGAGGCTATCATACGGCTCGACAAGGTCATAAAATAGTTTCAATTGGCGGACAAATGTTTAAGATACATACCACGTTGACTGCCGTGAAATGGGCGTGGCTCTCTTATGATTAACATGTATCTGCTGGGACCGTTCGCCATTGCTTTGGTAAAGCTCTGCCAAACGCTTTCGACTCCAATGCCAACATTGGTAAGACAAAAAATACAGTACATTGAATATTGCCTCCGCGGCCACATACTTGGAATGTACTAAACGAGCTAACGATGGATGGCCTTATTTTTCTTGCAGTACATACGAGCGTGACGCTGCACCACCATCGATGACAGATGAAAATTTGTTGCCCTCGTCGCGAATTTAAACGACCATCTAGATAAAAATGATATTGAGAAGAGCCCGAAGAATTAATGTGTTATCTTTAATCGAGCTTGTATCGCACAAAAGGTGCTACCAGTGAACACGATACTCACTTTTCAAAAGACGAAGAGGAGCATAACATAAAGAAAGCGCTCCGACTTGCGTAATACGTACCGAAGACAAATATTTTCCAGACAGTCTGCATTTGAAGACTTTTACTTGTCACCATCAATCCACAAAACGCACATGCCACTAGAATGCTATGATATTTTTATCCTTATTTTCCTTCTTTTAGTGATACGGTTCAGCTCAATTTATACCACCATTATAGTGAGCGACCGTTTTTGAATCAATAGATAACATTAAGCACATTTTTTTTCACAAACGCCTAAAAAATATACATGGTCGTGAGTAGTCTCTACACGTTATATTGTTATAGTAATTATTTTAAAATGCTATACATAATAGCTTATAGATGGATGACTTACTAAGTGAAGCCTTCACATGTCCAGCCTGCTATAAGTTCACGGGCCAGCGATTAAATGCAAACATTTTCCGGTTATTACTATAGTCGCTGTTAGAGTTGCATTTTTATTAGAGTACAAAAGGCGTAGTCCATCAGTTTGCAACAGCCATCATCTTCATAAAAGCAATACTTCTTATCTATTGATTATAAAGCACCATGCTTATCATATTATTCAAACTCAAAATGTAATTGGCTCTAACCGCTCGTTTCACTGTAGTTTACAGGTTAAATGTTATATTTTCTATCCACTCTTGTAATATCAATATCAATTGAAATAATGCTACAGTACAGTAAAAGCTATGTTTTTATTTCGATTATTCCATTCAATGACTGGTTTAATGGAAAAACAAGATATACTTCGTTTGATAACTTTGTTTTCTAGCTTCTAATTTCGAAACACTCGCTTATTGAAGTGAAGCATATCATAGTAACTAGTTGAATACACTGCGTACTTTCATACTTTTGGGTGCCAAGCGTGCTTTAATATCAATGCACAAGGAATTGAAGGAAATATAGCTGGAAATCATACCATCAAGCATTGGGATCACCAGTAGCTTATGTATTACCTTGAGCTGTATATATGCTCTGCATGTTATTCACCGGTTATATGTTGGTTTCGAAAATGATGAAAAATCTTGGGTATGGTTGGTTTAAGATGAGCTGCACCATTATCTCCTTTTACTTCTTGAAGTCATCAGATTTACACGCGCATAAATTAACACATCTGTATAAGCCTAAAACTATTTCTTTTGGATACACAGTATGTCACATGCCGCAGGGGTAATCCTCTTCCCGTTGGATACACCGTTCATTATCGCGATGAGGGCTCCTTCGAAGTTGCAACAAGCGCTAAGGCTCATATCTACTGCAGTTCACGCGTTTATTTTACACCTGACAAGATGCAATGCCACAAAACAGATGCTGCAAGCTGCCAAAATTTATACTCTTGTTCAGATGGGTGTAGCTCATTACCTATCTTTTATCTACGCGACATGACAGAGAAAAATCTATATAACATGACTTTGACTCTCCTTTTTTCCTTCTTATTCTCATATACAACACCTCCTCCCATATCGTTTTTCTTTCATTTTGATTTTTAGCTTTGAAAGAGCTATATAGTCAGAATGATATCATCTATACAAAATGCTTCTACAACTACTGCCTCTACAATTACTACCTACTCTAAGGCAATATTGACACCAGAAGAATTGAAAACCTTCGTTGCCAACAATAAATGGTCGATCAGGCTCGCAACTTTGGCTATGGCTCTTTACCTTATGTACGGTAAGGTGACCAAGCCCCCAGCTCAACTTCGACATATTCCGCATTTGCCGTTCCACTCCTTCTTTAAAGCCCATTTGCAGCAAAAATCAGCCGCTCAAATTGCCGAGGAAACCACACTTCCTGCCGCTTTAGCATCTGCCCATGGGCTCTATCTTGTCAGTACAAATTTGATGTATATAGCTACCTGTTTCTTTTAAGAAACACAACAGCATGCCTCTCTAACACTCCTGTTAATTGATGACATGGTTACATATATGCGACTGTATGTAAATGATATAGCGCTGTGACACTCTTGGCTGGTCTGTACGAGCCAACCGTCCGGAGATTATCAAAGTTTTGCTTATGAACAAATGTAAGCTACATGGGCGCTCCCTGCCATTGTTGCCAAGGACACTATTTTTTTTTTCATGTTGTGTGCTTTCTTGTTGCTAGTACCAATCTTGAACGTGATGTTTAGATTTGTTTCCAAAAGCGGCTATTTCCAAAGAGAACCGTAAGGGAACACTGTATGGCCGTACATTGATTGGACCGAATGTGGGATTTAGTACAGGTGACCAGTGGAAGAAACAAAGACAGGTACGTAATACTTGTATGTATGCAACAAGTCAGCTGCTGTGTGTATAAGACTCCATATTGCAGCCTGCTGCAGTTTTGCGATTTAAAATACGGAAGCAGTAGTAGTATTGCAAAAGAAAGAACTGGACAGGATTGACAATCGGCTATATAACTTCTGCAAAGGTATTGAACCCAGCATTTGCCCGATCAATGCCGGTCAAGGCATTAGGTCGACTATCTCAGACAATGATCAATGTCATCGAAGCACAAATAGGAGCTGATGGGAACGAATTGCTCGATTTATACGACATTGCACATCGATGGGCTTTGGACGCACTTTGTGTATCCTTACTTGGATTTGATTTCAAGGCTCTGGAAGACCGAAATAACCCATGGGTGACAAGATATAAGTTTATTCTATCTGTTGGCTCGAAACAACGCTTCTTTGCGTTCCCGTTCATGGAGCAGTATTGCTGGTTTCTTTTTCCTGACATTCGAAGGGCACACGACGTAGTTACAATTTTCCAAAACATGTTGCGGAACATTGTCAATCAGAAGCGCGAGGCACTGTTGCGTAACAAAGATACTTTTAAGACGTCGTCCAAAGCCGAGGAGCAAGAAAAAGATATCGTGACATCGATGGTTGAAGCGGAAATGGAAGGGCAGGGTAGACTCACAGACGAGGAGCTACAGGTATAGGGACACATGCATGTGCATCTTTTCGACGCGCATACTGAAAGAAGCAATCCTTGCTAATGATAACTGACAAATATCTATTAGAGTAATTTTAGTCTTTTTTTCATGGTTGGCCACGAGAGTACGGCAAGTACTGCTTCTTTCGCTATGTATTACTTTGCTAAACATCAGGTACGATATATAGCTGTGGCATCTTATCTCGTGGGCGGGGAGCTTTGCTACGAACCCGTAGACATTGACTAACAACCTTTTTTTCTAACATTTAAGGATGTGCAACAACGTGCTCGAGAGGAAGCTATTCGTATCTTCGGTGATGGATTCGACATTATTCCTACTCTCGAGCAAACAAGTAAACTAGACTATTTGAACATGGTGATCAAAGAAACCCTACGCATCATGCCTCCAGCAGTAACCACAATAGCTCGCATAGCCACAGAAGATACCGAATTGTCTGGTGTTTTTATCCCCAAGGGCACCCGAGTTGCAGTAGACGTGTTTGAGCTACAGAGAAATCCGCAGGTACAATCAATCTATCAATACGATGAAAAGAACAGATTGTGTTGGTTTAGCTACTAACTTATACATGCGGGTATGGCTTAAAACGTCATGTAGGTGTGGAAGAACCCCGATGTGTTTGACCCTGAGCGATTTGCTCCGGGTGGCGAAGCAGAAGAACTAAGCAAAACAGGCCTGCCGTGGGTCCCATTCTCTAGTGGTTCGCGTCAATGTATCGGTTTGAATTTTAGTATGATTGAGCTACGCGTTCTTCTTCCTATGCTGCGTAAGAGAGAAACTTTTTTTCTACTTTTTTTTTCCCTTTATCGAATCGTTTATGAAACTCATACTTCTCTGCCAACATCTGCTGGTGGATGGAAATTTAATAGTACGCAAGTTCGAATGGAGTGTACCTGAAAACTCGATCCATAAGGATAAGCTTGTCATCGAAGGCCTGGGCGTTATTAGACCAAAGAACCTCATGTTGTCGTTCAAAAAGCGTTACTAAAGAAAGAAAGTACATAACTAGCTTTAGGGCATTATCTTGATTTTATATGATGCTGTACGTCTATGAACAACAAACCGATAACCTTTATGTATACTCGCTTTATAGATAGTAGCCGAGATACAGCAAAAGTCACTCTGCTCTTCTACTTGGTTGGGTATTCAATTGTAGCTATTTCGGCCTCCTTACTTTCGCCAAACCTTCACCGCACCCTTCAATGTTTACATTGACAGTAACCTAATAAACCAAAGAGCTAGTAGTAACTAAAGCCTACGAGTCCCATTACCTATTAACAACGGTACCCTTGATTTTGACCAGTCATTAACAAGCTCACATAAACGTGTATAAATTTAGGACCCGCTGGTCCTGGTGAGACTTGGCGGGACCTCAGGTTGAGATAAGTTATCGTAATATTGGAGGAATCAAACCACAACCGGCAGCACACACAACTACTGTGTCTCTACGTGTGTATAGTGTCTCATAAAAGGCAAAGGGTGAATGGGTAAGATAATTCTGTTACGGGCCGCAGGATGCGTAATCTCAGACGGAATGCACAAACTTAAATAAAACTGATCGAGAAGCCATGCTATATCTAGTAAAGTAGAAAGTAGTACGTCATGGAAAAAAATGCATTGTGGGTAGCAAAGTAGAGGAACAAGTAATGATGCGCATCATGGGCGGAGAAAGCAAGCTGCCGTCAGAAGAAGTGTTTTTTTACTTTTTTCTCTTCTCTTCTTTACTATTTTTCCCTCCCTTCTGCTTTTGCAGGTTTTGTTAAGTTTTTAAAAAGAGTATGGTATACACTACTTCTTGGTCTTTTCAGAATAACATTGTTCGTAACTTCTATTATAGCCTACTTTATACTAATAACCAAAATCGTTAAATGCAAACTTCTGCCTCTCGGTTCTTCGGTTCTATGTATACAGAACCGGTTCGGTTCCAGTTCGGTTCGGTTCGGTTCCGGTTCTACGGTTCTGATACGGATCCCTAATTGCCTAAATAAAGAAATTCTATGTGGGGTTAAAGCAAGGAAAAGTTTACTATTATCGCCGAAACATCGGACCAAAAAGTTTTGGCCTAAGTCTCCTTTACGTAGAGGGGCATGTGCCACACCTCTACGATACAATGTTCGTCATAGCAACCAGTTTCGCACGCAGCACGCCTCTGTCTAAATTGCGGCACGCGTGACTGCAGAGAAAAATAAACTCTCACTTGGGGATACTCCTCCATAAAAAAAACCCCTTTACGTAGAGGGAGAAAATGAACTGGTTGTTCCGCAACAAGAAAGTTCTCTAAAATGGTGCAACGAACGATCTATTCTATCCGAGAAGCTGGTATCGCAGATCTCAAACACACTGACACGGTTGTCAAGGTTGTTAATGAGGCTTACCATTCTGGCGGTAAATTGGTCCTAATTCAACACAAAAAACAGGTGGCTGGACGTCAGTGAAGCATATTGTCGATGGTATACGGACAAATCCTGAGGAAATCGAAACCATGGTTTGAACAAACGGCAAATCGCATATCTTGTTGTATGCATTCGACAATGATACGGTGGTGGGGACTATTTTTTTTAAGCATCCCAATGAAGAGGGCGAGGCAGATTTCTCTTTGCTCTCCGTTGCGCCAGCATACCAGAGTCAAGGTGTCGGCGGCCAATTGATATGTCATATGTTTGGGCGCATGAAAGAGATGGACATTGCAACGGCTGTCTTGGAGGTCCTGGATAATCGCACAGAATTGATTGCCTGGTACCGTAAGTTGGGCTTTGCTGAGGTAAAAACAGATCGAATATAATTGGCATGGCACTGTCAAGGTGCCTGATGTGCGCTTTCTTCTCATGAAGAAAGCAGTTGTTTAAATCATAGATCTGAATAAATTGCTCGTCATTGCTTATGTTTTCTACTCAATTGCAATCAAAAAGCAGCTGCTCTGAGCAGCGGCTATATATGCGTCTAATACAAATTAGGGTGTGTGGATGCGGCAGCATACTAAAGCTGTCTTCTTTTCCCCAGATTTTTCATCTGACTATTAAAAAAAAAAAGTGCCACGCCCTTTTTGCCTGCCGCGTGCTCCTGAGCACTGTGTAACCTCAATGCTACAAGTATTTGAATTTGGACTCTTTTCCTCTCTCTTCTAACTTCTTTTTTGTGCTTGCTGTGGTGCCAAAACTAAAAAGAATGACGGATCATCCGCCATTGTCCGAGAGAATACTAACACTTGTCAAGGTACACACATGGCCCCCCCCCCTTTTTTTTCCTTGCAACTACATTACAATGCAAAAGTAAATTGTTTTTGAAACTCATCGAGTCAAGTTTCTTTCGTCTCTCACTCTCTCTAACGTATAGCATCCACAATTTTACTGGTGGTTGGGTCACGTCTGTCTCGTGTTAAATGCCATTCTTTATTTTACGTCCGTCCTTTCACTCCATCCTTACACCGGGTATTACAAACGCGCTCATGCCGGATCGCTGATATCCTATGGGATCGTCATTTGGAAATCTGTTGGCGTAAGTATACAGTCGATGGTATTCGCTTCCTCGACTTTTGTTTTTCCGAACAGGACAGAAAGAGGGTGTGTGAGAGAGAGGTATAATTTTTTGACACGTGTAATTATGTAGATCCCGAGACGATTTGATATGGAGTTTATCGGTAATGAGAACGTTCAATACTTTGCACTCGCGTTCTATTGGTATTCATATCGACCCATCACTGGTAAGGAAGTCTTCAAGTGGATGAAGAAGGGGGGTGGGCAGGAAGAAGACTGTATTTGCGAGAATTAGGGACTGAACTCCTTATTTTTTTATGCACACAAATTAATCTGTAATAGTAACACTCGTTCCGTTCTTTATATTCTCGCTCTTTCACATGTTTGCATATATTCCAAGTGCAATCACGCCAGTGTTGTTCCCGAAAGATAGCAACAGCAACTCAACAGTTGCGCAGGCGTGTCAATCCATCAAAGAGTATACCGATGAGCATCATGAAATGGCCATGCAGCTGGCTGCGTATGTCGAAGTGGTTGGTGTCATGGGCCAATTGCTGCTTGGTGTCATTAGGTAAAGGATACTCTGAGGATGAAGGATGGCCTTTTTTGTGTGTGTGTGTGTGTGTGTGTGTGCGTGTTATTACGCGATTGAACGTGAAAGGAAAACTCAACCCTTCTTTTTGGATTATAGTTTCCAGACTTCCATTTTGGCATTGATCGTATTTGCACATTTCTTAAGGCTTCGATACTATCTGTCCCCTTATACCCGCGAAGCTTTACATGAAACGACAGAAAAATTGGATCAATGGATCTTGCCACTGGCGCATGATCCACGACGGTGGGCACAGATCAGTTGCAAGCTTTATGTCAATATTAAAGCAATCGTGATCCGTTATGGCAGTGCAACAACAACATCCCATAAAAATAGTAATAGCAATAGTAGTAGTAATAGAAGTAGTCGCGTAACAAGTACTGGTAGTGGCAATGGCGGTGGATCCTCCTCTAGAACATCAGAATCAAGTCATCGTCGATAGTTTATATAATTAATTTTTTTTTTTTTGCTCTTTTCTCCTCTTGTCCATACTTCGACTATATATAAAATTCCATTTTTAAAACAGATGCGATTTCAGGTCATAAGTTGTACAACGTAAACGCTATGATATGACGAAATGTGTACAATTTAAAGCATGATATACGATCAAATGACCATGCATGTAAATGTGTTTATAATGCATATGTATCATTACGACAATGACCCGTTTCCGTCATGATACTATGCATGACATTATCGAGAAGAACAAGAATAAAACATCAACTATCTATGTTATCTCTCTATGTTGCTATAGTGGCTAGTTTACAATGATGCGTTTAGATGTGATGCTCTCCCAACTATTTGGATTGAGCGGATCAGCAAATAGTCGCAATGCTCGCCAACGCAAATAGTACGTTCCGTTTTCCACCGGGACTTGACGTTGCTCATTATCGAACGTGTTTGGAATATATGTGCCGTTCCAGGAATCCACAACGACCATGCTCGTATCATCCATTGTGTTTCGCTGCACGTGGTTAATCGTGTACGCTGCGCCAATTGCTGCCTGCTCTGAATTCAGCACTTGAGCCTCAAGATGTGCTGTCCCCATCAAGAAGCGCATAACGACAAGTACAGAAGACTCTTGGCCGTCTTGGTTGGGTGATCGCGTAATGATGTATTCCGTAAAACCATCACTGCCATCATTGTCATCATCAGAGTCCTGTCCTCCACGGGTGCGATTACCAGCATCTTGTAGGCTTTCAAGGGAATGTAAAGAAGATAGCTCTTGGTTATTGGTAATGAATGGGAAGCCATGGTCGAAAATAGGTATTTCTGTCACATTGCCTATAACGCCCATGTATGGGAACTGGACTGTTCCGCTGGATGTTTCTTGAGCATCCGTAAGCCGAATATGACCGCCATAAAATGGATACGGCTTATCTGGACTTGGTTCTTGATTGAAACCATTGACAGACACAGTCATTTGTCGAGATTCTCCCGCATCCAATGTGATACTCTTGTCAAATGAAAGGTCGGCTGTGAGGGTGGTGTTGCTAGGTGCAGGTTCAACAAGAGCGAATCCATAGCGTGCCGTATCGTAGGGTTCGACAGGAACGCCGGGAATGTTTTCGAGCGTCAAGGTCACGGCGTAGTCATGCATATTGGTGATGGTCACTGTCCGTGGCGCATAACGAACAGTATCGTTAAAACTGATTTTTCCGGGACTGATATGAATACCTCCTTGGATCGTATCATATGCTAAGATACAAATATTCAAAACACTTTTGATTTAGAAAACAAAAAAGCCGTTATAAAATGTTTAGAATGAAAGAATACAATTTTGTTTCTATCTTACCTTGTACAAGACCTGCACCTTGTCGTACAGGATTGTCAAGCGGAATGGAATCATGATTACCAGTTGCTCGTACCTCCACCGCATAATTCTGTAATTGATCCCGCACAAACAATGGATCGCGTGTCGCACCATGTGCTTGTAAATAAAGCGCACAGACACCAGCAACATAGGGCGAAGCCATGGACGTGCCTGACAAGATACCATAGCTACCTCGGTTCGTGGGAAGCGTAGAAAAGATAAAGCCACCGACACCAGCCACGTCTGGCTTCATGCCCATTTCAAAAGTAGGCCCTGTGCTCGAAAATTGAGAGATCAAGCCCGCAGTACTGATCGGTACTTGATGTAACATGTCACTGAACGTAATCGAAACCGGTTGTTGTTGTTGCGCAATTAAAGCAAGTCCAGTTTCATGAGAAACGGCAGCAACAGGAATAGGCGCTGATTGAGTGGTCGGCTTGAACACATCGACTCCTTCCTTGTCATAGACAAGCATTGCGGTAGCGCCAGCCTCGGCTATATGTCTCGCCTTTAGATCGAATTCGCACGTGCCGCGTTTTACAAGAACAATGTGACCGGTCAAATCAGTGTCTGGCGTCGTGTCTGGACAGCCGTCATTTTCAGTCTCGTCTGAATTGTTGCTGTAGACAACCAGCGTGCCATTGGCGATTTCGTCGGTGGTACTGGATAGTTCGTACGCTATTGGGGAATGGTGTTGGCTTTTTAAGTGCGAAGATCTTTGATATCATGTTGATTTCAGACAGATCTATTAAAGTAAAAAAATCTTACGGAACTTGGCTCCAGTCGAGTCGACAAATAACGTTCGCTGCAAGCTATAGTCGTTGTCAACAGAAGCGACCGAAATTACATCGTTACCAGTGCTGGGAGAAGATATCATGAAAGCACCACTTCTGCCTTCGTTACCCGCTGCAATGACCACTAAAATATTATTTATATGTATTTCGAATCAGTACATGTGCACTCGTTACTTGAACTTATCTGTCAAGGAATTGATGAAACGTTGGGCTCTTACTCGTGACATTTCTTCTTGAAATACGATCCGCTACCAGGGCGGATGAATCTTCAGGCCAGCTGTTTGCTCCACCCAAGCTAAGATTAATAACATTGCAGCCTGCCCATAAAATGTAACTTGTTATATTCTTGCAAAGACATCAATACCGATTTGAACATATTTATATGTATGTACGTACCTGCTTCGTAGGCCATGATCATGGCTTTGATCACCAGATCGTTTGACGTTGAGCCAGTGCATCCAAATATACGCCACATGCCTAATGTGGCATGAGGAGCCACGCCCGTGAAATTCTATGGACAAAAATGACAAGTTAATGGGGGGGGAATCAGCATTTCGATTGCTTAAAGTATTTTACTTTGCATACATATTTCTTATCTTCGGCGCCAATAATTCCGGTAACATGAGTACCATGCCCTATTTTTTACAGAAAATGACCATCAATGAGTCATATCGATCTATGCATATCTACAACTTGAAGCTTTTTTTCTTGGTCCAAATTTTACCACTTGAGGGGTCAGTGCACGTATCCAGTGGAGTATCTTTTGGATCAACACTTGAAGGATCTGTTATATTAAACCTGTCACCGACCAAATCATATCCCTTTGCAATCTATATTTTTTTTTTTTTGCATCGCGTTTAGTTACTTGGTTCATTTTTTTAAATAATGTAGTACCTTATAGCCAGGTCCGAAACCACCACCCAGAGCAGGATGATAATAGTCCACGCCTAGCAAACAAAAAACATCAGTTTTGTTCATGGTAAACTTTTATTTTTCACACAAAAAATTACAATTTTTTACCTGTATCAATAATTCCCACTGTAATTCCATCACCATAAAAGCCCAATTCCGTATGGACGCGATCCACTTGGGTCATGTTGTGCGAAAACGGTAAGCCCACGACATCGGATGAAATGAACAAGTCTTCAGGATCAATTTGACTATAGTGTTGGATCGTGGGTCGTTGGATTTCAACCACAGGGAATACACGCTTGACATGCTGCTTCTCGATAACATGATGGATCACTTGATGCTCCGACGGCAACAACGTGTTGCTGGTAGCGTTGCCATTGGCAGCTGCATGCAAGTTATTATTTTGTTTGAGCTCAACAGAAATTCCCCGAAAGATAGACTCGGTATCATAATCATGCGCCACCTTCCATCTGATATGGTCATGTTCGTGCTCTAGTTCTTGAACAAAACGTGTTGCTGTCCCTTGATAGTTTTCGTCAAACTCGATAATGTAACGGCCTGATAATGCCTTGTTGTTGTTGGTAGCTGCTGCTGTTGCTGCCCATTTTGGATGTGTTAGAATGTCTGCCACTCCTGTAGCTAATGCTGGCGTGCTGCTGCTAGTGAGGCATATGAGGAGTAGAAATGATGTAGTGATAAGGGTTGTTGTTGTTGTTCTTGCTGCTGTTCGACGTCGTCCTTGCTTGTCTCTCACATCATGGTAGTAGTGGTCCAGCGCTGTTACCATGACGACAGGACGAGGAAAAAAAAAGTGAGAAAGAGAGCGTGATGACTTCTTGTGTATGTTGTTGATATTAGCGATTGTATAAATTCTTCCGCTTGTACCAACAAATTCTGTGTAAATGTTTGCTTATTTTACTTATTTTTTTTTCTCTCGGGTCGAATTATAATTTTCTTATACAAAAGAACTTCAGTTTGCTGTTAAATCATCAGGTGCTAGTAGTAGAAGCTACTACATACGGGCTTTAATATCATAACAATAAACTAGATAAAAATAGTTGGTCGGATCATGCTAAAGTTGAACACTGTATGTACAATTGAATGCTTGTTTTGTGGCTCGTACGTAGTGGAAAACAGAAATGAAAAAAAAGTACAATTTGATGATGGGTGATGTTACTGTACAAGTATAGGACCAGAGATCCATTCCTCCCATTGTTCGGGTATATCTGGATTCCCAAACATTTTCAGTGCTCGAAGACGTAGACGGTAAGTGCCTTGAGAAACCATGGTGGTGGCCTCGGAGCCGATGCCGTTTGTCACAATTTTACCATTCCACTGTATGCTTCGATAATAGTCAGTTCCAGCGAGTCGGTTTCTTTCCCAGTATTTAAAGGGTCCACCATCAATATCGCCAATGACTTTGATTGTGTCATCGTCGGTGACTACTTGAATGGACACGCGAGCGGTCGGTGATAACAAGCGACAGATAATGTCAGGGTACTGGGCATGGGTCGTGTTCAATATAAACGTTTCAGAGGGACCGTACATGATGTCCGGGTTGCCACCAGGTGCAAGGTATGGGAAGTTTTGATCGAATAGAGGCAGCTCGTTCACTGATCCAAGTACACCAAAATAAGGCATAGAGGCCAATTTGCTCTTCATGGTGTGGTCGTCTTCTTGAACAAATTGGATAAAGCCACCATACATTTGATAATGGTAGTCAATGGGTGGAAGATGTATCGTGACCTGGATATCGACTGATTGACCTGGATCTAAGGTGATGCGTGATGGTACAAACTCGAGCTCGACATGCGTGTCGTCTCTTTGATGTGGCTGGGCCAAGGTAAAGCTGCTAGTATTGGTGTAAGGTAGAATGGCCTTGGATGGACTATGCTGAAGTTGGGCGGTCACAGGCTTGATTCCGTCGTTTGCGATATGTATCTGATGGGTCTTTACGATGTTGGTGGTGTCGTTAAAACTAATATGGCCCGGTGATACATGGATTCCACTTTGGAGCGAAGTAAACGCTAATATCCGACACAAAGCGTTAATACAAGTGTAGAATAAATGTGTCAACTTGTAAAAACTGGTACTTACGTTGTACTAATCCAGCTCCTTGTAGTAAGGGATGGTCAGGAAGCGTGTCAAACATGGCAATCTGTGCATGATTCTGCAACAGCTCGGTAACAAATGCTGGAGCATCAGCAGTAATATTTCTCTTTTGTTGCTTGTGATATTCCAATAAGAGTGCCACCACACCACTGATGTGAGGAGCCGCCATTGAGGTGCCTGAACGTGTGGCCCAACCAACATTAGTACTACTCATACGTAGTGGCATAGTCGAGAGCACTTGATTCCCAATACCAGCCAAAGTGGGCTTCAGATCAAGTTCATAAGTGGGTCCAACACTGGAGAAGCTCGAGATTTGGCCAGCAGAAGGGATCGTCTGGTTGTATTCATTAATACTGAATGAGACACTGAGTGCTGTCGAGTTGACGGTTTTGGAAGCTTCTTTAATCAGCTTGTCGGCGAATGATTTGGGAATACCGGCAGATGGTATCGTGTTTTCGGCCGTCAGGGCTTGGACCGCGCGATCTGTGTCCTGGCCCTTGCTATCGTAGAATAAAACTGCTTTGGCTCCTGCTTGCTCTGCGACTTGTAGTTTGACCGCATAGTTACACTCGCCACGACGTACAAGTAGAATAGAATGGGTCAATGGAAAAGTAAAAGGTATTGCATCCGCTGAGCATGCTGTAATAATGTCTTGTGTTAGTTTGTCGAATAGAACCGCGAGTGTCCCATTAGGCATGCGTTCTGTCGATGTTGACAGTTCGTATGCTTGAAACGTAACACATATAAAGAGTAGTTAGTGAGCCTGCTATCATGTGAGACAAGTATTTTTCTTGCTTACGGTAAACTTCATCCGGGAATGTATTCGCCGTGGCGACGCGTGTGAGATAGAAAGAATTGTCTACAGAGGCCACTGAAATCACCCGTGAGCCCGATCCAGGGCTATTCTGCATAAAGACACCATCGCTACCTTGGTTTCCTGCAACAGATACCACTATAAATGTCGTAAACCATTTTAGTCGACCTACTTTTTTTTGCCACTGCAGAAAAATTATATCGCAGTTATTTATGCAGCGTCGTACCAACAACACCATTCTTTGCCAATCTGTCAGCCACAACGGCCATGGCGTTCTCTGCCCACGCAGATTGCGTGCCCAAGCTGAGATTAATTACATTGCAACCTGTTATTGAGTGAGTAAAAAGACAGGATGCGCTGATTATTATAATATTATCCAGTACATACCTGCAGCATAAGCCATTTCCATTGCTTTTATGATGGTATCTTCACTAGCTCCACCACTACAACCGAATACACGCCACCTAATTTTGTTTCTCTTTCTTTTGTCAATAATCATATGTTGGAACGGGATTTCCATAGCATGTTGTTTCCTTACATGCCCAAAGTGACGTCTGGTGCCACACCGAGGAAACTCTGTTTTTTTTTTGTTCGTCAGCCAAACTTTCCCTGCTTAACTTCAACCCGCACAAAACAAACGCTTGAATACCTTGCTTGGATCAACGCCGGCAATGATTCCAGACACATGAGTTCCATGTCCTATAATAAGACAGGAGGTTTGATAAACTGTTAGCATCCGCCTTTTAAATTGCAGTAGAGCGCAAACGTACCACCAATGTTGCCCAGACAAACATCATATGGGTCATTAGGAGCGCGATGTGTTCCTGCATCTTGATCGTCTTTATCCGGATCGACCAAATTGTACCCGAATCGAATCTTGAAGCCATCCCCGAAGCCTCCACCCAACGCAGGATGGTCATAATCAACACCTGCACATAAAAGATAATGTCACCGTTATTATTTTCTATAGCCTTTATGGTTTTTTGATTGAAACATGGCAGTTATAGTGTAGACCGAACCTGAATCAAGGATGCCTACAGTGATACCCGATCCGGTAATGTTCAGTGATTGATGGATATCCTTGAGCTGGCTCAGTTTATTTTCGTATGGCAAATGGACATTATCCTCCTCCTCTTCTATCCATTGAGGTTGCGGCACTTGCATGATGGGATAAATGTTGAGGACATCTGGACTACGGATTAATTGTTCGAATAATACGGGATGGTGGGGTCCAATGGTAGCTTTGTTGACGACAGTATCAACAATGGTAGAAGGTGGGTCGTTGTTGTTGTTGTCCCGGAGGTTGATGGAGACCCCATGAAACAGCGGGGAGGAATATGTTTGACGTATTTGTAGTAGTTGCGAGAGTGGACCGAGTGAGGATAGTAAACGATTGTGCTGTTGAATTATGGAATCGGTTCCATCAGCGTATTCTATCATGAATGCTCCGGGGATAGTCGTTGCCATGGCATTTTGATGATGGATTATCGTGACAATGAGTAGTAAAGTTACCGCAGTAAGACTAAACATAGTAGTACAAGCGAATGAGAACAAAATATAAGAGACAGGTGCGGAAATGGCGAGCGAAAGGAAAGAAGGCGTATCTAAACGCTTATGTTATTTAACGACCGGGTAGCCGGAAAGATGCATACTTATATAGCTCGTTCTATTCGACATTTCCATTTTATCATAAGGGGCGAACCTACAATTCTGAAATAGAAAATAGTAACAGGGGCTGGCAGATTTAACTCTAAAATACAAACTCTTACACAAAATGGCAATGAATAGTAGTAATGGTGGCGGTAGCAGTAGCAGTAGTTATAGTGACGAAATGTCTTTCCTAGCCATTAAAAAATATTACACGCAGCAATGTGACATGTGATGTGCCAGATAAAGTGGTATTCAGATAAAAAAGCGAAAAGCCCGTGATACTAAGAACTGTTTGTTTGATTCGTATCCCTTGATCCAAATCTCGAGAAAGAGAGAGTATAGGGGAAGAGGGATGGGAGGCAAAGACAAGAGGCTGTTTTAGGAAATCTGTCAATCTTCTGAATCATCCGTACAACATCAAGTTCTTTGTTTAAAGGACTTCTTTCCAGTTTTTTTGTTATGCAACCCGGTCGGACTGCAAGATCAACATTTTAAACTGGCGTTTTTGTTTTGATATATCCCCAACAACGCTAGTTGCCACAATTTCGTATTTGCCACAATTTTTGTTGTGAAGCTGCATATATGCTAATGCTGAATTTAGATCATTTGCTATTTCATTTATCGTTAATGACTTAATGACAAAATAATGGCTTTACGTCCACACACACAAATAACAAGGTCATGTGTTTCTGCCTGTTTCTATATCATACAATGTATCAATGACGCGATTTGATAAAGTGTTTCCCGGGACATTCTCAAGATAATTTATCGCTTCACCCCTTCACGTAGAAGACCATGAGCCTTTAACAACAAGAAATTATACCTTTTTCTCCCCGCATACGGATATTGTATCTGGCGCACAATGCACCTACGGTATGTCTTTTTCTTTAAAATAATCACCTTGAGCTTTTGCAGCTATCAATCATGTCAAGAAAGTATACAATGCTGAATTTGCTCATGTTACTTCCATGCCTGAAAGAAACGTATAACTTGCTAATGACTTGATCGCACTAGATATGCGGTAAGAAAATAAGAAGATGTCTGGCTCCGCACCATCAATGTGGTATAGCAAGTCAATTTCTGTTGCTTATACACTAAAGCCAGCATTAGAACTTGCTTTTTAGAACTTGTTGCAGGTGATTACTCGGATGGTCACCATCTTTCCCCTGATACTCCCCTGGGGCCTATAGTGGAGGTCAACTAGTGTGATGTGACGTTACATAAACTGTACTATGCTGGTGACAAATCCGTCATCCAAAGAAAGAAAGCGGCTTTTCATCCGAGTTACATAATCCATCGAAGTAAGAAAAAGCGCAAGGTGTAACCACTTGGGGAGACGGGCAAATGCAGCATTGCATTAAAGGCGAATTTGACAGCTCATTGGCTGCAAGTGGCTTGGTCGAATTTTAGAAGGGGTGGGGTTGAAGCCCGGTTTTTTGCTTTGACAGCTCACTTCCCGCTCCAACAAAAACCCCCACTCTCATTCTTCCACACAATGGCTTTGCGTCCCACTGTTCGCGTATTCTCGCTCCTGAAAAAGCAAGTCGCATTGCGACCCAGTATGTACCACCTCGATAGAATTACTCGTAATTGAATGGTTGCAATTGACCCTTGATGCGTTGTATTTCTTTTTAGCAATGGCAGCAACACGTCCAGCAAATGTTAGCCAACGTTGTGCATTCCACGCGTTGCGACCGACGAGTGTGTGTGAGTGGAAAACACCCATAAAGTATCAACCCCCTCCCTCAATACACAAACACCGTTTAATGACTTTTACTTCTTTTCAAATAAAAAGTGCTAAAGGCCAAGAAGGGACAGGGTACTGCTGAACTGCTTGACGAAAACGACCCAGAACTCCTCGAAGCCGAAGAGCAAAGAGAGGCCGAAGAAACCTTGCTAAAGCAACAACAACAACAGCAATCACATTATGCGGCAAAGGGTGACGAAAGCTTCAGTAATCTGTACGACGCTCTTCTTGTCGAGACACAGGATCCCAAAGACTTACACAACATTCCCAAGCACTCGCGTCTGAACAACCTGATACACCACATCAACGAGCCCGAACAAGTCGAGAAAATGCCATTATTGATTGAACAGTGGCGCAACAAGCTCTTGCCCGTCACTGAATACACCACCAAAAAGCTGCTGGATACATGTGCTCAGACACTGCGTGGTGATATTGCGTATACGCTTTTGGGAGATCGTCAGCGCTATGGTTTGCTGCCAACAGTGGGCGATTTTGAAAAGACGATTGAGGCACTCGGTACGCAATCCGAAATGGACAAAGCATTCATTACATTGGCCATGGTGCCTCTGTATAACTTTTCCCGGACCGGCTCCATGTATGCATCGCTTGTGAACGGTTGCATGGCCACGGATACAGCTACAGAGAATGAAAAGGTGTTGGAAGATGCCCTTTCGGCTGCAGAAGAATTGGTCTTGGACGATAAGATCGAAAACAAGGCTGATGCAAAGGACTCGTTAGAAAAGCTTGCTGCCCGCTTTGGAGAAAAGGGAGAAAGCGAAAAGGCGGACAAGGTTAAGCAACTTGCTTCGTCCTTGTAATAATTTGTAATATCTATATTTCATAATTTTTTTTATAAAGAAAAGGGCTTCCTTTTTTACCTAATTATATGCAGTGTGTTTTCTTAGTAGTACGTTGTTGTATATATTATTTACAGGAATTGATTTCGTGGTGCTAATACCAATTGAATGACGAGTTCCTTGCTCTTTTTGTAAAATGTGGCATCATTATCTACATGGTGGATATCCACCGCCTGTGGTAACTCAATCCGCTTAAGCATACTCCCAATACCGCCAATCATCAGCTCCATGGGTTCGATGTCTAGCGTCCATGATGAAGGATTCTATGTTGTCAAATATTAGGCTAAAGGGTTTTCCTTACAATCATCCATATTCACGACAATAAAACTTACAGATGATGGCATGTTTGGAACTACTACTGTCAGACGATCCCCCTTTTTATTGATAGAGATTGATGATGACTTGGTACCCTCTTTTTTTGCAGGCTTTTGCTTTTTGACAGCAGATATTAAAGCAGGTTTTGGTAGTCGGAGCATTCGTTGGGGTATCGTGCCTTTGGATTGCAGGTTTGGCATTGTGAATTCTGTAATTGATAGTCAGCATTGCAGGTTATAGATAGTTACACCTTGATGCATAGTTTGAACTTTTACCTCGACTGAGCTCCACCGATTCCATCTCTTCTACGAACTCAATGGCCAACTCGAGGATATACAACTTGAAATCCAGATCACGTTCTGCCCGCATGTACGGTTGTGTATGGATACACGCATCCATAATAAGTGAGGCTATATACACATAGACATAGTAAATATCTAAAAACTCCAAAAACACGCATGATCAGCTATCAAAAATAGGGGGGGGGTCTTACTTGAATCGGTATCGAAACGAGGTTGACCCATACTGAGAGGCACGCGATACGTTGCGTCTTGTTCAGCATCCAACGCCTTTTGTATTTCATTCTCATTCGCGACAGGAGGAGCAGGAATGGCGTCTGCATGGCAAATGTTGATATACACTTTAGTCCCCGGCTTGTGCTTTTTCGATCGTTCCACTTTGGTTTTACAAACGAATCCCGGTTGGGGTTGGACAGAGACCGTATTGAAATCGTCCGGTGTCACTTGTTGTAGGAATTTGGCAGCAAGGCGTTCCATGGCCTGTGGGTCGTTGGCGAATTCTGACGCGACATGGTCTAGCAAGACACCTTGCTCTTCTTTGGACAGAGCATGAAAGTTCTCGGGTTGATTGCCTGTTGCTTCAGTAGTCGAAGAAGTAAATAGGAATGGATTTTTGTTGGATTGACCCGATTCAAGAAGTGGCATGGCTTTTTTATTTTATTTTTTTCGAGTGAATTGGCGTGAAAAGAAGAAAGATAAAATTTAGTAGAGTTTGCGGAACTAGACGCTTTATATTATTGGAAGAAGCGTTTGCCTTGAACATCTTTTATTTGTGGTAAGACACTCTGTATAGCTATGGTTATTATAGAGCATCACTACTGTTTTTGTGTGCTTATATTACTTGTCAAGTTAGTTGTATGTACACAAAAGCGCCATCATTCCATCTATACCAGTAAAAGCCAATTGGACCTTGCGGTATATAACAAGAAAAATGGTCAGTGCATGTAATAGATCAAGAACATTCGATATGATCCGTTCCTAAGTGTATGCGTCTATAACCGTTAAACAAATGTGCAACTACTAGTATGAAACGGGAAGGAGAGCAACGTATAAATCCGACAAACAGCTGGAAAGATCCAGAAAACCTGAGAGAAATTGAAAAGGCGAGCCTGAGTCCACGCCCACGGCAAGCAAACTTAAGCAGCTTTTTCCTCTTTCTCTTTTTTTGTGCTTCCCTTACTTCTTTGCTCAAGTCAAAAATGTCCAACCCACGCGTGTAGGTTTTTATTTTTCTCACTTTCTGAAAATGCCGACTCGAGTACGATCGTCTTGGCAACAATGCTAACAAGAAAAAAAAATAAACGCGTAAACATAAATGTGCATGTAGTTACTTTGATATTACCATTGGCGGTCAACCTGCTGGTCGCATTGTGTTTGAATTGGTAAAAAGCAGAACTGTTTCTTTGGGCACACGAGTGCTTCAGTAAATAGGACAAAAACACGACAATGCTAACATTTTAACGTATAGTTTAAGGATGTCGTGCCAAAGACGGCTGAGAACTTCCGCGCCCTTTGCACTGGTAAGTACGAGTTTTGCTGTATAGGTACAAAGCAGTCTTTTTTTTTTTACTGAGTATTCCATGTGTGTCTTTATCCCTTTTCGACGTCTAGGTGAGAAGGGTGTCGGACAAGCTGGCAAGCCATTGAGCTTCAAGGGATCTATTTTCCACCGTGTCATCAAGGTAAAGGAATAAAAAATACATTATGCAAAGCCTATCGAATTTTAAAGGGGTTTTTTTTTATTTGATACTAATGCTTTCTGTTATTAGAACTTTATGTGTCAAGGTGGTGATTTCACCAACGGCAATGGTACTGGTGGTGAATCGATCTACGGTGAAAAGTTCGAAGGTAAACTTTTACAGAAAAAAAAAAAAAAGCTATATTGGAAGTGAAGGCTAATCATAGCAAATCAGATGAAAACTTTGATCTCAAGCACGACAAGCCATTCTTACTCTCAATGGCAAACGCTGGTCCTAATACGAACGGATCGCAGTTCTTTATCACAACTGTCAGCACACCACACCTGGATGACAAGCACGTTGTCTTTGGCAAGGTGTTGAAGGGTAAGGGTGTGGTCCGCACGGTTGAGATGCAGCCCACGAGCAACGACCGTCCGGAAAAGGATGTTGCAATCGCTGATTGTGGCGAGATCCCCGAGGGTGCTGATGACGGTGTTCCTGCGCCTGTGGATGGTGATACCTATGAGGATTTCCCTGAGGATTATGATGGTTCCAAGGAACCAACGGATGTGATTGAAATTGGCGCTAAATTAAAGGCGATCGGTAACGATTATTTCAAAAAGGGAGATTACCGTGCTGCCGGTACTAAATATCAAAAGGTAGTATAAAAGAGAGAAAGAGAAAAAAGCTCCCGTGTATAATTGGGAGGTGACCGAGAGAGACTTATACATGGGCAAATGATCTATAGGCTATCCGCTACTTGAACGAAAAGCCTGCCTTTGATGAAGAAGATGGTGAGGATCTTCGCAAGAGCTATGCAGCCGTCAAAATCCCTTGCCAGCTCAACCGCGCCATGTGCGCATTGAAGAACAACGACAACCGTGACGCAGTGCTTGCAGCCACAGGTGTCTTGGAATACGACCCAAAGTATTTGAAGGACACGGATATCACCAAGGCGTACTTCCGTCGTGGTATGGCCAAGGTTGCACTCAAGGATGAAGAGGGCGGCATCAAGGATTTGGAAGCTGCAGCAGCAAAGGATCCCAACGATGGCGCCATCAAGCGTGAGCTGACTAATGCCAAGAAAAAGATTGTTCAGCGAAAGCAAAAGGAAAAGGCTGCTTTTGCAAAGATGTTTGGTTAACTTGATAATGATGCATATTCTCATCTATACACACACACAACAAGAACAACAACAAATTTTTACTCTATTAACTTGCCATCATTTGTTTCTCCCTCCCATTTTTCATCCGAAATCAAATAATATATATACATGTCACTTGTCTGTAAGAATGAGTTCAGGTCAGCCCAACCCCATCAACTTTCATACCAGAGTATAAATTTGTTGAGACTTTAAATTGCTAAATACTTTACCGTGAATGAAACAAGGATCATGGACGGCGAGCTCCCTCACTTTGAGTGTTTCTAATGTGCAGATCAAGATATAGAGGAACAAGCTTTGCCTGGAGGTAGTGGATAGCGAATCTGCTTAGTGAAACACAGTCCGTTTCGCTTTCAAACGCGTTCCTGAATGTGCAGCAATGATTCAGGTACGACTGTTTGAAACGTTTATAAAGAGACACCCTTTTGCAACATTGGCGCACTCCAAACAAAGCGCTATACAGAATGATTGAGAGATCATCGGATGGTTTGTATATTTATATAGAGCTGATATAAATAGAAATATGTATAGTGTGTACTATTGTTTGTGATTTGTTGAAAGAGAAGCTTCTTGCAGAAAAAAGAAAAAGAAGAGAGGGTGATATATGATGCAAACAGGAGAGGGATGAAAAGGGTAAGAAGAAAAGGACCAGAAACGCTTTGTTTAAGGGGTAAACAGGACACGGAGGGTGTTTGTGTTGCCAAGGCCACCCTTCCAACCTTGCACAGCAACAACGGGTTGACCGTGCTTCAACAAGCTATATAGAAAAAGCGTCATGTCGTATTTAGTTGACGGAATGCCTTTGCAGAATATAATGATGATGCTGATACCCCCTTCTTTCAGAAACTTACCCGTATTTGATGGCCTGCTCCATACCCCACATCAATCTAGCATCCACATCCTCCTGCCAGGGAGCAACATCAGCTGGGCTTGCCAAGTGAGCAGCGCTGGGCGACAACAAGGAAGCGGTAGGGTGCGAGCTGGGCTTGGGATAGAGATAGGGGAAGCAGCCACGGTACAAGTGGACCTGACGAGCGACCTGAGGGTTACGGGTGACGACGATGATGGGGCACTGGGGTCTGTATTTGGACAGGAAGCGGGCACTGTTACCCGAGGTGGTCAAGACAATGATGGCACCGGCGCTCTGCTCGTGGGCAGCGCTGACAGCAGCACACGCAACGGTCTCGGTGGTCTCGGTGGGCAGGGCAGTGAGCGAGCGCAATTCGTTAAAGGTGGCGGGATAGCACAGAACCGATTCGGCCAGTTTGCAAATGTCGTGCATGGTAGTGACGGCTTCGACCGGGTAGTTGCCCTTGGCGGTCTCACCAGACAACATGACACAGTCGGCACCATCCAAGACGGCATTGGCGACATCGGACACTTCGGCACGGGTAGGACGAGGGTTGTACTATTGAGAAGAGAGAGAGAGAGAGAGAGTTGTTAGAGCTCGTTTCCATAAAAGAAAAAAACATGAGTCAAAGGGGAAACTTACGGTCATGGACTCCAACATTTGAGTGGCACTATGTAGATCGACGGGTATGAGTGCATTTGGAATTACATTCTCACTATTAAGTAACTTACCAGATAACAGGCTTGCCAGCAAGGTTGCACTTGGTGATCATCATCTTCTGGGCAATAAAAACGCGCTCCAAGGGGATTTCGATGCCCATGTCCTATTATCAGAAAGACCGTTTAGCCTGAGTGTTTAGCCCTTGACTCCCCAGAACACAGGATGCACTTGTAAAAAAAAGAACCCATCCTTCCCACCCCCCCCCTTGGAAAAATAACTTACGCCACGTGCAACCATGACACCGTCCGTTTCTGCCAGAATATCGTCAAAGTTGGTGACACCTTGATGGTTCTCGATCTTGGAAATGATCTTGATATGCTTGCCATCGTCGCCAAGGACCTCACGGATATCTTTGACGTCCTGACCACGGCGGACAAAGGAGGCAAAGACCATGTCGACCTTGTTCTTGACGCCAAAGCGCAGGTCGGCCTTGTCCTTTTCGGAGAGGGCAGGCAGGTCGACGTCGGTGCCGGGCAAGTTGACGCCCTTGTGGGCACAGAGACGGCCGTTGTTGCGGGCACGGACGCGAATGTCGTCGCCATCGATGCTGAGAACATCAAAGGAAAGGACGCCGTCGTCAACATAGATCATCTTGCCGGGCTTGATGACGTTGGGCAGGTTCTTGTAGTCCAGATACATGACCTTGTCGTCACAAATGTCCTTGTATTCCGGGTTGACGCTAAAGATCATTTCATGGCCGGCACTGATGGGCAGCTCGACATTGTCCCGCATGTTACCCGTGCGGATCTCGGGGCCTTTGTTGTCCAGCGCGATGGCCACAGGGCGACCGGGATATACTGGGGGACACACGATGATAACACATCAGTCTCACTGCACACACACACACACCCTTTAAGTCCAAAAAGAAACAAAGTAAAAAGAAAGACTTACATTCGAAACTCTTGCGAGTGTTATCGATGACCGATTGATGGTACTTTAGAAAATAGTGTTAGCCTTATTTTTTTACCCAAGAAATCCAGCTCTCCCTTCTCCCCCCAAATTTTTTGTTGTTCGGAAAGATCTCCGCAGTCGCAGTAAAAATCAAGGGAAACATCAAACAATTCCCGTAGAAACCCGCGATTACCAGACACGTACCTCATACGAGCCATGCGAGAAGTTCATACGGACAACGTTGAGACCGGCGTTGCGCAACTGGGTGATCATCTCCACGCTGTTGGTCTTGGGACCTTTTTGATATTAAACGGAGGACAAGTGGGGGTGAAGTTAGTTTCTGTGAGAAAAATGAACCGGGTACGGACGGGGAGCGTGTGGGTCGGTGGAAATAGCAACACGCGTCTTTATATATATACAGGGAAAACCCCAACCCACAAACGGTGACTAAGAGAGCACATACCAATGGTACCGATGATGCTGGACTTGCGACCGGCTGTGGGTTCGATGTCTACGTTCATCTGCGAGAGCCACTGGACGCTCGATGTGATTTCGGGAGTGACGACGGGAGCCATAGTGTTTTTCAGCAAAGACAGTGTATGTACAGAAAGTCAAAGAAGAGCGGGGGAAAGAAAAAGTAAGAGTGAGGAAGGGAGAGAGAAAAGAAAAGAAAAGAGAGCTCGGTTCCTCTTTTTATGGTTTTTTTTTTGTTCTTGGGCAGCATCCATCATCGAACAAATCTTAACAGACACACACGCCCGAACGCCCAAAAACAAAATAGCTTCGGGCTATAATTTCCATGGCTACTTTTTTCATTTAGACTCCAGACGCTGTTGCCTCCCCTAGTGGGTTGGAAACCCTTCTTCTTTCCCTTTTTCTAACAACACTTGTTCGCTTCAATGTCTCGCTTTCCTCCTTGCAGCATTGGAAACCTAGTAGAAGCGAAGGCCTCAAGCCCGTTGGAGAGAAGAGAGGGAGCGCGGCTTATCCATCTCATCAAAGCAAACAAAAAAAAAAAAAAAAGCTTATGCTCTTTGACGCGGAGCTATCGTCCATTATCTTGAGCCAATGAATTGCTTCATCTTATCGTTCCCTGTTATTTGGGGGTGGACTTCATGAGAGCGCTCATTGGCTCATTCTCTTCGAAACACGCATGTTTTATCAACACGCATCAACACACAACTAAAAACTCACAGTGAAGGGTGGGTATATTAAGCAAAGTTTGCCAGTATTATGTACAGATGTGGATGATGCAGGATGATTTGAGTAACTATGTGTGCGTGTATATGTGTATATATATAAAGCGAAAAGATCATCATCATCTTTACCGCGAACTCATTGCAGAATCAGCGCGTCTGTTGTGGTGGTTGTGGAGACTGCCATGGCCGCTACTGCCACTGCTGGTGTTGTCAATGACTTCATCCGTTGCCTGTCGCAACAACACACTTTCCATCACAGCCTTGCGCTCGTTGGTACTCTACATGTAGATAGATCAGTCAATAATCATTCTATTATTATTATTTTCCAAATCATGACATTTTTACCTCCAATCTTTCGAATAACCGCGTGATCATGCTATTGCGTCGTGTCAACAGTTCGTTCAGCTGATCTTTTTCTTGTTCGACCTGCTCGAGTTCTTCGGCCAGTCGCCCACAATCTAATTCACATTCCTGCAGTCGCGCACTTTCGTGCTGCAACGCCCGATCGCGTTCCTCAATCTCACGTTGCAGTTCCTGATTGAGTTTTGTAAGCGCCATCTGTGCCTGAGATGACGACATTGTCGAACTCCTTGATCCATACTTTGACTATTTCATGTCAAAATTCATTTAAAACGTAAGCAAAGACACTTTCTCTCTCTCTCTCCACATTTAAAAGAGTTCTCTTCTTGTACCTCTGACGATCGTTGATACTGATCCAAAAGATCATTCAACAGACCATTCTTTTTGTTTGCACTTTCTAGTTTTTGCTGTAGTGTTCGTTTTGCGCTGACTGCCTCGGTAAGCTTTTCATTGGCAAGACGACGGTCCTTTTTCAACTGATCCTCAGTCGCCTTTAACCGATCTGTCAAGTCAGTCACTTTGACCTCCCACTCTTCTTCTGCCTCAATCATGCGAGAGCCGAGTTGCTAAAAAAAATACAAGTGCCATTGGGTGTTACACCAAATATACATCATTTTTTCCCACTTGCAAACACACACACGTACGTACAAAAAACCGTATGTTCGCCATTAACCACCCCCCCCACCGACACACACACACACACACACATTGCAGCATACCTCTTTGATATCTTGCAGGTCAGATTCATAAGCTTGTGCCGCATCCCTTGCACCGGCCGCCCGATGTTCCATTTGCGTCTCCATATTGGCCATCAACATGTCCTTTTCACGCAACAAATTCGCCATTGCACGCAACTTGTCCTCAAGCTCCTTGATCTCTTCCTTGTGTAGCCCCTTTTCACGTTGGACCGCGTCCGTCTGTGCCTCTAAATGGCCCTCCAACGATGCAATTCGAACGTCTCGCTCACGCATGGCTTGCTCAAGCTCTTGAAACTGTCGCTCCAGCATCTGTAGATCCTCTTCATAACGGTTCTTGGCCTCCTGCGTCTTTTGCAACATGGATTCGAGTTCTTCTTCAAGTTCCTTGATCTGATCGTCTTTGTGCTGCATTGTTTGTTCTACTTGCATGAACCGATCCTCGAGCGCATTCAGATCCGTTTCGTTGTGTGCATCCACTTCTTCCAATTGCTGTTCGTATTTGGCAATCTGCTCGTCCTTTAACCTCAGCTCTTCTTCTAGACGCTCAATGTCTTCGTCAACGTCGTAATTCTCGTCGTTGTCGTTATCGTCGTTGTCGTTATAGTTGTTGTTGTTGTTGTTGTTAGCTGTAGATTGTTCGTGGATACGGCGCTCGAGCTCTTTGATCAGTTTGTCTTTTTCCTTATCACGCGCTTCTAACTTTTCCGCACGGTTCATGACCTAGAGTGTTTTGTATAAAAGGATTTTTAGCGCCCCAATCCCGGTAAAACGACTGAAAGGACTAACAACCAAACAGAACAATTTTTTTTACCTTGACAACCTGAGCCTCTAATGCCATGAACTCTTGCTCGCGACGCTCTATTTCTGCATCCAGTTTTGCGACTTGGTTGCGATGAACGTAGTCACTATCCTCCAACTCGGCTCTGAGTTTCTCAACAAGTTTTGCACGGTCCGAATTCTCCTGACGTAATCCGTCGAGCGTCTCCAAAAGCTCAGTAACATTCTTGGTCCTGCTGTTGTGTCGGTTTTGCAACGCGTCTTCTAGTTCTTCCCGCAGCTTCTGACACTCGTTTGTCTTGCCGCGTAGCATTTGCTTCGCATCGTGCAACGACCGTACCAGCTCGTCCGTGTGCTCATGCATCCTGTCCAACTCTTTGTTCTTGTTTAACAATTGTGCCATGACTTCGGAATTTCGTTCTTGCATTCTACTCAGGTTCTGAAAGATCAAAAAGCATGGTTAATCAACACATCCATGTAGGTTACAATCACATTGAAAACTTACGTCTTGCAAGTGCTCTGCCTTGGATACATATGCATCGCGATCAGATAAGATGGAGCGTACAAGACTGTCATTCGAAGTATACCGTGTCTGGTTTCGACCTTTTCCACTAGCACTTGACGTCGTTGCACTTTGATGCATCTCGTTTTCTTCACGCAAAAGTTGGATCGTTTGGTTTTGTCGTTCAATCGTTTGTTTGGCTTGCAACCATTCTTTTCTGTACATCTCGACCTGGTCCTTGTTGTTGTTGTTGTTGTTGTTGTTTGGCTGGGGTCGACGCTGATGATGACTGATCCAATAATCACTGCTGTCGTCATCATCATTGTTGTTGTTGTAACCAGTGTCTGCATGTCTGCTACCATTACTGTTACTTCGACTGATCCGAATCGGGCTCGCATGACGTGGTGATGATGCCGATGACCTGACACGAAGCTTTGCATTTTCCGCATTTAATTCCGCCACCATCTTGTGCAACCGTTTGTTTTCTTCTTGAGATTGAGCCGCGTTCGTTAACGCCGTCTCGTATTCCATCTGTTCGTCGCTCGACATGCCATGCGGTAAATCACACGCCTTTTGATTCCGTTGTAAAATATCCATGGCTGATTCTAACTCCCATATCATCTTTGTGTATTTCTTCAGCTCTTGTGTCAGCGTTTTATTACTGACTTTGAGATCCACATTCTAATTTTTTAATGATTTTTTTTTTCTTTTAGTTCTGTGTTTCTCCTTTATTTTTTCCTACACCCCATTTTATCAGTTACCTCTTTGAGTGCATTGTCCACTTGATCAGGCGAAATATCGTCTAAACGTTTCTCAAGGAAATATATTTTGAGCTTCAATCCAAAGTTTTCCTTTTTCAACGTGTCGATTGTCTGAGAGAATTGCATAAAGAAAGGAACTTGTTAACATAACGAATGATGATAAATGGGGGATATCGAAGAAGTCCCCCCCCCCCAACCTCCCGACAATATAGCATTATTCTATGATAAATACCTTTTCTTGTTCTTTTAACGTCAACGTAGTCGATCTTTCTTTCTGCGACTCGTTGTTGTTGGTGCCATTGACGACGGGCCCATGATAACCAGAAGCATGATCGTTGCGTAATTGTTTACTACTGGCGGCAACCGCATCATTTATATTGCTTTCCGAGTAACCGTTCGCGTCAGCCATGGATAACAGTTCAAATTGATGTTCGAGACGACTTTCTTGATCAAACAGACTTGAATGATCGTTCAAGAGTCCTAGGTTTTGTTGTTGTTGGTGTTGGTGTTCAAGTGGTGTGATTGCAGCAGCTGCTGCAGCTACTTGTGCCTCTAAACGTTCTTGTTGTTGCTGTAGCAGCAGCTGCTGCTGTTGTTGATGCCGGTTGTTGTTATCATTTGGCAATGGTGTTCTTTCTTGTTCTTCGTCGTCGTCGTCGTCGTCAAGACCAGCTGTTTCAGTAGGAACAATGTCCAAAGGAAGAGGCGAAGAGGAAGGATGGAATGAAAGTTCGTCGGATATCATGTTGAAGGAAGAGTCGCCGCCAAAGAGAGATACTTTGGTTAATGACGGCTCTGAGCCGAATTGTAACGGTTCACTGTTCACGGTCTCGCCATCGAATGGAGGTGGAGATCGTTGAGCAGCACTACCATTACTTTGACCGCGCCAACTATTTTGCATTGGATTGCTTCTTTTGTTGGTTCGCTGTTGTTGTATTTTTCGCTGTTGGAGGGAAATTGGAAAAAGGAAAAGGGGGAAAGAGAGAGAGAGAGAGAGAGTTGCTGGTTGGCGCCCGGTTGTGTTAAAGTATAATAGAGCCCTTCCTTTTTTTATTATTATTGCAAGATGCGTCAAAGAATTGAGATGCGAAAATAAAAAGAGAGAGAAAGAACAAATTATTTTATTTTTTGGGTGCTAAAACAACTAAGAAAAGGAAGCACAATAACAAACACCAAATAGCCACGACGAACATAAGCTTTTTTTTTAATCTTCGACATAAGTTACGTGTGGTGTGCCTTGTATGAAACTATACATAAAGTAGTAGACTCGAGCTATCTTGTCATTACCAGCATGAATCCTCGTGGCAAATAAGACTGGTATTATATATACTACTCGGCTTGGTTATTGCTCCAAGTACCCATAGTTGTTGGAGAAAGAAGCGCCACCTTGCTCTTCTTCTTCTTCCGCAAAAGGAGGGAGGCGGGTATATGCATATATTACATTGTGGACGGTTCCACAATGCGGTAAACATTGTTGTTGTTGTTGCTCCCTGAAACATAAAAGGAAAAGCTGGTAGTGTGTATGAACAATTTGTAGCGCGTATATATTATATATATATATATATATATCTTCTTGGTACTCTCCTTGCTTTAGCTCCTATAATAAGGGCCATGAAGCATATATGTGCTGTTACTATGTATTATCGCTAGGTCGCAGTAAATAAATGTTGTTGCACCATGTTGATTTGTATAACCGCACCTCCCACTTTGGCATTATATATATTGTATCTTGATAGAGAGAGCCCTACTTTCTGCGTAATAGAGCTGGATACATCAAGACACTATGTCGTTCAGGTACATATAGTATTGGACAGATGAGTTTTGGACAATCCTATCAATATGCGCTTTGCTGAGTTCCTTTCTTTGATTGTCGTCGTCGTCGTCCCCTTCCAAGTGACATATTATGTCGGTGTGCAACAAAGGGCCACGGGTTGTATCCGTCAAAAAATAAGACATCAGTTGATGTTGCAGCGAAACCATGATGACGCCAACAACAAGCGAGTCAAGACAGTTATCAATCAGGCTATAAGATCATAGCAGAGTTATTATTATTATTTTTCAGGAACAGATTTCATTTTGTTCGGCAGCTTATTTTATTACAATGGTTTCATCCCCTCTTCTTCCGCCGCCGCCGTCCCATTCCCCCCCCCACCCTCCAACCCGCCATTGTTCGCTGAGTTCTTTTTTTTGTTTTGCAAAACGAACAATAAAAGTTGTAAAACATATGGAAGGGGCGGAACGGAGACGGAGTAAAAGTAACAATTGTGTTAATAGTCCTGTTAGCATCCTTCTCGGGTATGATCATCATTAAACCAAACAAGGTGATGACGTTATTTGCACGACCTATAATACTGTAATGCCAAATCATTATTGACAAGGAGTTTGGTCCCGGTTGGGGGGGGCGGGGTGTTTATACTTGCTAACAATAAAAGGTTATACAAGCAGTAACTATTGTTGAACCCGAGAGTCAGGGTAGCAGCGGTCGTAGCGCGGAGACTGCAGTGGAGCGAGATCACTGCATGATACTTAGTACTACCATTACTACTACTATCCATATCGGTTTTTGTACGTTGAAAAAAAGTACCTAGTAGCAGTAGGCTCCCATACGCATCATCCTCATCATCACCTTACCCTTTCTTTTCTCGATTTGAGCTAGTAGAATAATGATGGTGATCAGGATCCGGTAACCCATTATTTCCGTATCACTGTGAGAGTTGCACCAATCACCGTGATATGTCGGTTAAAAGACGACGACGACGACGATGATGATGGTCTCTCAACTTTTCAATTTATCGTTATAGATACAATAGTAACACCAGCACAATACCCGGTATACCCCCCCCCTCCCGCTTCTAGTAGCTGCGAGGACGGCGGGGACTGGTCCATACATCTCTTCATCCACTGGACCGGAACACATGGAGCATATCCACGGGTTGCGTATAAGGTACTAGTATAATATAGCAAACTTACCCCGCTAAAAGACGACCCGTGATTCCCAATTCCGTGCCTGAATAGCTTTTACTTTGACTCAGTTTCCATCACCTGGTCTACTCTCCCACCCTAAAAAACACCGAGATGCAAAATGTATGTACATCTATTACTACGGAGTAATGAAAATGACATGATGAGATTGCCTGCTGCGGTGTATGATTTGGCGGGAAAAAAAATAGTGAGATGTGTCACATATCACATACTATTACACACATAACACGCATATACCATTGATACTCAAGGATAAAAGTGTCTACAGTATAATCAAAAATCATTGACAAAATCAACCTCTCAGCATATTCTGGAGAGCCGCATACTTTTCTCGCATAAGCAAGTCGATGTTTAGTGTGATAATGGAGAGAAAAAGAGAAGGGGTAATAAAACCATCATCATCATCACGCACGCTCACGCGTGACTCTTTTTTTTTGGTTTCGTCTCCACAGCAACTTACCATTTTTGTCTTGCGACCCATATACATCACAACAGTGGCAGCAACAGCATCTCATCGGTCTTAAAACAATGCCGTTCCGTTCAAACCCAACCTTTAGAAAGAAAAAGGATGTTTTCCCCGATGTCCCGGTCTTTCCTCTCACAGTGAATATTCTTCTTTGGTGGTCCGCAAACCTCTATTCCAAAGATGGAGGATTCTTGGCATATATTTACATTGGTTACTACCGATGATAATGAAGAAGCCATGATTGTTATATCACCTTGTTTCTTGGCAACAAGCATCTCCATGGTCTGCCAAGAAAGAAAGTCACCATAGTAACAACAGTAAGCTCGCACCATGGCAACAAAATTGCGCGCTACAATGGTAAAAGTGGTTGCTATGTATATGGAAATGAAATGATGAAACACAATTCTTCATGCATACACAACAACCAAAAGGTCGTGTAATGCAGCGCTATCTAAACTCACCGCCCCCTCCCCCGCTGCCATTCTCCGAACCGTGTGACAAGAAAGAACAGCCGGGACGATCAAAAGGAAACAAAAAAGAAACGAGGCGATGAAGAACACTAGCTGTAAGACGTTGATCCTCTACGTTTTATTATTCCCCGAGACCTTAACCTTTCAAAAGAAAAATTACTCCTTAGTCGGCGGCGGCGGCAGCCGTCGTGAACATTTTTCTTTTTCTCAAAGGGCAAAACATTGTGAAAAAAAAAGCGCATAATAGTTGCATTTTTAGCAGAAATGTGAAATGATGTTCTTACAAAGCATGATATGCAGCGTTTTTTTTTATTACTGCAAGCTCCTCTCCGCTCTCTCTATCTTCAAACCTTCATTGTGCCTTTTCCTCTCTGCCGCTCTCCGACAAACACACACACACATACTCTCTCTCTGTTAGAAAGTTGTGTTTTTCACCCTCCCCCTCCCCCCCCCACCCCCCGATTCTTGTAACGAGAGATGCCGAGCCTGGTCAGTCCCAAAAAAGGAACCGCCTGTATCTTTCATCATCACGGAAAAGTTTTTTCATAGGCTAACTCAATTGGGTTCTGTCATACCGTGTACATTGCATATTGGAGACCTGCAGAGTGCCTTTTCATTCCCATGATTATTTTTTTTCTATTGTATGACAATTCTTTTATGCTGGTCCGCGCGCGTCATCGTTTTATAAAAGAGAGAGAGAGAGTAGGCTTTGCCATTTTCCTTTTTCTTTTGTGTGTTCTTTATACGTTTTTCCCACTCTACCTCCTTTTTTCCTTCTTTCTTTCTTTCTTTTTCTCTTCATTTGAACTCTTTTCAATATTAAACGAATAACGAAAATATGCTAACTGGAGCAGCAGCAGCAGCAGCCGAAGACCCACAAGCAACAACGCCTAGACCTTCTTCACGGCTAGCACATCCCACATCTTATCATATACAACAAATGCGGTTCAAGGACCAGCAGGCAGCTATTGGCTTGGACCCAACACAAATGATGGACAGCCAACACATTTTCTTTGCACAGCATCAGAATCCGCAAGAAAGCTCGCCAAATTTGTCGGATCTCGACTATTCGGAACTCACCACGACCTCTTCCGTTACTGGCATACCACCACCGGATCTTCAACAACAACAACAACACCAGCAAAGATCACCGGTACTCCGCCAACACCACCACCAACAACAGCAGCAGCAGCAGCTTTCGCATACCCAGCATGATCCGCAAGATTATTTGTACGACCAGCAACAACAACAACAAGATTCCACTACTTCAAATGATAACAAGCGCTTATCCAATAGTAGTCTTCTGGATGACCCGCACCATCACCATCAGCACCACCACCACCATCATCAACAACAACAGCGTTATCAATATAACAATAATCCGGCTGCCGCAAATACAAACATGATGTATTTTGATTCACCCTCGACAAGTTCAGACTATTATTATAAATCAACACCCTCTTCGTTCGCAGTAAGCGCTCCTGCCAATATTGGATATAGCCACATGCACCATCCATCTTTGGCTGATGACGGCGCAGCAGTAGCGGCTGCTGCCGTCATGGCTCCAGGAGGAGGAGGAGGAGGACCCGGGAATCGCATCATGGCTGATCAGCCTATCTATGACCATCACCATCATCACCACCACCAACAACAGAGTAACAGTAATCGTAACAGTGTTGGTAGTATGCCACAACACCAACAAGATACCGGTGACCACAACACAGAACCATACGATGATGACTTTGCAGCTCAAGCAAAGTAAGTTTTGCTTCTTTAGTTTCTTTGTCTGGTAGCACTTACCTCAAAGCTGGGGTGAAGCATCGTTGACAGTAAAAGTGAGCAGTGTATACTGAAATAAGGATGGCTAATCTCTTTTCAAAATTAGTCTCCAAGCAATTATGGAGAAACGACGGCGCCGTCGAGAATCACATAATGCAGGTAAGATTCACATACAGGATAATGTTGGTTTTGCCAATAAAGACAACAACTAAATTAACACACATAATATCTAGTGGAGCGACGCCGACGAGATAATATCAATGATCGTATTCAAGAGCTGGGCACGTTACTGCCCGAGTCCCTGACAGCAGAAGAAGGCGGTGTTGCTCGACTCAACAAGGGAACCATCTTGCGCAAGAGTGTTGAACAGATCAGAATGATGCAGAAAGATTTGCGCGATCACCAGCTGCGTGTCCGCGAGCTGGAGGAGACGCTTAGCCAACTCAATGGGAATATCCATCCGAATGCCACCTCCTCCTCCTCGTCCTCAACATCGCGAAGGACGGCTAGAACTTCTACTCGAATGCAGCACCCTCACCATCCTCAACAACGACATGTCTAGTTTGCTATTCCTCATCATTCGTTTTTTAATATACATATATATATATAGTCTATTAGTTAAAAAATTCTTCTCGTATGCCTCTTCCTACCCTTCTCTCTCCCCCCCCCCATCTTTTTTCTTTCCCAGCTGTTTTTTTCCCATACCCCATCTTATATCGAGCCCATGCATTTACCCTTTTCTTTCTTCATGTTCTGTTGTTAATTAATTGTTTGTTTGTTCCATTTTTCATTCCCGTGAGGAAATGTTTACCGGTATAAGACGCAAACATCCAAACCTCGGAATTACGGCTTTGTTATTCTCCCCTTTCCGCCGCCGCCCCCCTCAACCCTTCTTCTTGTGTACTTTGACACTTTTCTTCCTATCAACTACTTCTATTCCGTGACTTTGTAAAGCCTCTTTTTTCTTATTATAGTGTTCTCTGTCTCTCTCTCTCTCTTTTTTTCATTCTCTGTATGTATACTTTATATATATTCCTTTCTCTTCCTCCTATTACGTTACAATTTTATATATACATATATCTTACTAAGCTGTAATCTCATATAGCCCGAGAAACATGATGATGGTGTTATATGGAACTTCAAGGGGTAAAAGCCAGCCGTAACACAAAAGGATTTCTTTGTTGTTGCGCGGTGCTTTGCTTTTCAACATCCGTACACACACACACCCTCCTTGCTTGCATTCAAAAGCTTCATATATATACATTATTCCATAGTAGCATCAATGGGAATGAAATGTAACGCTCATTTGCTATAATCACTAAAACTGAGCATATATATCAACTTTTTACAATGAGAAATGTCTTTCTTCGGAAGCAAAGTTGTAGTACTGGAGACGGCCTTGACATTGATACCACGAGCACAGGTCGTTCGCTTCCACATAAAAGATGGTTTGCTTTCAGAGCACGATTATCTGAAATAGACACTTGTCACATTGCCACTATGTGCTGTTTGGTGAATATGTGGCTGCTATCGGGAACGGCCATGATCTGTCAATCATACTGTATACAACAAAACGTGGCTATCCTAATCTACTACTGCTGCTGCTGCTCCTGATTGTTAATGCTGCTCAGCTGCTGATAGTGTTATAAGGGTCACATTACAGCTACTGTGATAATACAACGATTGAATTCTTTTTTTTAGATGATTAAGCCTGCTATGTATATATCCGTTTGAAAAGCATACCGAACAATGAGTTTAGCAGAAATCTTCGTTGCAACTATTGTCGCTACTGCCTAAAAGTGAGTATGTAACAACGACTTGAAACTCTGATTCAAAGACAATGTTTCTGTTGTCAATACGTCAAAAGAACTCAGTTTTGTGTTATATGGTGACAAGGTAAAAAAAAATGAGTTTATTTAATTATGATTGACAGCAACTGATGATACTACTTGGTTAGAAAGCCCTCGGCACCAATACCGTCACATTCTTTTTTATTTTTGTGCGTGTGCATATATATATATATATATATATATGTGTATCAGCATACATGATCTAGTGTGTATGTATACTGCTCCCCCACACGCACCCATACTATGTCTGGAAAGATGTTTGTATTTCACCTCACCACACCCAACAAAAGTGTGTTTACTAAGTATACAATTTCCCAACCTGTACATGTATACAACAGCAACAGCAAAGATGCAGATTGCCATCGTTTATGTTGCCTAATAGAATTGCTGCAGCAGATCACTCTAAAATTGATGATCATCGCTATCATCCTGCCAACAACAGTCTCCTTATTGCATATCGCACCTATCTGCGTATATTGTCTGTGTGTTTTACGTTTATCAGCAAGGAGGGAGTGTTCAAGACCGTTTCACAAGTTGTTTATCTAATAAGCCAAACCAACTACGACCTTTTTTCTAACAATGATGACGAGGCTTTTATTACTGGATTTGTCTCTTAATTGCGGTGCCAGTACTAGCTCCCTCCACAGCCCTTTCGATGACCCAAGCCAAACCCAGCTAGCCTGCAGCCCAGTTTCTATCCCATGACTTTTTGTTTTTGTAAACACAGAAACTGCGAAATACCACTACTGTCTATTATTACGCTGGTCGCACTATAGTATAGTTTATCAGCTCTATCCAGTCGCTCCATTTCTGTTGTTGTTGCTTGTGAGTTCTTTTTTTCTCATCGGTCATTTTTTAACAACATCAACAAAAGTCGTAATATTTGTTGTTATTGTTGCATTGTTTACACTGCTGCTAAATGGTTGTACATAACAGACAGAGATGTTGTACATGTACTTTGCTGCTGAAAAGAGTGCTCTTGGGGAATGGCCCTCTAAAAGTATGAGCCTTGGACTATAAAAATGTAAAATGCATGTACACATGCATTGTGGTGCACATAAAGTATGGTATTTGTTTCATAATCAAATTATCCACAAATCGACCTTTTTAAGCGAGCAAAAAAAAAGTAAGCCATGTTATAAAGATACATTGCAATGTGCTTGTGCAGATGGAGATTTTATCTTCTGTACTAGAACATGGCGGCCGGCGGCGGGAAACTCGTGTGTCTTGCTATTATTCCTGCATTTTGCATGCGTGCGAAAAATCATGTATTAATGATAAGCATTAATGTGCATTGAGAATGTTATTCACCCTTATTAGAACACAAATGTGCTCCTCTATCCTTTTGTAAGGCGGGGCGCAGTAGCAGCACGATATGGGCTTAGTTACTTCTTTCACTATTTCCATTTTTATTGTACGAAAACAGAGTACTGAACATTAGTTCTTTACTGATATCTAAAAAATATTTTTGAGGATTCCATTTAATGTATGATTGCGGTCTAGTAGACATAACGAAACATCTGCTTTTTTGTACTATGTTAAGGTACTAGGTAGAAATTTGACGCATTAGTGTATGTCACAGTATATACTGCTAAGCGCTCTCAACCAAACTGTATCAACGCAAATAATTGTTATGGAGCTTGTGAATCTGACAGCGTTGAATGCATTTTTCACCGGTGTTTCCTCGTAAAAACGAATAATCTATTAATGCTGTGTGTACGTTGCTTCGTTGTCTTTCCAATATTTCATTTCCAAAAGACTTGAAAACTTGCATATTTGTGGAATCAAAATATACGTACTACATTGCAAGTACGGTAGATGAGCTACTTCATTGTACTTTTCTTTAATCAAAGAGAAAGTGGGCCAAAAGATAAGTTCAGTGTCACCCATGCGTCGGCGTCTCATGCATAAAACAATTATGTACAGCATACTGTCTGCGTCAACGGCAAAGCGTACTATAAACTGTTAGCCTTGATGTCTGTATGTCGACAGCGACGGTTGTAGATATACACAATTATTGTTTTCCTGTCTTTATACATTACCCTCACTGGTAAATGCGTGTAAGATGAAAACAGAGATGGCAGGCTAAAAAAATAAATTTCTCATAGTATTCCAGTTTTTCTCCCTCTATACCGCTGTCTCATTGTCAACGGTCACCTTTAACAGTTACGCTATTCGACAATATGTTATTTTACTCATTCTCCTGATAAAGTCTGTAAACATTATGATAATTACATAATAAGGACGGCTACAACATCTACCAGTATCTGTTAGATTTAAAATGACAAGTCTTTCAATTCAAATTTGGACAGTTCTGCCATTTCTGTTAAGCAAAAACCTATCGTTTATTTTCTCAGCATAATCCTTCTAGTATGCGTTGCAAATATCATGGCTCTTTTTTGATAAACTTTCAGGAATGTGTTAGAGAGCGGAAGAGCTTTCGTGAATATATGTATCTCTGGTAGTAAAGCAATAGAAAGTTATTCAGTAACCATAGCTAAAATCCAACAGCTACTGAACTCAAATTGAGATGCTGTGATGAGCTTGGATGCCGATGAAAAACTAGAGATATCTCCTTGGCATTTGCTTTGATTTACTAGCTTTTGAATCATATAAGGTTGCATGCGACGCGCATGTAAGAATGTAATAAAATCGAGCGATGGTTGAAATAGTATCGTGGAGGATTATATCGAATGTCCGAGTGTATACGGCTAGGCCGTTGGATTGTCAAGCGTATGAGTTGTCTTGCTTGTTGCGATCGTCTTCTGCCCACGCATCATCACTGTCAGGTCTAAGCAAGCTGAGATCCGTATCGCCAAGTTTTACGCTTGGGTTCCAAACGTATATCTAGGATCCAGTCGTATTGTTCCTAAGCTTTCTCTCCCGTCGAACACCCATAGGAAAACATCACAGGATAAAGCCAACGTCAGGTCGTCGTAGCTGTCTGCTGATCGTTTTGAGAACATCATTAGGAAACATTGTTTAGGAACGAAAATGGTGAAATACTGTTTGATCGTGGGGTCTATTAGCCGGTTTGCCTTTGAGAACACTGGAGTAAGATCATTGCTTCATGTACAGTATGGACACCCGCTATAATTACGAAAAAGGGTAGTTACATTCTTTTTCGTCGCGATATTCTTTGCTGACACTATCCACCTTACAAATTGGCGAGTTCAGTTTATAGTCAAGTGCATGCCCAAGACCACCATGGAACTTTTTACTCTCAAATGAAGCAGTTTCTGTCAAACCATTGCAAATCCTTCAATATATGACGTGAGCCACTGCTACAACTTCTTCCAAGTGACCCATTCTTAAACACATCATCAGCTTGACTTCACGAAGAAACACGGTTATTGCTGCCCTTAGATGCTGATGACCACACTGTCTCTCTCATCCGACACATAGCAAGACGGCACCGGGCTACAATATTCGGCCTATGTACTATTGACAAGCTTCTCACCAAATGGATGCCATACACTGCTAGCTTTTCTTTTCGTCCTTATACTTCTAGCACAAGTTGTTTGGGGAAAAAAGGAAGAAAAAGGATGACGTGGAAGGCGAAACTTATTCGCTGTAATAGAAAAGATATGGCTAGTAAAAGAAAAGTTCATTTTCAGTCGAAAGAAAGCAGAGTATTATGAGGCGGAAAAGAAGAGAAAGGAGAGAAAAAGTTGGAATAGCGTAATAATTATCCAAACTAATAAGGCGTAGTAAAAAACTGAAAAAGTGTAGTAATAGTAGTAGTAGTAGTAGTAGTAGTAGTAGTAGTAATAGTAATAATGACGTGTGTATATAAAGAGGCGTTGGAGGGTTACATATGTATACGTATAGAGAGTAAGGTGATAGATGTATAAGAGAATCGTAGTGCTAGTTATTTAACTATTGAGACAGTCCAGATGGCGGTGCTTGAGAGGTTGGTTTGGATGGCGGCATGGGCGATAATCCTTTATAAAAATCAAGTTGCTGCGGGTCTGCATCTTCGTCGTCAGACGTAAGCGAGGTGTCCTGACCTTTCAACAACGCAAGATCATCAACATCGTCGTCGTCTTCATCGAATACGGCGGCTCCTACATTACCTACATGAAGATGCGTTATTTTACCACCCTGTTAACATTGATAACCCAACACGATGGCTTGTACAGCTTCAACGAGTGTACTCGAAGTAAAATCTTACCATCCATGCATTTTTCCATTGAAACAATAGCGTTTGGTGCACCATCCAGATAATGAACACTGTTTCGGTTACTGCGTCCAAATTCTTCTCGAAGTCGTAGTGTAGCTTTTCGCTGAATACGGATCGGAGGAGGTGCCGGTGGCGGCTGTTGTTGTTGCCCTGTCGTAATAGCGGTTTCCTTATTGATGTTGCTGTCTTTTTCATAGTTATTGTAAACGTCATCATTGTCTTGATCATCACTCTCATCGCTATCATCCTCCAGCATCCGTGGTGCTGCATCCCCGTCTTCAGTTGTCCAGAAAATGTACTCGAACTCGCTTATAAACAGGTTGAATATGGTTGCTGGAACGCCGAGGGTAGGTGAAAATACAATGCTGACGTTACGCATAGTCATTTTGTTGACATCCGAGTTTCGTACGACGCGGATAAGATGGGCAGTAAGCGTTCGCAAAAGTGTATAATTTGCTATCGGCAACAAGGAGACAAGTCGACCCAACTCGTTGACACGATCTTTTCGATCCAGGAAATCTAAAATATGTATTTGGGTGTGTTGTGTAAGTCGCGTATACATACTGGGATATATCGGAGGATGATATTCTCGAAAGAACAGTCTGTACTTACCAATAACATGCATGAAGTCAGATCGGTGTTCGCGAGTAAGCACGGTTGAAGGTAGCTCGCGCAACCACATTTTCAATAATCCGGCAATAGCATGGACATCATAATCTTCCTTGGATGCCAGGAGATTTACGTCGCCCTCTTGATTGAACTTTTGTTTGAGCTTCTGTATGACCATGTTACTGCCACTGAGACGATACAGTCCTTCCTCCATGACAGCATTTTTGGCATCCAAATATTCGATACACCGATAAACAACGGCCGGAAGTTCGTAATTATTCGATACACGCGAGATCCGTACTGCTTCCTCGAGTGGCACTCCAAACACGACCTTGGATCTGTCAGCGTCTTCCGAGTGGCGTTCGCTTGAATCGTTGGATGAACGTGATAACAGGTTACGGAACCCCGAAGGGACACTGCTAATGCGAGATTCTGCACCGTAGTTGCCATTCGTAGCTGCTGATGTTGATAATGATGACGATGATGCCAGAGTATCGTTATTACTGCTAAACATCTTTTTGCCCCACATGGTAACACGGTTGGCTTTTTGCTTGACTTTTTTGTCGTTCGTTTGCAACAGTTGTGCTTGTTGTTGTACGTCGTTGTTGTTATGTGAGGTACTGAGCAAGTCTTCGCTACTACGAAGCGCACCAGGTGTAGGTGAGAGCATATTGGCTCGTAGACGCACTGGATCCTCGTCACCATCGCCACCTGCTGAGCTTCGTCGTCGAGGAGGTGTAGCATGCGGTGGAGGCGGAGGTGGTGGCGATGCTGGCGTGTTTGCTCCAAATGTGGGTGTCACGGGCATACTTGGCATAGACGTTGAGAGAAATGTCGCTGCGGCAGAGCCAGCTGCACTACTACTATCTGTCGAAGCAGAGGGCGTTAAACCAGTGGCCATGATCGGCTGTTGTTGCTGTAGGTCGTCATCCGCTCCCGAATTTTCGTTATTGCAGGATGCAACTGCTGGGATCTGAACGGATGGCACAAATGTCAGTTTGTCCATATCCGCACCATGATCGTTTCTCAAGGTCTTGATAGGTGCAGCTGCAACAGGACGGATTTCACCCTTGGACACTTTGCGCTGCTTTTCGACCCTTTTGATGTTATTGTTGTTGTTGTTATTGTTGCTGGTGCCAATGCTGCTGCTGCTGTTGTTATTGATCTTTTTGGGGATATTGTTTTGATCCAGTCGAATATTATCGAGCAGAGCCGCCACCCATTCATCGCGTTCCTCATCCGAGTTTGCGCACAAGATATGTTTTACGGCGCCATTAGGGCCAGATCGCTTTTGTTCCAGAATCAAAAAGGCGTGGCGATAGACGCCGGTGTCTTGATCATTGCCACTTGTAGGTGCTTGGCGACCCAGTTGGGCATTCGTTAGCTTTATTGCGCCGAGATAACTGCCATCCTTCTGCAAGATATATGAACAATACGTTCTGTGAATATATATTCGGTGCGTACGACAAGAGCGACAAGAGCGAAAAAAAAAGAAGTGTTGTGATGCGTTGAACGATAAAAAAAAGAAAAGCAGAAGGTCTAGAACTTTACCGATTCGTAGTACTCAAGTGCGGCGTCTTTAATTTTAAAGTAGCGAGCTTTCCAGCCACCAAAATTTTTACCTCTTTTGGTGAGGTAGCCTGCTTTACGACCGGTTCGCTGCATAACAAAAACAATAAGCAGTGTTATATAGAGTGCAGTAATGGATTAAATAAAAAGGACGAAGGTTCGAGAGCACACAGACGCGACATACCTGGTAAGTGTCACGCTCAACGACGTTGGTAGTAAGGAATTCGCAAACGTCTGAGATGTCAGCGTATGGCAAAGATATAATATGCTGCAGATATTGCTCCAGTGCAACCTGCGTGTGTAATCCGTATAATTTAATTCATGCATGCAAAAATAGAAACCAGAGCTGAAACTGCAAGAAACATCACAAGGCGGTGCTACTGTTTGCGTAGCAAAACTTTACCTTTCGCTGGTCGATTTTGCTGGGTGCTCGGCTGCTGGTCGAAAACAACTGCTTATCAGGTAGCTTGCCCACCCTACCTCTGACCTGATTGCCTTGTGCTTTAATCTATTGTTGTTGTTGTTGTTGTTGTTATTGCCATAATAGCTCATCAAGGTCAGTAAACGCACGAATGACTAAAGAAGTAATAGTAGTTGCTCACTTTTGTATCCAAAGCAATAAAGTCAGAATAGAATTTTTCGACACGCCAAAGTTCTTCACATTCGGCGCCGCCACGTTTGCCAACGGATATGACAAATGATACCAGTTCCCGACCCTTCTCACTAGTCTTGATATTCGATGCACTGACTTTAACCATGACACTGCTGATATTCTTGGCCGTCATCAATGATGTCTTTTCGTCTGGTTGTTGCTGCTGCTGCTGCTGTTGTTGTTGTTGTTCTGCTTCTTCTTCAAAATGGTCGTTAGCCGCGGCAGCTGATGACTTGGTTTCTTCATTGATTTCCAAAGGACCAGCATCGCCCAGAATCATGCTCTCACGCTTGTTATTGCGCGATGATGAGACTGTCGTTGGAACTACAAGCGCTCCATCCGAAAAAGATGGTGTCTTGAGCGCACGATAATTCATTGCAGCAGGTGGGGAAGCTGCGCGTATCGATGGATCGTATTCGGATGTATGGCGTGGTACAGGTTCTTGCTGCTGCTGCTGCTGCTGTTGCTGCAGGGCTGCTGTTTTTCTATGCACGTCCAAGACAGATGAGGATTTACTTGCAGATGGCACGCCATAATATCCACGTGCTTGCTGCTGCTGTTGTTGTTGTTGTTGTTGCTGTTGTTGATGCACTGGCCGATGCTGCTGTTTATGCTGCTGCTTTTTCTGTACTGAAGATTGGTATTGAGCAAACAGGTGCGCGTCCTTTTCGATAATGGCCTGTGGAGATGTGGGTGTTTGTGGAGGTGGAGGCGTCGATGGCGGCGGGGAAGCAGGCGTAGATGGTCGTCGATCCAGTATAGCTGGTGGAGGAAGGGGCGGTGAAACTCGGCCACTAGCAGTAGCACCACCACCTTGATATTGCTGCTGCTGCTGCTGATGATGATGATGAAGATGATACTGAGGATGCGGAGGATGATGATGTCTACTCTCTTCTCCAGACAATGTCGAGGGTGCTGTAAAAGCACCAGTAGCTATTGGAACAATATGTCGATAGGGCGATCGTGGAGGTAACGTAGGCTGCTCACTCTCGATTATCTCCTTCACTCGTTCGGATGAAATAAGGATCGGCTGTTGCTGTTGCTGCTCTTTACTGTTTTGCAACAGTTTGTGCTCGAGGTGAGTGATTCTGTCACGAAGCCCATCACGCTCACTTGCAAGAATGGCATTGTCCTTTTGGAGATTATGAATCATGACGCGTTGTTTTTCAATGATTCTCCACAGTTGATCGCCTTGGGACGGAGGTATATGTTGGCTCGTAGTAGTAGACGTGGTAGGAACGTTGCCATATACTGCCACTTCTTGTTGCTGATGGGTCATGCTATTAAATAAGGATTATATGTAGGTACAGGGATAGGGTAAGAGAGTATGTGTGAGAGAGTGAGCGGAAGGGGGGTTGCCTTGTGCTTATACGTGTGAAAGGAGAGGAAAGAGAGATTTAGGAAGGCAGATGTCTGATAAAGAAATAAAGAAGGGAAGAAAGAAAGAAAGATAAAACAATCAAAGAGCCTGTTTTCTAATCTACACTCTTTTCTTTCTTTCTTTCTTTCTCTCTCTCTCTTGAGGTGATATGTATGTATGTATGTATGTATGTATGTATGTATGTATGTACGTACGTACGTACGGATGTACGTGCTGCTTTGCGAGAAAAAAGAAAAGGGGAGACAGTGTGGGCGAAAGGAGGTTCGTCGAGCTGTAAAGCAAGCCTTTACACAAATAAGTTCCTTTTAGTGCTCACAAAATGAACGATTTCCGAAACAGTCATTGTCGTGCATCGTAGGACAAAAAGCAGCCCTATCTCATTCAATAAGCAGCAATAATAACAATAATAATAATAATATATAATGTAAGCACATCAGCCGCTACAAATGTTGTGCAACCATTTGCATCAATAACTGTCCCATTAAACATGCAACATGCGGAGTATATGTACTCACCAAGCCATTGCTGTTGGCTCGCCCTGGTGATAGGCCTTTGTCGTTGAGTGCTTGCTTTTCACTTTGCGATAATTATATAATTGTTTACTTGACACTTTGTTTTTCAAATCTCACCGCTATCCAGGAACAGTGAGCTCACTGCCACTAAAGCCTAGCATCATATTGATCGAGCTTGTCATTAATCTCATTTTGCCTGTCACACATTCATACGCACTCACATACGCACACACCATCACAAAACACTCTCTACAGCAGCAAAAACAACAACGCTATAATTACTACAATTAGGACAGTGAAATTCTGCGTTGACAAGGAGTTCAAGATAAAGCTCCGAGATTTGGCCCAAAAGACCGTACCTGGATCTGAGAATTTGCAAAAAGTTACCAAGTTACGAAGCCACCAAGGGTCAGGTCATAGCCGTCAAAGCACTCTTCTCTCAAGTACTCATTATTAGCAACTACAAAAGAAGAAGAGAGCGACATCCATACCTGTCCACAGCAAATAACAAGATACATGTTAAAGGCTTGTTGCCGGCGCTTATTTACGTTTGACTCGCAAATCTACAACCTTTTTCTACAAGGAAGAAAACACGCGCTACAAAGAAACATTAATGCAGCCTTACATCATACCGACTCACACTTTGGTGCATTTACGCAGTTGTTTTTGCTCGAGGGCATGATGCTTTCTTACAGAATGAGTTTAGAAACCGCAATATGCGTGACACATCTCATGACTGTGTAATACTCATTTGCTGCTAAAGCAAATGAAATATTCGACATAATATGGCACCGTCATCAATCACGATATCGGCATCAACAGTGACAAGAAGTATCTTGAAAACAAATCGATAGACTAAAAAACCGATACGGAATGTGCTGAGATACATACTGAAACAGTTCGTGATTTAGCGTGTAGCTGATGTGGCGATTCATACCTCAACTATCATCTGTTCCCGATGGCAGCAAGTTGCTGGAAGGAAACCTCTGCATTTGAATGTTCTTAAGGAAACATCCGGAAAAGCAAGTAAAGTGATAACAGAATCGATGTCAGCCCTTCAAAAATCAACACATAAATCATAAAGTAGTATCATAGATTCCTTAAAGACGGCTATTCAGCATTTCTTTTCGATCATTTTGGCAATGCAAGCTTTGCTTTGGGATCTATTTGGTGGTCCGGAACGTTTTCGATGGTTTGTCACCAAGTTAGAAACCTGAATTCATATAGTTGCTTATAAACGCTGACAGGTTGCGGATATATCACCCGGATTGTGTGTGCCTGGAATGGCTGCGGTAGGAAAAGTTGCGGATAAGCAATAAGGAGCAGGTACAAATGGTATTTAATCATTAGAAATGCGCTGTTTTTGCCGCTGTGCACATCTGTACTAATATTAACCTTCTCTAATATGTCTTCATCTCTAAGCTGAACATCACGGCCACTTAGGAACATCCCTTTGGGGCATAGGTCTAGTGTTAGCGGTGACGGCGACCAAAGTAGGCGTTATCAACACAAACATTCTTCACACAATCTTGAAGCATAGAGAAAGCTTTCATCAAGATGAACATCGAGTGACAGTGCAACCAACACCAGCACCAGCAGTACCGGTAACATCATCATCAGCAGCACCAAGAAGACCAGCTGGTCAACCGTCTAAAGGTCAGACCTACGTGATTATTAGTAAAAGAAGGCTGCAACATTCGAACAAAATCATTAGATTCAGCGAGAGGCGAATCGCAAACAAAAGCAATCACGCACCCGTTATAAGCTTGCGAGCAGTTGGCGGGTTGGAAAATGCAAATAGAACTTTCATATCTTTCAAGCGTATAAATCTATCAACAGGAGAATCAAGGGCAACGGCACCGTGCTAGCCAGAAGCCCAAAGACCTGTTGTCAATTACCACCTACGGAAAGTTTGACAATATCAAAAAGTATCGCAGCAGACATACTTGACCAATGTGTCACAAATAAGCTTCAAAAGTTCTAATGAGGGAAGAGCCTTCATGCTGTCAACGGAGCTGTACCGCTCCAAATAATTCCATGTATACAACAACACATATAATCGTTATATATTGTCATTATTGGAATTTGCAAATCAACTTCCTGTGACAACAAATCAATCCTCCCACCCTTCTCCTGCACCTACCATCCTTCGCTCTCGCCCCTATCTGATGTAGCACCTGCCTTGTGTTCCCTACATCTCCCTTTGTATTTATCGTCCTGAAACTGATTGGTAAAGGAAAGTTTCGGGTGCTTGACGCCAATCTTACTTGAATTACCTAGCCTTATCTGATTATGCTTCCCCTTTAGGGTAATGCTCATTTTCCTTGCCAGAAACACTGTATAGGTAAGATACAACTTCTTTTTATTTTCGTTAGAGAGTTCAGTCATCGTTACCAAATTGCCGCCATACGGCATTTTCGTCATCCTCTTTATCATCCTGCTGTGATCGCTCCTCCTTTTCATATTGTGATGCATCCACAGAGACATCGCCTTCATCCATATATTTCGAATCTGATAATGCGAGTGTTCGATCCTGCTCAAACAGTTGACGACCTTGTAGAAAACGTTTCGTAACATGTGTCAGAATTCGTTGCGCTTTTTTTTTTCTTCTGTGTGATTCATCAGTTTTTACCTGTTAATTTGTTCTTCAGCTCTTTGGCGCGTGCCTTTTTCTCTTCACTCTCGTGATCAGCCAATTCCTTCTCAAACTTGGCTTTCCATTCTTGGAACCGTTCCCACGTCAATTTGGTACCGCGGAACCGAGCATTCTCGATCTCCTCCTCCTTGCGAATGCGCTCTATATCTGCTTCTTCCCGAGATCTTTGTGTGTCTTCTAGTATTTGATTCAACTCTTCTTTGGCAAGCGATGCCATGGTGAAAATCATAACCATGCCCAACGATTCTTCGGCCTATGGATAACAGCTTTTTGAGTTAGATGGGCCAACGAAGATATAAAAGGGACGAAAAACGACAGGAGTCGTAATAATGATAATAATAATAAGAAATAACAATCATACACCAGTCTTGATTGCCGCCAAAATTCTTTCCAGTTGTGAGTTCGTCAACTTGCCATCAGTAACGTCGACGCTGTATTCTGGCAATTCATCGGGATACGTTGGGGTATATTTGACCCGTAACGACAGTGCACCTTTTTCATATTTAGATCCGTTATAGAAATGCGTTAAACATGACCCGCCTTCGAATTTATAAAAGAAACAGCAACATTGTTCCTTTCCTTCACAGAAATACCAATACTACAACATACATGGGGTTTCTTCATCCTGATCGTCTGGGAAAATGGCGATTTGAAATTCTTTATCACCAATTTCTATACGATAAAAGCCAAAAGATCTTGAGTAATTTAAAACGAAAAAAGGAGAGCGAACAAGTTATTGCAGTGATGCTGTCCCTTCTTATATAAAATTGTACCTTGAAATTCCTCGGGATATATAGATTGAAGCGCTTCCAATTCGTTTTGCTGTTCTTCAAGGTAATCTATATAAACACAAGTTTAATATTTATTTTTTCCACGCACACACACACACAAACACACGTTCTCTCTCTCTCTCTCTCTCCCCGTGGGAGGTATATACAAAGATCTCTGCTAAAAGAAATAACAATAATATATGATTACCTGTCATTGCTAAATCGATCGTAACTGAGAATGTAAAGCTATTTCTCTGGGTTCTCACTGAGAGGGTGTGCAGATAAATTACCTCAGCCGCTGCCTTGCATCGGACACGTGACAGTCTTCAGATCAGTCTGACAATAGCTTATTTGACATAACTCATATTTTTGTATCTACATTGTTCAACTATGAATCGTGGATCAGATATACCATTACGACCATATTGCACATCCCTTTAGACTTTGATATGCAGCCTAAAAAGCTAGTGGTCATATGCAACCTCAATTCCAATCTGTACGTCCTAGTATCCTTACAATCCACCTAGTACCACTTCCCCACTACGGCATGCATTTAAAACTGTAAATTTGTCGGAAGCATTTGATCAGCAGACTCAAGGTACTCCTGAAAGATAGTCCATTTTATGGTTGTTTGGTGTGAGCGTCACCTACACTTTTTAAAGCGGCATGTGACAAAAGGGCAAACTTCAATTGGAAATCGCGACATACGAGTAGTAAAAGGTAGTTTCTCGTTTGAACTAGCTGTAATCTAAACAAAATAATTTTAAAAATGATGAAACGTCCTTAGTGATTGTGACTAGAAGCAATTCGTCGATTTTTCCTCAATTTCTTTTAATTTCCCAATCAGCAACTGTCTCCATTTAGTGTATATATTCGAGCTACTATAAATTGGTCAGCTACTTATAGTACATAGAATGTTGAACTCTAGAATGAGCAGAAGTTGCTGTACCGGATTTCTTATCAGGTAGTAGACGTTTGGATTCATAAATCCAGCATGATGCTTTTATTAACCCATAATAAATTTGATATATAGAGAATGACGTTTTTTTCATATATTGGAGTAATGATTCAAAGTAGCTGATATGGTTAAAATATACTCACCAGTGTTAAAACTGGTCAAATTTGTAGGTGCATGTAGAATAAAACGAATAGTAAAGAAAAAGTATAGCAATATCTAGATAACAAGAAAGTGGTAAAAAGTATATATAAATAAAAAAAGCATACAGCAATTTGCGATACTAAAACATCAACATAAACGATATCAAATTGAGAATGGATCAATAGGGTACGAACACCTACACAGCTGTTAGTCTATCTCTCGACATGGAAAAGGCTTACGATCGTGTACACCCTGCGTATCTCAAGTAATACTTAGATCGCTGGGGCTTTCTGGAGTCCATTATATGCTGTATCACCAGCCTTTTTTTGGCTCGAGCATCATCATCAACATCAATGGCGCACTTAGGGTATTAAATATCAACAACTAAAGTTGTTATATTTAACTAGCGGTCCTTCCTCGCTTCGCTCCGTGTCATTCAACGGAAACGCGTCGCAATATGGAGCGATGTTGCATCAGTGTTTCGGCATTGGATGCTTATTGTCTGTTTTCAAAAACAAAAGGAAGATCATTGTGCAGTGAGAAGTAGTCTACCATACGAAGTCGTCAAAGTTGGATACTTAACTATCTCCAGTTTAGAATGCAATGCGAAAAGAAGTGTTGACAAAGATGATGTAGTGATATTGATAAAAAGAGAACAGAAGATCCAAAGAATTAGAGAAGGACTTCATGGAAAACAACATTTCGGGTGTTTTGGCCTTGCTGACCCGCGATGCGTGAGTTTTCCGGGATCTAACATGACTCTAATAGATGATGGGGTGCGGACACGTGACATGGCTACATAAAGCAGACCATGCGTGAACAGAGGTTCAGGCAAGTAGAGGCCGACAGTGTTGAAAGTTTGACCCTGTGCCTTATTGATGGTCATTGCAAATGCCAGGCGAACAGGGAATTACGTGCGTTTGAATTGAATGGGAGAGCGTGTTTGTGAAGGTGTGAGTGTTATGCGAGGGATCAAGACAATGTTGCCAGCATGAGGTCCAGTGGCTATTTCAGCTTCAAGTACATATCGTTGGAAAGAGCGTACAATCAGCCTTGTCCCATTGCAGAGACCACTTTGGGTGTGCAAATTCCGCAAAAGCATGATTGAGCAGCCGACTTTGAGTTTCAGCGAGTGTGGTGGAAGGTCGGATGGATTCATTGAATTTAGAAGCTCTGGTGGGTATGTGATTTGATCTTCTGGATCATCCACTGTATCAGCGCTTTGGAACTCATATATGGTGCCCGGAAAATGGTCGAGTACCAAATCGTTGATTGTTGTGACGTCGGCATTCTTTGGAGTCAAGATGGAGCGACTGATGAGGTATTGACGATCCACGCGTGGTGCATTGAGGTTGCCGTAAATGGCTTCTATGAGCTCATATGTATTGTAACGTGGCATGAACATTCGATCTGGGAGCCGGATTCTGTCATCAGTGGTTGGCACCAACAGCTCAGCACCATCACCAATGCGAAGTAAATACTGCGCAAACTCGCGAAGCTCGTTTGCGTCATTGGTGTCGGCAGCTTGTTGGATGCGCATGCTGGTTTCAAGGCGGTGGACGGTGACACTGGCCCAAATTGATGAGCGATTTAGGCACTGCTGTACAATTTGTGAGCGCGATGCATTTGGTATCACAGGAAGGACCTATTAACAGGTTTGATGCAGATACTTTAAATGTAAGTACTACCGCCCAATAGCAAAAGAATGCAAAGTAGAAGAGAGGATACAATGTTAAATACCTGGCGAAAGCCACCACCAAAGACCGTGATCTTTCCACCAAACGGAACACCGGCAAGCGCGGGATCGTCATGTCTCATGAGATCCTGGATACTCCTGTTTACAGTCTCAATAACGCTTTTACTGATCATGGACGCTTCATCCCAGATGATCAATCTTGCCGAACGTATAAGCTGCGCGGTGTCAGACCGTGGGGTAAAATCACACACTGTTGTTTCGTTGACCTCTAAAGGTATCTTGAACGTTGAGTGGGCAGTTCGTCCACCATCAAGCAACAAAGCGGCAGTTCCACTTGCAGCTACAGCAAGGGCAATATCTCCGTCACGATGAACATGTTGGAGAAGTGCATTGAACAGGTATGTCTTGCCAGTACCGCCAGGGCCATCCACAAAATGCACCTTTGGCTGATTTGCCGCATGGCGTAAAGATGCATTGACTGCATCAAAGACAGATTGCTGATGCACGTTAAAGACTTGTTGAGGAGCAGGCATCAGTGCAAGTCGTTCCACAAGTCGACGGTGCTCGCGAATCAACAAAGGCTCGTTGTTGTAGGCGTTATCGTTTGGGTTGGGTGGAAGCACAAACCCATCAAACTCGAGAAGCGATCTTGACAATCCAGAGAGCACCAACTCAATATCCAGAAGGCCTTGGTCATATATGACATCCGTGACGGGCAAATTTTGGATCGTTCAAAATCTTGGTGGGCAGTGTGCAGAAAGTCTTCGACCATGCTATCACGGTGACGAAGCCATAAGTCATGCAGATCCTCGGGTTGACAGAAGGCCACAATGACTGCAAATAGTTGGCGAAGAGCATGGGGGCGTGGGTAGGTCTGAGCTTGTTCAAGGCATTGGTGCCATTCTTCTTGTCCCGTCAGCGGGCCACGTCTTCGTGCTGCTGCCTGAAATGATGGCAACAAATCACCGTCTACTGTTCGCAAAAATTCAAAGCTGGTAGCACCGGGAATATGATACAGCAAAAGTCGAAGATGGAATTTCTCAACTTCGCGGGGGGAAACAACATAGACACGACCGATGGTAGCGCCAAAACCTCGTTCACGTATTTTCCAGCGACGTGTGCTTTGAACAAATACAAATTGCTCGGAAAAATTGACATAAAGAAGGTTTGCGGTAACGGTGTCGTCTGTGTTCTCTTGGTTGTACTGGAACCATGCTGTCAAAGTTGTTTCGTGAGCACGGCCTTCAATCACGTTCCCAGGAGCAGCATCCTCATCAAAATGAACAGTTTGTTCATCTTCCAAGTGGACGGCCAAACGCTGATGCGCTGGGTACTCTTTGTGAAGAGAAAAAGAAAACAACCGCCAGCAGCCCTCGGAAGCAGAGACATAACGTGCATCAAGGTAGTTGCGTATCTCATCAGTTATCTGTACATCGTTATCCGTAGCGGTGGTGGTGGTGTTTGCTGTTCGACGCTGCGCTACTACAGCTGACGCGCAATCATGGCCCTTGTAAACGTACTTATAGACATATTTGATCGATTGAATAGAAGAGCAGATTTCAACGTTGATGTGTGCGTCGTATTTAACACAAAGATATAAATTGTGCGGCACTACAAATCGATTATCGAGGGTTATACCGTTTTTGTTGACGCTGTCACCATTGTCGGGTCTGCGGTAGGCGGGATATCCATTTTCATTCCATTCTGTTTCGTCAGAAAACGCTTTGGGGTATTGCTTTGTGCATCTACCGTCAACCATACATGGTGATCTGGCGTTTAGTAAGCCATATGGGCCATGCAACATGTGCCGTTCGACAGTTGCTCTTGCTGGGTGGTTGCTATCCGGAAGTTGAGTCGAGACAATGGCATCGCAGTGTGCTGGTGCTATTGGCTTGTCTTCACCAGCAAGAATTAAAAGAATATGTGCATGTGGAAGGCCGCGCTTTTGGAATTCGACGGTGTGTACATGCGCGATAACTGTTCCGAGGATCATATCTTTAGTGAGGTCGACCATGAGTTGTTCTAGCTTTAGCTTGAAAACACGTGCAGATAGATCAGGACGATCAGAAGCGGTTTGGCCAGGTAAGAGGGATTGTTGGATTTCTGGTCAACGTGGGTTGCACGTAAATGTCACAAAAATATCAGGCTTTCCAAAACGACGCACAATGCTCATAGCGTCTTGATATAGCTGCTGCATGTGGCGTGGTGAACCAATGAAGGAGGATGACAATATGACGCGACGTCCGACACTGGTCATGTCATTGTCTCCAACATTCATTGCATCGACGACGTTACAGTATAAATCAGAACGCAATCTGTTTTGGTTGCGCCTAATGAAGCCCAGATTGGTGGATTGCATCTTTGCATACATATCAACGATATATTGCTGAAAATAATTACCAAAGCGATGTACTGTAGATCGTGACGGTCAACATCGTCATCATTGCCGCGCACCATGAGGCGGTATTGACACCAATCCATAACAGTTGCACGATCACCATTACGATCAATGGCTTGAATGGTCCAGCCTTCATCGCTTAACTCAAAGACTTAATACAAATTCAAAAAACACGCTTAGCCTAAACTCAAGGTACCTTGGGGAAAGATGAGAACGTAATGGAGAGCATCATAGAAGCGATGCATCTCACTAATACTTTGGAGCTGATTGGATCTTTTCTTAAAACTTTTTTTTGTAGGCGCGCAACTTGCGTCGAATTTTATTTCCAATAGGAGAGGTAGAGGGAAAGGAAGCGGGGCATGAATTTACAAAGAGATATTGTGAATGTTTGATTCAGCAATATGTAGAAACATCAATTTGTGGGCTTTTTGGACAATGTGATCAAGGGAGAATGGTTGATTGTTAAATATGAAACCCCAATGTGTGGACCAAATGCTATGCAAAATGGACTCAACTATCATCGAGCTTTTACCACTAGGAGGGTCTGGCAGAAAATTCAGTTGAAAGATAGCTTGTTCGATGTTTGCTGTGGTGGCTGAAGTCAAGAGTAGGTCAGACTATACTCTCTCCCAGACTAACCTTTTCGATGAACATTGAAAGAGGAAGTGTGCAATAGTATCTTCATCCTCGTTGCAAATTGGGCACTGATCGGATGTGTATTCGTTCGGAAGGAGGCGGTGTAACATCTTTCGGTATGAAAGTTTATGATGCAGGGCCCTGTACCAGAAGTTTCGAACCGTGGACGCCAAGTTAATGGTCCAAAACCTTTTCCACACCATGGTCGAGGAGCTAGACACCGCAGCAAGTATATACGAGGATATGAACATTGTTCGGAACTGTTTGCTGGTGGCTACATGGAAATCGAGCGAATCAAAGTGGCACCACTTCAACAGGCAGGCAGGATCATGGGATATCAATGCGGGATCTGGTTCGCTGATGGCAACGGCTGGAGGATCACAGGCACGAACCAAAGAAACCTTGAAACAGAATTTGGAAGGAATCCAACAGGTCCAAAAACTGGTGGATGATTTGCGGGCGGCGGCCAATCTCGCGGCGGTGTTTGCGTCTTAAACATCCAAGCTGAGGGTCCATGATGAAAATGTCAGAGACCAGAATGCGATGTCGGGACACTGCTGTGATAGTTTTCGTTATTATTGCTGTATATGGCCTTGGTAGTGGGACACTGGCATCCAAAATGTGCATCTGTAATACCGTTTCAGTGGCGATGAAATTGCTACCGATTTCACAATGGAAATAATCCATGGTGTTACAGAGATTGCCGATGATAGAAACGGGGGTCTTGAATGACGGAGGACGTAGTCGCTTGTATATTAGGCACATTCGGGGGTCTTGATCTGCGCTCCAACAGTGTAACACATGAAGAATCCATGAGTGAATGAAGGAGCGGTGGCGGTGATTCGGGTCGAACAAGGGTTGGAGCCACCTAAGTTGTAATGCATGGTGTTGGGCTGGTGGATGTAATATTGCAAGGCCACCATGTTGTCGTTGTTGAACCAATGTGTTGTTTGCAATCTTTGGAAACATGTTGAACATAAGAAATCCGTGACTGATGATACGGAGTCGATCCATAAATGCGATAGGTGCGGGACAAACCCTTGGGACATGCTACAATGTAGATAAAACTAATACATTGAGAACGGTCGCACGGCCTCGTACTGATAGAGTCCGCTGGGAGTAAAGGTGACAGGCGGCCTGCACTTTGCTGAGGAGTTCGTCTAAGAAACTGTCCCGTTGCTGCGGTGTCAAACACAAAGGGTAACCCAAATAGATCAAAGCGTTGTTGGAGGTGCGGTCAAACCAGGAACAGATATCATGAGTTGCCAGAAGTTGTCGCCATTCCAATGATGGTAATCCAGACAAGGAAATAGCATGTGTCTTGTTGAAGTTGAGTTTTGCGTTCGATGCTCGGGCATAAGTATCCAAGTGGGTCATCACCAGGCGAAGATCATTTGCATCATGAATGAAGACGAAACAATCATCCGCATAGGCCAGAATCTTGAGTTGAGCATCTTCAAGGCTCAAAGACGGCATTGGTCTATCAAGAGCAAAACCATGTATTGAGGTATCGGATAAAATGCGTTGTACGAGCGGTTCCAACGCCAGGTTGAACAATACCGGGGACAACGGATCTCCTTGGCGCACTCCTCGGTTTTGTTGAATAGCGGGGGATAAAGCACCATTGATGTTGATCTGAATGTTTGTACCAAAGAAGAGATTGTTGATACATTGGATTGTTGACTGCAGAAAACCCCATCGCATTAGACATTGCCTCAGATACTGTGGATGGACTCGGTCGTAAGCTTTCTCCATATCCAAGGATAGGCATATATCCGTCGACAACGTTTTGGCAGCATGATCCATCGCTAGTTTGACAGCCAATCCGTTATCTGCGATGTACCGGCCATGAATGAACCCTGTTTGATATTTGTTTACCAGCTTGCCGGCGACATGCACCACCCGCGCATTCAAAATCCAGGTAAACACTTTCGCATCTGTATTTATCAAGGCAATTGGTCGCCAGTTGGATAACGACAGCAGATCGCCTTTTTTGGGCAAGAGGCGCAGGCATGTATCTGACCACGACTTAGGAAATATAGCCTGTTGTAAGGCGTCAGTGTATACTTGAAGAACGAGATCCGAGTAGAGCTCATGATGAAAGAGAAAACCGAGAATTGAGTATGGTAGCCCGTCAAGCCCTGGGCTACTTCGGCGGGGGGATCTTGCGACCGCTAGTTGCAGCTCGTCTAAGGTAATCTCTTGTTCGAGCATGTCACGATCCTCTTGATTCAAACGACTAACCGGCGATACATGGTCTAGTAAATCGGCCACGGCCTCCGTATCAATCGGTGCAGCAGTATAAAGTTGTTGGTAAAATGTGCAAGCGGATGCATGCATATGCTCAAGTGTCGATGCAGTTTCACCTGTTTCCGGATGCTGTAGCTCTTCAATGTTTCGTTGGACTTGCCGTTGTTGGATCACCGTTTTAATATACCCAGCTGACTTTTCCCCATTCTCCCGCCACCGTATATTTGCTTTTAGTGTTTGGATATACACTATTTCTTCTTGAACCTCTGCAAGTTGAGAACATATCGCGGTCAGTTTGGCTGGAGTTTCATTGAAACGTTTTTTTTCGCGTAGCATTTTGTTGCGCTGGCGTTGTAAATGTCGTTCGAGTCGTTTTCGTCGGGTTGCTTCGTACTGACCATGTTGGCGGCACGCTTGTTTAATCACTCTTTTAGCACAATCCCAGGCTTCCTGCGGACTAGGACAAGCTGCCACTCGTTCATGTGCGTGAATGAGATCCTGGTTAACTTTGTGTTGGAATGCTGCGGATTTAGCTAACAGTGGATTGGCACGCCAAATATCTCGGCCACCTGCTACTAAACTCGGACACCTAAGTGAGAAGGTGACGAGAGAGTGATCTGTCCATGTAGGATTGATGAACAGTGTTGTAGGTGCGGTGCTAAAATTACTGAGCGTGGTTGGCATGAAAACATAATCGATGGACGATATTGACTGAAACGTGGGGGGGTACCGCTGGTTTGCGTTACCAGGTTTCATCATATTGTTCAACTGTGCATCCAGGAATTGCTGCCATATTGATGACACTTTGTTAAAAGCTGTATCTAGGCGCTCATATGAATAGCTGAAATCCCCAAGAAGGATGGTACGGTCGGCTGTAGTGGATCCGACAGTAATGGAATCACCTCGTGGAGGTAAAAGTTGTTGCGTGTGGCGTGTCGTGTTGATGCTGGTGCATAAATGTTGAAAAGGTAGAATGGGTCAAAGTCATTATTGGCGTGTATGACTTGAACCCAAAGCCCTCTTCCACTCCGCAAGGTGAGGAAGGGCTCAAAACGAATGGATGGTGTAAAGCTGATGATGCCGCAGAATTTGCTCCATACGCCATCAGATTCTTGAAGCTGAGCATGAATGATTGGATCGGGGTTGATGGCTGGAAGATGAGTTTCTTGCATAGCCAATATATGTAGTGATTGTTGTTTTATGTGTTTTATGAGATTTTTTTGTATTTCAGGTTCGCCAACCTTTTGAAGATGACGAACATTTAATGTTCCGATGTTTACTTTCATAATGATATACGATTGGAGAGGCACTTACAGGGATCCCTCCTCTTCCTCAAGTGAGCCATCGATGACCATGGGGTCACTGGAATTGAGGGTAAGAGAAGGGGTGGCACTGGACTCCTGTGCTGGGATCTTGGGCTCTTCAGGGTTTGATTGCGATGCCTTGGATCTTGATCGGGTCACACGACCAGTATATGTCGGATCTGCAGCTTTTATGATGTTGTCACCGGCGCTCGCCATATCTGCCTCTAAGTGTGCCGCTTCTTTTTGTAAGCCGTAGATCGACTGGACTGGGATAGTGGCGGTTCGGTTCCTTGGCTGTCTGATGAACCTGGCGGCATGTTGCTCAAACCATCTTCGGAGCCGGTAGGTGACTCAGTGCTTGTGGCGGTCGTGTTGGCTGGTGCGGAGTTTTGCTGCAATGCGCCAGCAGGAATATGGATGAGGTTCTTCTCCTTAGGGAGCGAAATCTCAGGCGACTGTGGGTTTTCCTCTCTTCTACTCAAAGGGCCAGCTACGGGCTCATTCGAGTCAGCAGGTTTTTGTTTTTTATTGGCTTTTTTGTTTTTATTTTTGGAGCTGGGAGAGAGAGAGGGAGCAAGGTGTGATGCAGCAGTATGCGCGGCTGAAACTTTGGGTGTTTTCCTCGGTTGGTCACGAGGTGGATGAGGGCATTCGCTAGCCTTGTGTCCTCGCCGGGAGCAATTGAAGCAGCCTTGAGCTAGTCGAGTTGGACAAGTGTCGATGCTGTGGTCATCATTGTGACAGTAGCGGCAATATGTTCCCATGTCCTTCCAGGTCGCATAGAAATGTCGAAGGCGTGAACCAACTTGGCCAAATTCAATGCGATGGGTCAATCCATCGAGACTGTCGTCTTCTTCGTGGTTGGACAAAACAGCACAGCCATAGCCTTGGAACCAGCCTGCTGCTGCACGATAGAGACTGAGGTGCAGGACAGAGCCAAACGGGGAAAGCGAAGCGCGGAGGCCTTCCTCTAACTCCTTGGCAGGGATGCCGATGGGAAGCTTTTCAAGTTCTAGCTTAGTGATCTTTTGGTTCGGAGGTAGTGATCGAACAGCGGGATAGTGATGCTCGCCAAGCTGAATTCCGTTTTGCATTACGAAGTCGCATAGCTGTTCGTTGGGTAGAGCCATTTCATACAATAGTCGACCTTTTTCTCGGTGTTGTGCCATACCAATGCCTTCATCCCAGTTGGGCAGGAGGTCTCGAGCTGCTTGGAAGAATTCCTCTACTTTGACTTGTCGCGCTGACACATCGAAGAACACACTGAATTCTTCAGTACTCCTACGGAGGAGGTCCGGAACGTCGATCTGGCCGTTGCGTCCAACTGAGTTGAGTTGTCGTCAGACAGCGATGGAAGCACACTCGTTCAGTGAAGTCAGGTACTGGTGTTTTTTCCCGTTGCGAGAAATAGCAAGTTTGGCTGCTTGGACATAGGATATTGTCTGTGTAGGATTAGTGTCAGCGCCAACGACTGACGGTTGCGTTAGAGTCGATTATGGAGTCGGCTCTGATATGTTAGTTTGCGAAGGGTTGGGTGGACCATCTGGTGGAGGCGGCCCAGAAGTGTTTTTGTTGAATTGCGGAGAAACCATGCTCAACCAAGACTAGGGGAACTGTCCTTCCTGAAGGGCTGAGTTCATAACCGAGAGCAACAGCGACATGACCTCGGGTTTCTCTTGGCAAAAGCGATATACTTCAAAGGGGATGCCGTCTAGATCTAGGCTTTTGCCGAGTGGGGAGTGCTTGAGTGTGAGAAGCAGCTCGTCGTGGCTAAAAGGTGTGGTAAGCCGGTTGCGTTGAGCATCAGCAAGAGCAATATTTGAGGGAATGTGATGTAGCAATTGATCATTGGCGGATTGGTTGACAGGCTCTCGTGAGAATAGCGCTGAATAAAGCTCGTGTGTCTGCCGGAGTATGCTGTCCTGGGTGGTTGCTTGTTGACCAGTGGTCGGATCTCGTAGCTGCATGACGTGATTTGAGGAGGCGATAAAAATACTTATTATTGTGTTCACCCTTTTCGTGCCAACGAGTAGCAGTGCGTAAGAGGAGTTGCTTGGTTTTCTGTTCCTGAAGGCGGGCTATCTCCTGCTCGATGGGTGGGAGTACGGTGTGAAGCATTGTGGGAGCGCGGCGATGTTGGTGGAGCAACAGTCGACGATTATGTTGGAGCTCTTGAAGACGCCGTTTAGTGCGGTAATTATGTTTACGACCAAATTGCTTTGCCGATTCTGCTAATACTTCTTTGAAACAGTCCCATTGCTGGACGACAGAGAGAGAGGTCATGTCTAGCTGCGATATAAAGGCGTCGATCGTGGTATCCAGTAGTGATCGGTAGTCATCTTGCTCGAGCAGAAGTGGGTTGAAGCGCCACGTCCCTGGCCTAAGCGGCATGCAATCCAAGCGAAGGTCAACTGACAGAAGATCATGATCTGTCCATTGATGCGACACCATCTGTTGATGACTGCGCATAATTCGAGGTTGCAGCTGGCGTGAAGCAAAGATATAGTCGATAGTGGTGCGAGAGGCGCCTCTAGTGAAGGCGGTGGCCGCATGACGAGGAACCAAGACGTCTGACGCATCCCGGTACAGGCAATTGACACATCGATCCAACAGAAATTGTCCCCATGGTGGAAGATTGGCTGGCAGTGGTGTGTCCGCTAGGTGCAGATTAAAGTCTCCAACAATGAGACAGGATTCTGTAATAATCTACAAAGCATGGCAAGAAAAGAAGAGAAGAAAAATACTCCGCCCGATAGCGTGCTTCTGCTGGAGCATAGACTACCACTAAACGGCAAAGAGCCCCATGTGACGTACAAATATCAGAAATAATACAACGTTGATCAGGGGTCACATAGGTATTGGATAACGAATAAGAAGGGTTGATGTAGACAAATCCACAAAATTTAGTAAAACAAGATGAAGAGCGGGGGAATAAGCGGGAGAGAAGGTTTTGATCAGTATCAGACAGTGATGAAGAACGAGTATGTGATACTTCCTGAAGGGCTAAAATGTTTAGGTCGAGATCTTTTGAACGTAGGTGAGCGATAAACGCTGATTGCGCAGCTGGGTTGGCCTCCTTTAGAACGCTGCGCCAGTTTAAGGACGCTATTCTAGCATGGTTTTTTATCATTATTTTCGATTCAGGTAGGCACCATCACGCGATGGTGTTTGCACTGAATTTTTGGAAGCTGAGATGACGCTGTTGTTTCCTGAGTTTGGTGTAGATGGGTCCGAGGTGAAGGCATTGGATGTCTTTTGTTTTTTATCTACGGGTGTTTCGGCGGTATGGGTTGCTTTTGGAACAGCTTCGTCCATAGTGCTGTCCTCAGTGTTGATGGGCGGCTGTTGGTTCAATGCATCTTGGGAGTTGGTGTCCCAGGATGTGAGAAGTTGTGTATCAGTGGAATCGCGAGTGGCTGGTGTATTCGAAGCTTGCTGCTGCTGTAAGTTGTTGCTGTCAGGCTGGTGTTGTTGGTGTTGCTGTGATGTCGAAGAGGTTGGTTGAGAGAAAGAGTCTAGTAGCTGGGCCTTGGTTTGTTGTTGCACACGTTCTTCTTGTAGCTTGCGTCGGCGCGTGGGACAGTAGGACTGATAGTGACCTGTCGCATGGCAGTGGCAGCATTCAATACTGGCTAACTTGGGACAGGTTAATTTGCGATGACCTTCTTCAGTGCAGAAACGACAGATGGGTGGGACGTTTTTCCAGGAGGCAGGAATATCCGCGTCCTAGTTGTCAAAGTGAATTAAGCGAGTCAGCAGGTGGTAATAGCTGGGTGAGTCGTCATCCCGCTGCATGGCCTCAGCTAGTGGTGTAACGTCAAGTAGCACCATAGCGTCCCCTTCAAAAATACCAGTGGTTGGTTCAACGTAGATGCTGATCTGACACACCCGCCCATAGTGTTCCATCGTGTTCTGGATACTCGCTTTAAGGATCTCTTCCTCGACAAACAGTAGTTATCGAAGATTCACTTTGATAATCTCTGCATCCACTGGCACTGCCTTGGTGGCACAGTAATTTTTGTTGTCATACGTGACACCTTCTGAGATAGCTCTGTTAGTGGCCGCTTCCTCTTTGTAGCGCACTTCAATCATTAAGGAACTTGAGTTGCGAGAGCGTATGATGGGATAGCTCCCAGTATGCGTCCAAGTTTCTTGAGCTCCATGTAGGCAGCGGCTTTTGAGAGGAAGTCGGTACTAAATCAAAAATGACGGCGTCAGTGTTTAGGGCATGAGCCAATATGGCTTCTGCTTGGTGCGATCGTTGTTGCTGTTCAAAACCAGTTGTAGTCCACAAGTCAAGGCGTTTGTTCCGGACAACATTGGCCCAGGTCTGTTTAGGCTGCGAGCCTGAAGGACGCTGATGGGACGTCATCGTTTTCAAAGCTAAGCAATGGGTTGGTGTTGAAGGTAGGTAGTGTAGATGAAGTTCGGTCTCAAAGGCTACGAAAGTGATGAGTCACAAAGAAACCCTGAATTCGAATGGTAATTGCCACAGATGGAGGAAGTTTCTTTTTATGTACCTGTGATGCACCTGGGAATAATTTTACAAACTACAAAATGGTTATTCCGAGGTAGCCAATAGGATCAGCAGTATCACAAAACTTTAGCTCTAGTATTTATGTAGAGCATATCTTGCAGTCGGCGCAGTGGGTCTCAGCCCCGAGTCCCCAGCTAGTGGCGGACTTCATTTAAATATGCTATTTCAAATAAAGATGAGAAATCGCGTGTGAGCGTGGAAAGCTGAGCATTACTGCGCCGAAAAGTAATTCAAATGATAAATAAGGCATAAAGAAGCCCTTAATTATAGTAGAACTAATATTCTACAAATACAGCGTTTATGAAGAGATAACAATGAATATAATATCTATACTTATGCTAATATTTTGAAGCTATGTGAGATATGGCTGTTTGCATGGTTCGACATCAACTGGGCTGAATTGGGCTGAATTGGGCTGAATTGGGCTGAAGCATGAATTACACTTATTGACAAAGTGATACTTCTTGAAGAGAAAACGCGAAGCCGAGCCTCCTCTTCAAAGATGCACAAACATGTAAAACTGAGAAGGCTGAGCACAGTATAGTACTGTATATAAGACGGTCATTCTGTGGAATACATTATGTTATTTTTCCGTCATCTTTATATTCTTGTATTTTTCCTTGAAAAACCATCATGTTCCCAAATCACTCAACTGTACCCGCCACTGCATTATCTTCTTCTGTACCATTACGCGACGAGGCTGACTATGCCAACTTGAATTTGGAAATGCACAATGCGGTTATGCATATGGACGAACAATCTCAAGATCTTAGGCCCTCAAATACGAAACAAGCCTACGACCCCAAGGTTGCTGAATACTGTGAATGGTGCAAAGAAAAAGGTTTCCATCCCATGATATGGGATCAAGTAACAGGTGAAAAATCACACACATTCCTAGTGCAAAAAGTAAGTTTATTCAGATTCTACATTAGTATTTGTTCTCGTCAAATATATTAGCTAGATCCTTATGTTAATATCATTCAAAGTATATTATGATAACTCAGGTCCTCAGCAGAGCAAGTCGTGCCCTAGGAAACAAGCGATCAGCAGGCGAGGTCGAAAATGAAGAAGAAGCAATCCATCGTGTTGGCTATTCTACTGTCGAGCAATATGTCAACGCTATTATTAAACTGTACAAGGAACAAGTCGAATTTGGTACGAACACTGCCACCAACAATCCACGAACGAATGCAGTCAAGCAGCTTTTGAAAAACGCAAGAAAAATGGAAGTTCGAAAGCGAAGCAATAACTATGAGGACCGTGCCACAGGAACACTCTTGAATGGCTACTCGACCCTCACGGAACTAGGAACGGTTGTCGACTACTGTATTCGGAAGGACAGGAGTGAACACTACAGAAACGCATTGATACTACTGATTTCCCACTTTGCCTTGATGCGTGGCGAGAACGTCCGAGATCTAGAGTTGGCTGATGTCCAGACCATCCCTTTACAACGAGAAGGACCGACACCAGATATCGAGTGCCCTGCCTTAGTTCTCCTTTTGGATCACAGTAAAAAAAATCAGTTCGGCAACAGTCAGCATGGATCTGCTATTCGTAATGCAAATGTCGAAGTATGTCCTCAGATGGCATTGGGCATGTATCTCTTCTACCGTTGGCACGTCGAAGGCGAACGATTTCTGGACATGACTGGGCCCAAGACTTGGTATGATATCAAGCTATGCAAGTCCAAACCTAACGATTTGACCTCAGCGATCACCCCTGCTGCGCACTATAAGGCCATTGACAATGCTTTCAAGCATGCCGGTGTTCGTAGCAAAGCCAAGACACATGCTGGACGAAAATCGGGTGCGAAAATGGCGGATATTGGAGGTGCTGGTGACTTGCATATCCGTCGAGCTGGTCATGGGACAAGTGATTCCATGGAAGGATCATATCTGACAAACCTCCCTCAAAGATTGCTACACTATGGCAGATTTTTCTCCAGATGATGGTCACTTTTACCTCCCACGTGACATTGTGAAGCCTTCGCCAGAACTCTGCCGCAGAATTTTCCCTTGGATTGAACAATGGCAAGAAAGGATAGATCAGAACGAAGGCGATAGTACGATGGCGGCAGATGGATTTCTGAAGATGTTGCGTGTTTTGCGTTTCACATTTCTACAAGATTCAGTTTTAATGCAACAACGCCATCCAGGTCTTTCCATTTGGAACGCTTCCATGTTCAATGATACACATTACTTGGAATTTAAAGGGTTAGTGATTTATGAAGCTGTTCGATATTGCTCGTGTTGCGTTAAAGTATACTTATTGATTTGTTTGCCTATCGTATCTAGAGCTGTGACAAGTGCTGTCAGCGAGGCGCCTAGACCCCAAGAGCTGACACTCCAAATGGCTATGCCCCATTTACATGATTCTGTCCGTACCATGCATACTGATGTATCAGCGAAGATTGCTGCACTTACTTTGGCTGTTGAGCAACAATCCCAAGCTACTCAACAGTACTTACGGGATTTGACATCTGGGCAGATTCCTTTAACTGTGCAACTCCACGCACACCAGCCGCCATATACATCTACTGGTCCTTCTGCTTCTGCTCCCACTGATGCATCTACTGCAGTTATCACAGGCCCTTCCGCTGCAGCACCGTTTTCTCCCGCACAGCAACAACTGGATACACCGCCAAACTACCGCATGAGCCGTGGCATCCATACCATCCACGACTTGTGGCGTGAATGGCATGAAGGTTTAGGTGGTGCCCCATCTGTTGAGAGCCTCGAGTTACGGTGGGGCACGCAATGGCGCAGGGATGATTCCAAGTTCGTCAACCGCCGCAAAATAATCATCCAAGGCATCAAGCGATATGCACAGGAGAAAGCCATCACCGAGGACGAGGCCGAGTACAGAATCGAACAAGAGAGAGTTAATTTGAACAACAAATCGTTGGATTGGATGAGCAAACACGTTGAAAAATGGATGGAAGCAGAACTATAGCACTTTTTTTATATATATTTAGTTGTCATATTTAATCACCATATCGCTATATTGATATTGGAAATAAAGAGATTAAAACGGTAGTAAACGTATTGTAAAACCCGGAAAGAGACATTACTACATGCGATTTATAGTGATTTGTTTTTAAATGGAGAACCTTAAAGGTAAAATGTACTCGTCACCGACATCATTGAACATGTCATTTAGATCTTGACAGACAAGCAATACAGAATAAAGCAACCACCGCCAACTAACAGTTAGTGGGACCCCGCAATCCAAAATATGTACATATTTGCTCCTCGACCAGGGGTATTATGCTCACATAAACGTGTATAAATTTAGGAGCCGCTGGTCCTAGTGAGACTTGGCGGGACCTCAGGTTGAGATAAGTAGAGCATATCTTGCGGTCGGCGCAGTGGGTCTCAGCCCCAAGTCCCCAGCCAGTGGCGGACTTCATTTAAATATGCTATTTCCAAATAAAGATGAGAAATCGCGCGTGAGCGCGGAAAGCTGAGCATTACTGCGCCGAAAAGTAATTCAAACGATAAATAAGGCATAAAGAAGCCCTTTTTATAGTAGAACTAATATTCTACAAATACAGCGTTTATGAAGAGATAACAATGAATATAATATCTATACTCATGCTAATATTTTGAAGCTACGTGAGATATGGCTGTTTGCATGGTTCGACATCAACTGGGCTGAATTGGGCTGAACTGGCTGAATTGGGCTGAAGCATGAATTACACTTATTGACAAAGCAATACTTCTTGAAGAGAAAACGCGAAGCCAAGCCTCCTCTTCAAAGATGCACAAACGTGTAAACTGAGAAGGCTGAGCACAGTAAAGTATATAAGACGGTCATTCTGTGGAACACATTGTGTTATTTTTCCGTCATCTTTATATTCTTGTATTTTTCCTTGAAAAACCATCATGTTCCCAAATCACTCAACTGTACCCGCCACTGCATCATCTTCTTCTGTACCATTACGTGACGAGGCTCACTATGCCAACTTGAATTTGGAAATGCACAATGCGGTTATGCATACGCACGAACAATCTCAAGATCTTAGGCCCTCAAATACGAGACAAGCCTATGACCCTAAGGTTGCCGAATACCGTGAATGGTGCAAAGAAAAAGGTTTCCATCCCATGATATAGGATCAAGTAACAGGTGAAAAATTACATGAATTCCTCGTGCAAAAAGTAAGTTTATTCAGATTCTACATTAGTATTTGCTCTCGTCAAATATATTAGCTAGATCCTTATGTTAATATCATTCAAACTATATTATGATAACTCAGGTCCTCAGCAGAGCAAGTCGTGCCCCAGGAAACAAGCGATCAGTGGGCGAGGTCGAAAATGAAGAAGAAGCAATCCATCGTGTTGGCTATTCCACTGTCGAGCAATATGTCAACGCTATTATTAAACTGTACAAGGAACAAGTCGAATTTGGTACGAACACTGCCACCAACAATCCACGAACGAATGCAGTCAAGCAGCTTTTGAAAAACGCAAGAAAAATGGAAGTTCGAAAGCGACGCGATAACTATGAGGACCATGCTGCAGGAACACTCTTGGATGGCTACTCGACCCTCACGGAACTAGAAACGGTTGTCGACTACTGTTTTCGGAAGGATAGGAGTGAACACTACAGAAACGCATTGATGCTACTGATTTCCCACTTTGCCTTGATGCGTGGCGAGAACGTCCAAGATCTAGAGTTGGCTGATGTCTAGACCATCCCTTTACAACGAGAAGGACCAACACCGGATATCGAGTGCCCTGCCTTAGTTCTCCTTTTGGAACATAGTAAAAAAAAATCAGTTCGGCAACAGTCAGCATGGATCTGCTATTTGTAATACAAATGTCGAAGTATGTCCTTGGATGGCATTGGGCATGTATCTCTTCTACCGTTGGCACGTTGAAGGCGAACGATTTCCGGACATGACTGAGCCCAAGACTTGGTATGATATCAAGCTATACAAGTCCAAACGTAACAATTTGACCTCAGCGATCACCCCTGCTGTGCACTATAAGGCCATTGACAATGCTTTCAAGCATGCCGGTATTCGTAGCAAAGCCAAGACACACGCTGGACGAAAATCGGGTGCGAAAATGGCGGATATTGGAGGTGCTGGTGACTCGGATATCCATCGAGCTGGTCGCTGGACAGGTGATTCCATGGAAGGATCATATCTGACAAACCTCCCTCGAAGATTGCTACGAACTATGGCTGATTTTTCTCCAGATGGTGGTCGCTTTTACCTCCCACGTGACATTGTGAAGCCTTCGCCAGAACTCTGCCGCAGAATCTTCCCTTGGATTGAACAATGGCAAGAAAGGATAGATCAGAACGAAGGCGATAGTACGATGGCGGCAGATGGATTTCTGAAGATGTTGCGTGTTTTGCATGTCACATTTCTACAAGATTCAGTTTTAATGCAACAACGCCATCCAGGTCTTTCTATTTGGAACGCTTCCATGTTCAATGATACACATTACTTGGAAATTAAAAGCTTAGTGATTTATAAAGCTGGTCGATATTGCTCGTGTTGCGTTAAAGTATACTTATTGATTTGTTTGCCTATTGTATCTAGAGCTGTGACAAGTGCTGTCAGCGAGGCGCCTAGCCCCCAAGAGCTGACACTCCATTTGGCTATGCCCCATTTACATGATTCTGTCCGTACCATGCATACTGATGTATCAGCGAAGATTGCTGCACTTACTTTGGCTATTGAGCAATAATCCCAAGCTACTCAACAGTACTTATGGGATTTGACATCTAGGCAGATTCCTTTAACTGTGCAACTCCACGCACACCAGCTGCCATATACATCTACTGGTCCTTCTGCTTCTGCTCCCACTGATGCATCTACTGCAGTTATCACAGGCCCTTCCACCGCAACACCGTTTTCTCCCGCACAGCAACAACTGGATATACCGCCAAACTACCGCATGAGCCGTGGCATCCATACTATCTACGACTTGTGGCGTGAATGGCATGAAGGCTTAGGTGGTGCCCCATCTGTTGAGAGCCTCGAGTTACGGTGGGGCACGCAATGGCACAGGGATGATTCCAAGTTCGTCAACCATCGCAAAATAATCATCCAAGGCATCAAGCGATATACATAGGAGAAAGCCATCACCGAGGACGAGGCCAAGTACAGAATTGAATAAGAGAGAGTTAATTTGAACAACAAATCGTTGGATTGGATGCGCAAACACGTTGAAAAATGGATGGAAGCAGAACTATAGCACTTTTTTTATATATATCTAGTTGTCATATTTAATCACCATATCGCTATATTGATATTGGAAATAAAGGGATTAAAACAGTAGTAAATGTATTGTAAAACCCGGAAAGAGACATTACTACATGCGATTTATAGTGATTTGTTCTTAAATGGAGAACCTTAAAGGTTAAATGTACTCGTCACCGACATCATTGAACATGTCATTTAGATCTTGACAGACAAGCAATACAGAATAAAGCAACTACCGCCAACTAACAGTTAGTGGTACCCTGCAATCCAAAATATGTACATATTTGCTCCTCGACCAGGGGTATTATGCTCATATAAACGTGTATAAATTTAGGACCCGCTGGTCCTAGTGAGACTTGGCAGGACCTCAGGTTGAGATAAGTATGAATATCCCCTAAACCTAAACTCCCCTCTCTTCTCTTTATCGCACTATTAACATTACCTCCAGAATAAGTAAGACATCATCGTTATATTGCACTTATATGCTTCTCCCAACAAATGATTGATAAGAGCAATAAAAGCCTTTTGGTCCATAATAATCAATTATACATAGATCACCCTCACAGTCCTGCGTATCAAAGATAGTGGCAGGCTGTGTGCGAAACAATTGAACGAAAAGGACAGAAATGTAGAATATGACGATCATCTAAGAACTAGTGGATGTGGTAGTGTTGTAGGGGAGATAGTGAGATAGTGAGATTGTGATGATAGGGAGTTTTGTTTTTTTTTTGGTTTTTTGTTAGTGAAATATATGCAATAGTAGAAATAGATTAACAGGTTAAAGGTTGAAAACGGGAGAGTAGAGAAACACCCTTGTGGCAACCATCAATGGTATAAATGGTTCTTCATGGAAAATGAAACGCCAATAAGCGGCCCAAATTGACTGGAGATTGCAGGCCATGAGAGTTGTTGTGGCGATAGTGCGCGAGGTTGATGGTTCATGAGCTTCAGACATGGTGAGCTTGCACAAGAGGGATAAAAGGGAGTTGAAATCAGGCTCGGTGTAATGAAGGCAGCCCCATGTAATTTGCCAAACCCGATACTTTATGGGGCAGCTGACGAGAAAATGATTGAGAGAGTCGATTGGTAAATGACATAGACGGCAGATCGGTGACTCGGTATGGGTAAGATTGAAACGGTGTAGACAAGCAGACGCTGGTAGAGTTACATGGATGGCGTGATACCATACGCTGCGAGCTATGTGTTACATTGGCTAGTTCCAGAAGTTGCACCATTGTTTGGTAGTGATCGCAGTGGTAGTATGTGTCGGCGTCGGTATTGTTTTGTGTTCCATTCAGGCAGTGTACTGGACAGGCGACGAGATAGCGGTTCTGCATTAACGAGTCCTCAGCAACCAGAGTGTCCATTATTTGGAGAAGTGTGGCTGAAGGCAAAGGCGAGCAAAACCTGCATCAGATGGAGGAAGGAAAAAGTTTTTTTCTTTACTTTGTATACCACAGCAGTAACAGCATGAATGACAGTTACTGTTTCTATGCTTTACAGAACGCGTTCATTATTAATGCACGCTCATTTGCAAGGCATTGACAGTAGCAGCATTGTTAGCATTAGTCCACACCTCATTCTACATAAGAAATTGGGACTGATGACTTGGTACAAAATGGAACAAGCTTTTTTTTTCTCTTTGCAATATGTATAGCACCACAAACATAAAGTAACACTCGTTTGTTAATATATTTCCATCTATAGGATATACAGTCAAGGCTTTACAAGTCATGACAATTCTAATGGATCCTGTGAACTCGTTTAATGCAGTGACTCAAGACTAGTGACTTGGTGAAATGGGCAGGTATTGAGGACACCATCCAACTAAAAGTTGGTCTGCCTATTTAGCGGGCACTGGGACCAAGCAGATTAAGGTCTCGTTCGTTATCAGAATTAACCAGACAAATCACTCCACGAACCAAGAACAGCCATGCACCACCACCTATATAATCTTGAAAGAGCTTTCAGTCTGTTTATCAGTTAACAGTTTCCCATGCCATGACGCTAGAAGAAGAAAGCTCTGACGATTACGATGGTAAGTAAGGATACTTGTTATACTCCTTTAGTTTTGCCATTCCTTCCTTTCTTTTGTTTATTTAGTTCTGTTTTGTAGTATTTGACGACATTTTCGCATTCCGATTGAGCAACGATCAATTGCTGGGGAAAGACCAGTTCAGCAAGCAATCGTTGAAAAAACAAGAGGTGATTGACCTGGTAGTCAGTGACTTCCTGGGCGTTCCAAACGGAACATATACTTCAGCAGAAACAGAGTGGCCCAACCCATCACGAAGCGATGTACTGTATAAGCCTCAGTTACCTGTTCAAAACTCTCTTCCACCAGTGCTTATCTAAATTTACCTGATTGTGAACGAACCGTTTATGCAACGCCTAGTCGGCTATGCGCAATGCGCCTCGACAATTTATAAAATGTATCCTAACATGTTCATTGTTTGCACCGATCGCGTCCCTCCCGCCCAGCTTTTGGCAAAATTCAAACCTATTACTGGAAAATCGTGGATGTCCTCGCTCCTGGCAACCGATTTCTGGGCAAAAACTGCTACATAGTCTCAAAATTAACTTTATCTGTTATTGCGCCTTCCGACGAGCTCACACCTCTGCAGGCTTTGTCGTCGTTCCTTACCGAAGCATCGCCAACACTATACGCCCATCCCTTCGCTGAAAATCGAACAGTCTAACAGCTATATCACGTTGCCGCGGCCATCTCCGAAAAACCAAAATAAATGCGATCAGGATCTCTCAAATGTTGTGGATATCATTTGCTTCAACAACGCAAAGATACTAGAGAAGGCCGGTGCAGCACTACCAGGTATACCTGGATCATCTAAGGCGAAAAAGCTCATCGAGCGAGCACTGATTTTTACTGGGCTGCCAAAAGAAGATATTGCCAAGTGGTGGACTTGGATTCAGAACCGTCGCTGGAACCATTGCCAAAGCTGAAGGGAAAGGGTAAAAAAAGTATCGAACATCGAGCTCACGACGATCTTGATTTCCTGATGAACTACAGGCAAAATCATATTGGGAAGATGAACTGGGGGGCGTGTCTATCAATTGCTCTTGAACAAAATTTATGCCGAAACTACTCCACTCCTGAATCGCTGCGACGATTCTATAACAACGCAACTGAGAAATGATACCTAATATCCCAACTCCCATTTCCATTACTATCTCTCATCGCTTTGGTGTATTCGTCTAACAAAAAATAAAACAATCGCTCACACTTCCCCCTCTATCTTACACATCTGTTTCATATGGGAACATGGTACGGATAGCACGGATAGCACGGAATACCACGTTTGTTGGGACTTCGGCTCAACAATTATGGGATGAAAAGGCTCGTCGACATGCCATTCTATCAGCGAAAGGCTGTATATAATGATCATAGGCTAATTGAGGTTGAATAAAGCTCATAGCGATCGTGATCTCCTTTCAACGGACTTAAAAAAGCTTACAGTAAATACTAAGTGTAACTCAGTGCTATATCTACAGCGCAATATAATCCTTTGGAGGAAATCAAGTATGAGTTCCTTTTTACTGTCATGGATCTATGAATAGAGTGCTTGCCTGTTACTACACTTGTCCAAGCATTGTGAGAGTGCCTAACAAATCTATTTGAATCACTCAGCGTCAAGTTATTAATTACCTCACTGATTGTTGTTATGAAAGTCTTAGATTCCAGTAGCTTGTTTCATTTGACTTCACTCTTAACCATTGGCCAAAGCTGTCCAATTGAATTTAGTTCAGGAGAACAGCATTGCAAATAGACACAGCAGTAATTGTGAGATTCTGCATATTTAGCTATATCAACTGATGAGTGTATGGACTAGAGCATTATTCATCAAGAGGTAGTGCCATCCATGCTATTTTTACTATCACTGGATGAGTAGAAAAATATCACCAGGTGTGTCGTGACTGACTTACAGTGGCTTCAATTAAAAACCAGCGTCAAGATGTATTGTTCAGGTTGCTGAGTGGATCTATCTTTTATGATATCTGGTTTTTCTTTCCATCATCACAGACCCTAGTCGTGTATAACTAGCTGTAGAAAACAAGTGAAGGATAGATCATTCATTCTTTTGAATTAAACAGCAATCTTGAAGACTTCTAGTCCCTTTCTATTGTTGAAAACCACATTTTTTCTTCGTATTATGACCAATTTATCCTACCACTATAAGCAACCAAGCCACTGAAGACCTTACCATGGAGGAAGTTGTTGGCGAGTCGTCCCATTCCCCAAGCATTTCCAGTGTCGAAAAGGACATCTACGCCCAGCCTGTAGCAGATGGTACTACTACTACTGCCCTGTCATCGAGCTTGGAGTCCAAGCATGCTGACCTATAGGTCATTGCTTTGAGACTTTTTGAGGTCTATGAGGCCCAATTGGAGCATCTTTTGTTGGAAGTAGGGATCCATATCAGAACCGAACCAGAACTGAACCGGTTTTGTATACGTAGAACTGAAGAACTGAGAGGCAGAAGATTGCATTTAGCAATTTTGGTAATTAGTATAAAGTAGGCTATAATGGAAGTTACGAACAATATTATCCTGAAAAGACTAAGAAGTAGTGTATTTGCGAGCCATACTTTATTTAAAAACTTAACAAAACCTGCAAAAGCAGAAGGGAGGGAGAAATAATAAAGAAGAGAAGAACAAAAAACACTTCTTCTGACGGTAGCTTGCTTTCTCCGCCCATAACGCGCATCATTACTTGTTCCTCGACTTTGCTACCCACAATGCATTTTCTCCATGACGTACTACTTTACTAGATTCAGCATGGCTTCTCGACCAGTTTTATCAAGTTTGTGCATTCTGTCTGAGATTGTGCATCCTGGGCCCATAACAGAATTATTTTACCCATTCACTCTTTGCCTTTTATGAGACACTATACACGCGTAGAGACACAGTAGCTGTGTGTACTGCCGGTTGTGGTTTGATTCCTCCAATGCTACGATAACATATTGTACTAGTAATACTACGTCGCTCTAAGTACTATAAGCTCCACTTTTTTTTTGTAAAAACTGTGCTTTAATCTTTTAACCATACAATGACCCACATCGTATTCTCTTATTCATTTTGAGATCGCTGTTCAATGTACAATAATAAACTATTCTTATTTACTGCAGTATTCAAGTATACTGCAATATTTGAACACACACACATATCAGCTTTAATTCAAAGATACCAGATTTTGCCTCTTTTATATACATGACAGGTTCAATTCTTCGGTTCGATTCTTCGGTTCAATTCTTCGCTTCTACAGTTCTCGTTGGTTAAAGTTGGTTTAGTTCTTGCTTTGGATGGTTCGGTTCGGTTCCAGGGGGTAAACCCTAGTTTTATGTTTTTCGTGAATTATATACATGTAGAAAATTATAAGTAATATAATTTTTAAGTGTTTATAATAAATCATGAAATTAATTTTTTGTTTAAAAAAATAATTTCTCAACCCCTATAAAATTCTTAACCCCTGGGTTTATTCTCAACCATTAGGTTTAAAACACTCTAAGTAGCGCAACAGTAGTGAGCAAATCCCTTCTCTAGCCGAGGAACACCTGGATGAAGGCTAGCTTGACTGTGAAATCCTTAACTAAAATTAATTTACTGTTTACAGTAAAATTAATTGTTATGGATTGAGCCTCTCCCTTCAAGAACCGAACTGAACTGAACCGTGCAGATCCCTAGGTACTTGTATTTATGTAGCCAATCTTTCTATTGGGAAGCATCATTATATTAAAGATGTAGCTGTTAATATGTCTGCTATAGAACTATAACATAAAATGTACTTAGACTCTTTTTATTGTGGGATTATATTTTATATTTAAGAGTATAGAATAAGTAAGCTACAAGCAATATATGTAAAAAAGAGTAAAGAAGTGGCAATAGTATAATGAGAATGGACAATAGATAGTGGTAGTAAGAGACGAGATTTAACAAAAGACTGAAGGAATTGATAAAAAAGAAACGAAGGAAGAAGGAAGAAGTGAAAAGAAAATGGAAAAGGGAAAAGGACTAGGGGCATATAGGGAAGTCACCACATTTTAACCATTATGCTTTCTTTAATGCATGTACACTGCAAAAAATAAGGGGTATTAATAAGGTATCAAATTTTAATAACTCAGATATCATAATGGGTCTCAACATGGTATCAATTAGGTATTAACATTTTTTTGATACTCCTAGTATCATTAGGGTATCATTAGGATATAATTACTTGGTATCCACTCAATTATTTCTTAAATAGTAAGCGCAGTAGTAAAAGACAAAACACTCAATGCAAAAAAAAGCAATCTCTCTAATGGTCACAGGTGTACTCTCATACCTTCAGAGCTCTTTTCAAAACCAACAAGCAACATCGACACTCTATATAGTGCTCAATGTAAATCAACTACAAATCGCCTCTATTTCTTAGTAGTAAAACGTTCAGCAAAAGTATTTCTAAGCATTCCATCTAAAAAGGGAAAGTGCTTTTCAAAAAAAAAGTAAAAAGAAAAAGTAATTTTCATTAAAAATAAAGACCCATAAAGAGGCTGCATCTGGCAATGACATCTGCTCAAACCTTCTCTTCCTGATCCACAAGGTGTATACAGGATTTTTCCTAATGATTGGCGGGGCTTTTTTTCCCATCATGGCGGGGCTTTTTTTTCACTTTGTCGTTGGGGGTGTTTGTGATTGGCGGTGTGATTTTCGTGAATGGCAGGAGGAAAAAAATACAATGGCGGCCGAATTACAGGTTGATGGCAGAATAATAAATTCATAATGGCGGCCGTAATTTCAGGTTGATGGCAGAATAGTAAATTCATAATGGCGGTTTGAATTATATCATTAGCGGCATCATTTTTAAAAAATGACATTAGATACTAAAGCAGTTCATCTCATTAAATACATCACAAACATGGGAAGATGTATGAGACATGATAATAGGAGTGGCAAGTTTCTACTAGATGATTAGCACATCACCCTTATATAGCAACATAGATGCTCTGAGAACCATAAAAGAATCGCAAAAAAAGATATCGCAAACGAAAAATAATGATCATGTGTATGTAAAAGGTTTTATTTACAATACAAGAGGTACTTCACATCACAAGAGAAACTTCAATCTTGCGAAAATTTCTTCAATCCACAAAAGCCGATCCTGCATTAGAAGCAATGTCCAGCGGACTTCATTCCATTCGGCCAAAACTCGGTGAACGGTTCTTTGGTCTTCACTGGCAGCTTGACTGGTCGTCGCCAGATTACATCCAGCAGCTCCTCTCCATCTATTTCATCTAGTAGGAAATATAGTTCTTTGTCGAAGTATACGCGATATTCGAGATCTGTTTGATGGCGCTCTATAA